TCGCGCTGATTCCGTCGCATCTCGGCCTGCTGGCGCTTGGCCTGGAGCAGCTTAATGTCCAGGTCGTGGGGACGAGCCCGTCCAGAGTTGGCTCGCGGGGCGGCGGCAATGTCTCCGTTCTCCATGAGGTGCTCGTACGTCTGCTTGAGCTTGATGGAACCGGAACGGACGCTGCGGCGGATGGATCGGGAGCCGAACCTGTGGATTGGTAGTGGACACACATCAAACGGGTCGCGCCGCCTCGATGGGGCAGAGCCCGGCTACTTACTTCTTTTGGTCGACGCGCCACGGTTTCGAATGGGTGATGGTGCCCTGGGACTTGAGGCCTCCGCCGCCCTTTGTTCCCACCACCGGGAGCATGGCGGAGTCGCCCAGCATCAGTCTCTGGTTGTTGCTGTCACTGGAAAACACAGAAAGGATTACCAATTGGCAACCATGACATCAACCCACTACTTACTTGATAATGTGGGTGATGGCAAGCTTTCGAAGACTGCTTCCCGCTGCCCGCACTTTGGCTGTCTTGTTCATAATCCGTACGGGCTTCTGCTTCCGGAAGACCACATTGGACTCCCAGCACTCGGACATCGGGCGCTTACAGTTCTCCACCAGGGAGGGATCTTCGGTCTCCAGCTCAATGACGAAATGCTTCATGAAACTCTCCCGCACCTTGGGCAACATGAAATCGTTGGGGATGCGATGAAGGATGGTCATCTGGGGAGAGTCTGGGAACTTCTCGAAGATGCGCAGACGAAAGGGCAGGGTCTCCTTGATCTCGGCGCTCTGTTCGCGGAACTTGAGCTGCTTAAGCTTCTTGATGTCCTCGTCCAGCTCCAAATTGTCGAGAATGACCGCCACGAAAAGACTGAGCACGATGAGGGTGACGAACAGATGGTAGAGTATAAAGTAAACGGCCACCAGGGGCGTAAGGGTCTTGCTTGTGCGGATCATCGTCTCGTCCATGACCTCCACCCAGGCCTCCTGGGTGAGGATCTGGAACATGCTCATGAAGGCCTCCGGAAAGGACTCGAACTTGGTGAAGTCGCACAGGAAGCAGAAGAGCTGCATCGAGATGCTCGAGCTGATGATCAGCAGGCACATGGTGAAGATGATCAGTGATCCGAGTTTCTTGCCCGGCCCGAAGATCTTGTAGACGAATCCCTCCAGCATCGGGGACGCCTTGATCAGTCGGACCACTCTCAAAACCTGAAAGTAGGTCAGCCCGGAGGGGTAGAACATCGGTACAATGTGAAGCGTCGTTCCTGCCGCCAGCAGCAGCTCGAATTTGTGAATGGAGTGCTTGTAGTATCCCCTCCAACCCAAGCAGTAGATCTTGAAGAGCGTCTCCAGGTCCAGCAGGCAGGTGAAGACCAGCTCGATGTAGTAGTACCTCTCGTAGAACACATCCCTCGGCCGGCCGTCATGCTTAAAGGTCATGGTGGCCGTCACAATTCCATTGGCCAGGATCACGCTCATCACCAGCATCCGGAAGTACGGCGATCGCAGGATGGCATGGCACGTCTCCGGCGCCAACCCGCCGTGCTTATTATCGTCGATGGTCACCAGACGCCACCCGGAATCGTTTCCGCTGAGTATCTGCGACGCAGCCGTCTTCTGGATGTGACCCCGAGCGCCCCACATCTGCTGGAACTGCACTCGGATCTCGTTAAAGGTCTCCGTAATCACCGCAATGAACACGTTCTTCACCAGCCACGCCAGGAAGAAGATCATCGTACTGAAGTAGAATGCTGCTCGCCAGGCCGGCAGAGAGTCGATGGCCCGGTACATGATGAAGACCCAGCCCTCCTGCGAGGCTGCCTGGTACACCGTGAAGATGCTCGTGGCAATGTCCTCGAAGCCATTGAAACCAATCACATAGCTGCTGAGGAAATCCATTTTCATGCAACGCATTCCGGGCGAACATTGATACCCAGAGTCCGGATCCATTGAGCAGAATGTGTCCGGAATGGCCAGCGAGTTGATGGTTAGGAATCTAAAAATAAAGAGGGTTTTAGGATCATCTATGAATACCCTATTGTCTTTAGTTCTTACGGCATATCATTCTCATCGTATTTGGTGTTGTTCATCACACAATGATTCTTCAATTCTCCAAAGAACTGAACTCCCAACAGACCGTACAGGGACATGAAGAACAGGAAGAATAATGTGACATTGTAGATCTGTTGACTCGAACGCCTGGGGGATTGGAAATATTAGTTTTTAATCCTTACTAGAAACTCGAAGGATACCCACTTGAAGATTTGATTGATGCGACTCTTTGGCATACTAAACTTAAGGAAGACCCGAAGGAAGCGAATCATAATCAATGGACGAGGTGCTCTCATAATCGACAAATACGAAAACCTATGGAGGACAATATTTAAAATATTATACCACATAGATCTATTATACTTACTTTGGAACTATCTCGAGCACTTCGAATATCTGTAGAATTATGGAAATCCACAGAAAACTGACCATGGAAGCATCAAATTGGCACCAGTGATCCTTCAGATAAGGCACCTCACCCTGTAGGGAAGATATGGTATATCGGACTTGGAGATGGAAGGTCTACTCACATGTAAGACACCACGGATATGCATCTTGGCTATCATTTCCGCCGTAAAGAGCAGCGTCACCGCCGTATCGGAGACAAAGGTGATGAACTGCAGCGACGGATACCGCTCGAAGGTCTTGGGCGTGTTCAGGGATACGGAGGTCAGCGAGACGAGGGCACACAGTCGCATCAGGCGGCGCACCCACAGCTTGTTCACCCACTCGATGTCGGCACTCTCGTTGAGCGACTCCTCCGGCCCGTAGTCCGCTAGGAAGGGCTCACCGCCCTTGAGACTCTGCTTCCGGCCGAGCATTATCTTGTTCCCGATTCCCGTGGCGATGCCCAGTCCGATGGGTGGAACGCCCGTAATGGCCGCGGAGCCTACGGTGCTACTAATGCCTCCACAGATCCCCATACCGGCAGCAGCTGCCCCGCCCCCCATGCCACCCATTCCGCCCAGACCGCCGATGCCGCCCAATAGATTGAGGCCTCCACCACCGCCCCCGCCCATCCCGATTCCGACTCCGATGCCGCCGCCGGCTCCGCCACCGTTGTTGTGTCCCGAAGAGGCCGCCGCCGTGCCAGCAGAGGATCCTCCGCCGGCGAGCGACTGCTGTTGCAGGGCGGACTGCATCCCGAAGGCTACGCTGCTGCCGCCGCCGCTGCCGCTGCCGGAGTTCACAATGGTCGTGGGACTGTTGAGCGCACTGGCCGCATCCTGATGGCGCCCGACCACGCCCAGCCCGTTGCCAGGACTGCTGCCCGGCGATGGATTAAAGTTGAACTGGCTGCCGCGGTGCTGATGCTGGTGCGGATGTGTGTACGGGGGATGGGGATGCGAGTGTCCGCCGTAGCCTCCGTGGGTGTGATGGCTGTGGGGATGATGATGGTGCTGTCCGTGGCCGTGGGCGTGAACGTGGTGGTGGGGGGCGTGGTGGTGCTGGTGATGATGTTGCTGCTGCTGCTGCTGCTGTTGGTGATGCTGCTGCTGCGGGGTCAGGCTGTTGCCGCTGGAGGAACTGGTACTGGCCGTGGCGGGCGTGTTGATGCCGCTCGGTGTATGGGGATGGGAGTGATGATGGTGGGGACCACTACTACCAGTGCCACTACCACTGACAGTTGCCTGTGCGGTTTGTCCTCCGCCGCCTGCTGTTCCTGATCCTACTCCTGTAGTTGTTGCTCCTCCTCCTCCTCCTGTTCCTACTGCTGCTGCTGCTGCTCCTCCTCCTGTTCCAGCTACTGTTACCGCTCCTGTTCCGCCACCTCCTCCTCCTCCTCCGCCTCCTGCGCGTTTGTTTCTAGCAGCTGCACCCAAGCGGCGTATCTGAAGACGGTCAATCATTCAAGCGGCTCATCCTGCCCCAGGATCAAGCGGTAGTTTATTGTCGCTATAAGGAAAGAATTATATTTTAATTGAGGAATATTTTCCCAATAATTGTAGAGGACTTGATGGCCTACAGTGTCGGACATGAACCTCATCCGAACAGGAACAGGCGGCAATTAAAGCGAAGACCTGTGTCAATATTTACATTCGAACAGCTGCCAAGGTGGGCTTACCCATTCATACATTTGCGAGTATATACCCAGGACACTGAGAAAAAACCCTGCCTAATAATATTCCCAAAAGTTAACATTCAAACATCTAGTATGGATATTCAAAGGGAAAGTCTATATATTTTTGTTGATGAATGCCCATCCATCACAAGTGTCATCCGAATATTTGTGGCCGTGTGGCAGACGCAGGACATTCAAGGAGGTGGGTGACTGATTTGCAACCCCCGAGTGCGAAACAATCTCTCACTGTATGCCACTGTATACCCACTGTAGGCCCATCACAGTCCATTGTCATTACCAAATGTACGATACGATGCGTAAGGACTCTAACTATTATCCTTAACATTTTTGTTTTCCTTTGTCTTGAGGTCTCCCTTTTTTTTTTTTTTTTGTATTTTTTCACTTACTTCTCGTTGGCTGGGTGGCTTGGTGGCTGGGTGATGTGTGTGTGGATTCTAGGGGTTATGCTTGAGGTCCTGGAGGTCCTGGTGCTTTCGGTGGTGGAGGAGGAGACCGAAATATTCGCGCTATTTCTATCACAGTTGCCACATTTAACAAAAAACAAGGAATCTCAGGCCCAGCACTTGATATCCTCTATGATTCCGATTATTATATTAATTTGGAGTCGAATTTTCAGCCGAGAAACACACGCCGAGGACTTTTCGTTTTGGATTACGGACGCGGACTTGGTATTTGGACTGGAGTCAGTCAGTCAGTCAGGCAGTGCCTCGGTCAGCTAACCAACTAACCTGACAGTTCCACGGACTGTCAATCCGCCATCGGGACATCAGGATGTGACGGAATTCCACCCCCGAATTTGGCAGGACATGCGCAGGACTACGGGTCGATGGCACAACATGCAACGGTATGGCAGCCCTGGCAGTCCCGAGTGGCCAGTCCCAAATAGTTAACCAAGGCGACCAACCGACCCAAGAAACGCCAAGAAATGGGTGCCACGGCCTCCTGCAAAAAAACCTCCGGCAGTGGCTATCCGGAACACGATGATCCGGCTTACCGCAAATGCCAGGAACTAAAGGTGAGTGAGCCCTGAGGTAGCCAAGGATATAGCCGATTTTATATAACCGATTTTGGGCTAGATGGAGCGATGGATTCAGATGCACTACCAGATCAAGCAGCGGGAACAGGCACTGGCCATTGCCCAGCACCGGGAGCTCTTCTACTGGCTGAGTGGCTTCTACTTGAGTGCCGTCTATGGATGTGCCAGCTACTACCAGAGGGTCAAAAGGGTATCGGCCCTGGCTCCGCTCCTGCCACTCACCTTCGTGGTGGGCTATTACACCGATTGGGCCTACGGCAGTAAGCTTCATCGGATTCAAGGTGGGTTCTCAAGGGTGGTCTAAGTTAAGGGACTAATATTTTTTTTTAATTATTCCCCAGCGGAAGCCAATATGATAATGGAACACGAACAGGAGCTGCTACACTGGCCCGGCGGTCTACCCACGGTGGCCGGCATCGATGAGGCCCGAGTTGAAGTCGAAATGGAGAAGAAAATGCATCCGCACCACATGTAGACATGTATCTTTTTAAAACTTTACAGGCCAGGGGTTTCATTCATCATGCATCCATTCACCAAAAGTCATCACTTTTTAATAATCTGGAATAGCTTTAAATCCGATCTATACTTAATTAATAGTCTAATATTAATTGCAAGCCTATAACTCATTATTCCCCCCCTTAAAGCCTTTAACTCCTTATGGCTCAAATACCTATATAATTACCTTTCTCCTCTATAACGATCATTATCCTAATAATCACTGCTAATTTTTTCTCTCAGTGTGTGTGTTCGACGCCCTTTGATGACGCGCTTTACATTTTCCAGCAATTTTTTGAGACAATACTCCTTATATTGGATAGCTATATATATATATATATTATATTACATATTGTATTATATACATAAAATTGATAAAAATTGTAGTCTAGATGGTCTAATAAATGTTTTGCTCCCAGCTCAGAAGACCAGATTCTCGTCGAGGAGTCCATCTTCGATAATGTCCTGCGAATCCTTCTTGTAGTGGCGGTCACAGAACTCGGCAATCCGGGCACAGGCCTCCTCGATCATTAGTCCCGGCACGGTGAGGACGATCCTCACATAGCCCGGGTATTCGAAACAACTACCCGGCAGGCAGAAGACACTCTGCTCGTTGACCAGCTCCTGGACAAAGTGGGTGTCGTCCTTGAACGCCGGAAATCGCTCGATGCTGACTCCGATCATCATGTACATGGCTCCGTTGGGCATGACAGGGTTTAGGCCTTGGACCTGTTTCAGCATTTTATAGGCCAGGGTGGCATTTGACTAAATTAGAAAAAGGATAACAGGATTAGATGAGGATCCTGATCTTAGGGATGGTAAACATACATGAAGCACATCAATCACTCCATCGAAATAAGACTGAGGAGTCTTCGATAGGATCTCGGGCAGGGCACCCTGGATAATGGTATTGGAGCCCAGGATGCGGCCACACATGTTCTTCAGACCACGAACTGCTTCGCCCAATCGCTGCTTGCGATCATGGACTATGATCCATCCCATCCGCCAGCCTGGAACCAGGAAGCGCTTGGTGAGTCCTCCGCAGGACAAGACAGGAACCTCGGTGGTCAGGCTGCTCACAGCCAGGTGCTTGGAGCCGGGAAACACAAAATGCTCATAGATCTGAAAAAGAGATAGGAGATCCATTATGATTATTGAAGCTATATCTTGGATGAATCTCATCTAAGGATGTCTTACCTCATCGGCTATGATGGGCAGATAGTGTCGCTCGCAGATGGCGATGAGCTGACGCAGATGCTTCTCATCGAAGACACTGCCGCAGGGATTGCTCGGATTGTTGATCAGCAACGCGGCTGTGTTCTCATCGATGAGGCTCTCCAGCTGGACGAGATCGGCGCGCCACTGCTGGTCGGGCAGGAGGTCGTAGTAGCGCACCTCGATGTCCAGGCCCTCGGCCAGGGTGTGATACAAACAGAAGCCCGGTCGTGGGATGAGCACGTTCTGGCCACGATCGGCCAAAGCCAGGATGCAGTACTCCAGGGCCGAGGAGCAACCACTGCAAAGGATCACTTCATCGTTCTGGATCTCACCATCCGGACGCTGATGGGCACTGTACTTGGCCACCGCCTGGCGAGACGCCTCATGACCCTGGGTGTGGGCATAGCCATTGAACTTGGCACTCTCCAGGGAGTGGAGCACCGCCTTCATGGTCTCATCGGCGGCCTTCAGATTGCCAAAGGTGGTGGGGTCACCTGGAATAAAAAGAATTTCGTTCATGAATCATTGAAGTCATCTTAATTATTTTTAATATTCTCCAAAATAAAAATCAGGTGACACCCAGAGATACTGCATCGGGTCAATGGCTAACCCGTTTATTTCCGCCTAACTTTGCGATTCCCGCCACTTCAGAATCGATATCAGAAATTGGAATATTTTTCTGGTTCGGAGACCCAGGCAAGGTGCCTCCCTCCCAAATGGAACAGGTGGAACTACATTTTATGCAAATACCCTTCCAATACCGACCAATACAGAGCGCGCGCGTGCCTTTGCTACAAAAATAATACGACATTACCAACAAAAAAAAAAACACCCAAGAACAACTTACAAATTTTATATCTCAGGTATATCGAATATTTTAGCTTAATAAAAAGAAAAGTGGAAAAAAGTGGAATATTTTTAAGTAAATCACAAATTTCCTAAAAGAAAATAAATTGAAATCTTTCACATGGGAATCAATCGTATCTCTGATTGGTTCATTTTTGAGGGTGTGTACTGGCTATACCTACATATATAGTATATATATTAAATGCATCTCTTTTGGGAATCATTAACGAATTAACTTTTAAAACAAGACTAAACTAGTTTAATCAACCTGCCAATGAGATGGCAAAAACAAAAGATCTCACATCGCCAAAATATTCAAATTAGTTCGCAAAACTTGTGGTAACTACATATGTACGTCAGAGATGTTTTCGCCGATCTGATATCTGATGGGTTTATATATTTTTTTTTTTTATATCAGTATCAGAAGCAGGTTCCCTTAAACTAGATAGTTTGCACTTAACTAATAGAGAGAAAATGGCGAAATTGTATTTTTAGGCTAATTTTTTGCAAAAAGGCATTTGAATTCTAATCAAGTTACATAAGTTTTTAGGTTATTTGGCTTTTTTGTCTTTTTTGATCTATCTATATTAGATCTAACTATTAAATCTTATTTAAAAAATATATTTTAACAAGAGATATTAGATGAAATCTTAGGGTTTCTAGGATTAAGTTCTTTAAATTTATGATAAAAGTAAAAAATCTAGTTTAAAAGAATTCATATTCATTTTTTAGTGTTTTCCTAATTATAATATTAAGGTGAAAGTTAAGAAAGTTCTTAAGAAATTTCTATAAAACAACGTAAAAATAATAAAACTTGGAAACTCGGTTTTTAAACGATGAAAATTGTACTTTTAAGCTTCAAATTGGTCATCATAAACATTTTTTGAAACATTTACTTAATAAATTACTATTTTTAAGGATAATATCATTAATTTTACGGTCTTTCAATTCAAAAAATTGAGTTTGAAAAACATATTCAACTATTTTCAATGATTTTTTCGATATTTCTTCTCGATATTCTAACCTAACTTTTTATAGTCTGAATAAAAACCTCTGTTTTAGGCTAAAAAAATACAATTTTTAGCAATTAAGTATTGAAATTATTAATTTTGGAAAATAAAATAAACATTTAGAAGTACAATAAAACCTTTCATAAAATAAATACATTGGTTATTTGTCTTTTAAAAGACTACTTTAAAGGAAATACGATTTAAAAAGTTTAAAAAAACCTTAAAAGAGGTCTTAGAAGTTTTTAATTTCATAATTTTGGCTATATTTAAGAAGATGTTTTAAAAGAAGTCTAGAAACTTAATATTTAACAAACCTTAACTAACTTTAAGTTTTTTTTAATGAGAAAAGAGAAAAAATCAAGGCCTGAACATGAGGATCCTGGACAGATCCTTAAAAGTATTGCTTCCAAAAAAACATTCTTATAAATTCTAAAAATTGATAGAAAAAATTCCTAAAAGTCCCCAAAAGGATCTTATTCCAATATACCCGAAAAAATCCCCATTTTACTTACCAATGGACAAAGGAATCATAGGCTTCTGCGGGTTGGGCTTGATCTTCAGCGACTCGACAATGTTCCGGATGCGATTGTGAGTGTTGAGGGCCAGCTTGGAGGACTTGACATGCCATCCCGTGCGCCGTCCTCTTCCGTTCAACAGGCCACTGCCCCTGGGCAGATGATCCTTGGAGCGATGATCCTGCGACTGGAGCTGCAGCTCGGCCAGGGCCTCATCGACGGCATCGCAATTGGGCGTGGTGACGGACGGAGAGTCCGTAGGGGAATCGCTGGTACTCCGGCTCGGGCAGCTAACCCGGCTGCGGTTGCTCTGGAATCGCTGAAACTGCCTCTCGTTGGCCGCACTACTGGGCATTATCACCAGGCAGGTAATTTAATAAAAAACCGAACGAAAAAAAAAAATTTTTGTAAAAAAAACTTGTATTTCCAGGATATATTCGGGACGTTTCGTATCCTTTGCTGAGCTTGAGGAAAATTCTCAAATAAATGTAAAGTTTGTATCCTGTTTATCGTTCCAGACGAGCATTAGTATAACCTGATTCTGTCATGTACAGTTAAGATAAAACCTATTAGATCGGATTTGCCCTAAAAATGGGTTTTATGATCTTCAATGGATTATATTGGATTGGATTGGACTTTCTTTTAGTCGATTGCAAATTCTGAACTAAACTGATCTACTTCGGCGACGTCTTGGGGCTTTTATCTCCTCGCGACTGGCGGCTTCGCTCCAACGCCGATATATGGGCTTTATATACAAACATATATCTCTATATATAACATCCGATTATATGGCATTCGGGCTAACACACACACACACACACTGAAATCGTCCGGCTAGCACGCGCCTGACTTTGGATCTTCGGTTCGAAGCCGCACCAGTAGCCGTAGCCGGAGCCCGGAGCCGAGAGGGCTAAAACTTTGACTAAAAAAAAAAAAAATAAAATAAATACATATATAAGAAAGAACAACAACTACGTCTGATTTGAATACTCGCCGTCTCGAAATCATATTCATATATTTTGCTCGGCCCACCTCGGAACCAGATTTGTTTTTTTTTTCAGACACTTTGATTTGAAATAAACAACAACAGTCGTCGCATCGGGGCGCTATATTATTCAAAATGCGCCAATCTTGTCTACAATGTCTTGGTCGAAATCAAAAACCCATCCAACCAAAGCCATTATTGCATATCGGATAGTCCGAGGGCCGATAGGGTTACCCATCGATACTATAGTATATTCCCTATAATTCCCTGGAAGAATGCACGTGGCTCTGGAATCGTTTCATTAGACACTTCCACTTAACAAAATACTAATATTAAATGGAAATTAGATTCATTTTAAATTGGTTTAAAATTAAAAAGGATCAATAGACTAAATCCTAAAGGAGTTTCATTCAAATTATAACTCATGAGATTTTAAGAGAACCTTTTGGGAAGTTTACTTATAGCCTTTATACTCCCTAGACTTTCCTAAATATTTCCTATAACTTGAATAACATAGACCCTAACAAACCGACTGATATGGTTTATTGAACTCTGGAGTTAAACCCGTTTAAAATATGTTGATGGGCTTAAAAAACCTAACTTTTAAGAAGTTAATCTTTAAACTCTATACTCCCTTTTTTCCTAAAAATATAAAAATATATTTAATATTTAAAAGAAACCCCAAGTACTATCACTGTATTTGTTATGGTTGAATAATCATTCCGCATTCCATACAAAAAACATAAAAAATTTTAATTGAAAAATATCTTTTTTTTTTGTCACCTACTAGTACTCCTACTCTATATATAATATCCATTTAATTTAATTCTTATCACGAATACTAGGTTAACAGTTAACACAACGGGAAATACCTGTGATATTTTGCAAACAATAGAATTAAAGATTTTAAAATTAATTCCAAACCGTCTGGCTGGTACTTAAAAGGCTTTTATATTAAAATAAACCAAGTAATTCATTTTTTATTTAATTTAGAATATGAAATGTACATTTTTCCGTCATGCATTACCGTTATATAAATGAATGAAGCTTTTGTTTTATTTAAATTTTTATCAAAAATGAATCTCAACCCATTTTTGTATAAATATTTTCTCAGAAGCTTAAGGTAATTCCTTTGAAAGCAATATACATTAATTTCTTACAGTCTATTCTTTAAATTATACATTTTTGAATCAATATTTTTTTGTAATATTTTAAAATATTGCACATCTGGACAAAATGGAATGCAGTGAGCTAATTAATTTCATTGATGTAATCGAATTAATTATCATAACCGAATATGCATGAGAATTATTGATACTATATACTATTATATAGTCTATATGGATCAACTATAGAAAACTTAACAACGTAATTCCAATCCAAACCGGAGAGCTTTTATCCCGGTTATACTAGCTCTGATTCCAGGACAGGAATCGCTTGTTTTCTCAAACTACGTCGCAAATATAAACTCAGACTTAAATTTTAATTGAATATTCAAATACTTGAACCAACTGATGTCTATTATATAAATAGATATATTCCAAAAAGGAATGATTAACGTCTTTATTCTGAAAATAAGGAATAATATTATAAGGGTTTGGAACAATTCTATTTTTCTTTTAATTTCTTTAATAAAGAATCTTACCTGTTAGCTATTAAGTATAATAATAATTAATGAATAAACTTAAAGCAAGTTTTTTCTTTGAAAATAACTTTCGATAAGTTGTCATTGATCTTGTTTTTGTTTTTGATACATTTTTAAATATTCCTGCCCCGATATTGCTTACTCACTACAGCTGTTGTTTTAAATATTCATTACTTTACTTATTTTTTTATCTTTAAAATGTTTTTCAAAAGCAAGTATTTGAAATATTTGAATTTTGAATTTCTTCTAAAACTTTCCATCTTTTAGCTTCCATTTTATAAAGGCTATAAAGTAACTATAACTATAAACCCTCTGTAATAATACAAATATTTTGTTTTACTTGATATTGTTTTTGTGGAGGCCGGTTATTACATTTTGTAATAAACAAAAATATGTTTTTCGCGCTAGCCTTGCCATTGCATCACAACAACCATTATCACAACAGATCCGAGCCAGGTTAGTTAGTCACTTGGCCAAATGGTCAGTCGGTCTGTCGGTCTGCCGGTTACTCGATCAGTACGTTCGAGCCTCCTGTTTACCTTGCTCCAAGCTGGTTTTCTTGAACTTCTTTTTTTTTTTTTGTTATTTTTGTTTACTGCCAGTTACTGTGATTATTTTTAAGCCTATCCATATGGCCTGATTATCAGTGGATTCCCGTTGAAAAAAACAAGAAACCTTACCAAGTTACGTAATATGTTCAAAATTATATACAAAAGCTGCCAAATAATATTGGAATCTTAAAATATACAAAAGTATAATAAGCTCTGCTGGATATAGAATTATATTCTTTGCCATCTGCCATAAAACAATTATTTTTTACCCAAAAAGTATTATCTTTATTGTCAGATTAACAAAAAGTTCAACTGTTTAGTTATCTGGCAGGGAGCGAATGATATCAGAATCTCCAGGATCGGTGATGGACATGGTGCAAACACGGAAGTATTTACCGCAGGCGGTTCCCAGCTCGATGTTGGTGCCGCTGTAGTGCTGGACCTCAGTCTTGGCCAACATGGCGTAGTACTCGATCTCCGACTTCCTAAAAATGATCAAAACAATACAGATTGTTAGTATATATCAGGAATTCCTGGTAACCAACTGTAAGAAAGTTGATTTTGTCTTCAGAAAGAGTCTCTAGTAATAAAAAAGATTCGTCATCTTGATCGGAATAAAGAATATCATCATGACTTTACAGAAGAGAGTGTGGGCCAAAGAAGTCCCTCAAAGTAGGAGGATGCCATGGCCCTTACCCTCCTTAACACGTGGTAATTGTATATATTTCATATTTCATTTCTTACCACAAGCACCAAGCATTGGCAGTCATCCGGAGTTAGTGGAACCATGTGGAGTCGAAGCAAAGCGATCCGAATGAGTGTTTGCATTTTCTGTTTTACATAATCCGTAGACTAAAACAAACTCTTTTTTTTTACCATACTTCTCAGTCAGCATAAAGCAAGACTCCATATGGTTCCAGCAACAACGAAAACTCCGGTGCAATTTACACAAATTACTCAGAAGCACGCGGGTCTCACCTCAGGGCGGGAGTGTTACTGGCGATGAGGACCAGCTTGGCCTTTCCCTGGCGCAGGGTCTTGAGGGTCTGCTTGTAGCCCAGGCAGTACTTGCCGGACTTCATCACCAAAGCCAGACGAGCATTGGTGCTCTCCAAAGCCTTTTTCTAAAAAACATACAGCATGTCAGCATGGTGCGGGGAAAAATGCATTAAATTGTAGTTACCTGTTTCTTGACAGCAACCATTTTGAAGGTTTAATGAATAGACAACCAAGGCACCCTGCAAGAATATTACAATATTTCTATATAAGTACACTGTTTCACTGGGATGGTTGAGAAAACACACCCACCTTTGACGGCTGACACGGGAGAAAAGGCAGAACGAGCCGAAAACCGGAAGCACGCTTGCAAAAGTAGGCAGAGTTGCACGGGGTTATCGATATTAGTAATGCAGTATTTTTCGGGCTTTTAACACTATCGGTGCTAGCACTGTTTAGTGTTGTAAACAAAGCACTTGAAATGTACTTAAAATTGTAATTACACTACAGAGTTTAAGTAAAAAATTTTTTTATTTATGTTTTATACTTTCACAATCGTTAGCAAACCTTTAAATGAATTTTTTTTTAAGTTCAATAGTGCAGTTTTGCGTCACGCAACCCTGGGTCTGGTTATCGCTTTTAGTGTTGAAAATATCGATACTTTGTCAACCCCCTTTGGCGCCTTCTTTGTTGGCGCCTTATTTTTTCAAAAATTTGAATTTTAAAATAGTGTTGAAAATATCGATATATCGAGTACCACCCTTGGCGCCTTCTTTGTTGGCGCCTTATTTTTTTCAAAAATTTGAATTTTAAAATATTCCACCCAAAAAAAAATTAAATATATCAGTTTTAAGTACATATATTTACACAAGTTTATTATCTGTTTTAATTTTTAGCCCTTATGCTCTTCACTTGCAATCGGGCACAAAAATAGTTTCATACATTTAAACAAAAAAAAAAAAGGTCGGATTTCGATGTTAGTTAATTTTAATTTATTCCGGTAGGAATACGGTTTTGAGGTCCAGTTGCTGTACAAGAATTGGGGGATACTACTACTCGTCTGGAGGCGTCTCTACTTGCGCTTGAACATGTTGCTGAGTCGTCGCTTTGGAGGTGAATTCTGTAAATTCGAAACAAAAACAACAAAAAATATCGATTGGAACAATAAAGGAACACTTAAAATCTATGTGAGATGATCCTGGAATTGGCTTGATTGGAGAAACTATTGACGTCCCGGCATGATGACCATGAGAAGAACCATTCCCGCCAGCAGAGCGGTCAACGTCAGCACTATCCTGTCCGCTAGATGCGAGCAAAGGACAACAATCGACAGGAGGGCCACGATCATGACCAGCCGCTCACCGAGACCCAGCTGGCCTAAGAAACGCCAGCACTGATCCCGCAGCGAATGGTCGCGAACCGGCCGCATCCTTGAGTCTGTCCTCTGGACGTACGTAACGTTGACATGTGGTAGGGGCTGCACGTGGAAGCTGCTCAGCGAAAAGACGGTGCGAGAGGAGACAGCACTGGCAGCACTCATGGTACTAGCGACACTCAGGGTACTCGCGGCACTGGCAACACTAGCTCCTCCACTAGTCACGTTCGTCTGGGTGGTGGAGCAGCTCGCTTCCGTGACATTGCTGCTGCTTCTGGACAGGATTGGCACCTCCAACACCTGATCGTTGTACACCAGAGGCTCCAGCTGGAAAGGCGCCGTGGAGGCCGTGTCTTTGCAGAGCTGCTCAAAGAGACCAGGTGATTTGTCCTCCGAGAAGCTCTGCCAGCCGGCCTGATTCTCCATTTCGAACTGTTGCCTCAGTTGCCAGGTTGCGCTACGGTCTTGACTTTGGTCCACTTGGTTCTTCACCCTCTCGGCAGTGTCCACGAGGAAAGTAGTTGCCACCGGTGGCGGACTCTTGTCCACAACCTGTGGTGACTGCTCCTCGTTCCGGTTGTGCAGGCTGTAGTTGTTATTGTCCCCGGACTTGACCACCGAGTAGGTGAGATTCCCGGAGAGGCGAACATTTTCCAAGTGGCGTCCCTGGTCGAAACGTCCTATCCGATCCTGGCGCAGTTTGCGGCGTTGCTGCATCATCTTCCCAGCCATGGAAGACGTGCTTATCTTGGTCCCACCGGCCGGACGGGATTTGGCAAAGATATTGCCGTGCAGGCACAAGGATACACGACCCTTACGCCGCTGGGCTGGCACGTGTCCGGTGATCCGGCGGGTGTGACCCTTGGTGATGGCAAACAACGCACCATTCGACAAATGCGGCGTGCCCTGATCGTCATGGCCTGCCTCAGGCTGCTCCACCACTGACTCTGGCATTTCGACCGTATCCAGCTGCTCTGCCAACTCGACCGCATCCTCGTCCTGGTCGGCGTCTTCGGCTGTGGTGGTTGCCGCATCACTGACGCGGATCAGACGCTGCTGATCGTAGTAGGAGCGACTCTTGCGCGGCGTCGATGTACAAAAGACACCATCCACCTGACGCTGGAGCCGACGGCGCTGCATTCCGGTCAGCAGATTCGACCGCTTGCGACGCGGCAGCTGTTGGATAAACAGGTTGCCAGGAGGCTGGACTCGTTACTGACTGATCTGTCGTGCTAGACATGACAAGGACGGACATGGACATGGAAACACTGGACATCACTAAGCGACAATGGCACTGTATCATTGGTATAGTACCGAATTAGAGCGAGACCATTGTATATATCTGTCCTGCTCTAATTCGTGACTATACCTTCCGTCCAGTGCCAGTTGGACATAAGCATTCTACAACCATATAGCCAAAAAACACAAACTCACAAGACTACTACACAAACCAGAGCAGCCCCCGGAAGGACCCTGGACTTACCTCGTCCCGTGGCAGGCCGCTGCTGCCGACGCTGAAACGCGAGGATAGGAACTTGAAACGTGCCGGTGTCTTGGAAGAGCCATTGTTGTGGTCGCTACATTCGCGCAGAATCTCACGCGGTGGCTCCGAACTGCCAAAGGACAGGCGGCCGCCATGCTTGCTGGGTGTCGGTGGTCCTGGTCGCTTATAATGGGTACCCATCGATTTTTTGCGTGTGCCATGACTCGTGGAGGAGCTCAGCAGGGCGCTCATGCTATCGTCCAAGCTGTGCGGTCCGTCCTACAAATAAAACAAGGATTAGTTGTGTGTAGGATGGGGGATATGGCTACAAAACTCAGAGAGATTAGTAGACACTCAAACGACATCAACATCAACATCAACAACAAGAACATGGACATGGACATGGAACACGGAAGACTGGACAAGAGCTCACTCGGTGCTTAAAATATGTACGATTAAGAATTCTGGATGGTGGATGGGATGATACGGAGGAGCAGTAGCTACTGGCTACTGGCTACTGGCGGCGTCTGTGCCACATGCGAGCCAGTTGCGCCCGAGCTGCTGCCGCTTGTCCTTTCAGGGGAGTACCACCGCCCATTGTCCTGCTCTTGTTGCTGCTGCTGGTGGTGGTGCTGGTACTGGGTGCTGGTCCTTTGGAGCTTACTTTGAAATCTTCGTCATGGCTGCTTAGATCGTACTGGGCTGCATAAGCGCTCTTCAGATGCGGCGGCTGCAGGGAGTTGCGATAGTTCAGCTCCTCGGCTCTGCGAAAGTACAATTTTAGCTTCAAGTTCCCAGGGGATTCCCATGGATATTCCACTTACGTGATCACATCTGGTACACGGCCCAACTTGAGATCGGTTAGGTAGGTGTTGTTGAAGACCTCGCCCTCCTCATCCTCCATGGCCAGGTTCGATGACGGGGCAGTGGGTCGCTTGAATGGCTGCCAGTCGTCGTTGCTCGCCGCGGAGCTGATGGAAGCGGTCGGTGGTATGGGTTTCTGTGGCTCGGGACCAGGCTGCATCTGTAGGTGTCTCAGTTTGGTGGTGGTGATGGCATGTTGTTTCTGTTGTTCCAGAATCTTCTCGTTAAGTCGTACAATTTGATTCGATAGTTTTCGTGTATGTTCCTCATATTTTACATTCTACAAAAAGGTTTCAAGGGATTAGTTATCGACCTTTGATGGAAGGATCTCCTCCTAATCCTTACCTGCGCTGTGAGAGCCTCCAGCTCCGCCTTAGTTCCGGCCGCATCCCTTTCCTGCTTTTCCTTCATTCGAGTCACTTCCGCGGTGTATAGGGATCGCTGTGGTTTAGTTGTAGTGTTTTAGGTTTAAGTGGGTGTTTGGGGTGTTGGGGTTTGTGGGTGGTGGTGGTGGTTGGTATTGGGAGCAACAGAAAAGGACAGCAAATACAAATGAAGAGCAAAACGCAAACGGAACAATATATTTCCAAAACAAAAAAAACAAAAAAAAAATTTAACATCTTAGATTTAACATACGATTTAAAATCAACGTACGAATAACTATAACCATTAAGCTACTATATATATATATACATAACTCTCTATATACGAGGATAGGATCTGAGGATCAGAACTGACTGGGATTGCGGTAGTGCAGGGTCAGATCCACGTCATTGTGATAGAGGATCATGTGAACGATCCCCATGATCACCGCCTGGGTGCCGGCCAGAAACAGAACCCGTCGCGTGCAATTGCAGCTTCTATCCCGGTTACACCTTGCCGCATGATCATCACGGGCCCGGGTATGGGTATGGGTACGGGTCTGGGTCTTGGTCTGGCTGGCCGACTGGACCAGGCTGGTGATCTGGTTCTGGGTCTGGACGTGGGTATGACCCGCCGCTACCGCCACCCCCGACAGGGACTCGAAAAGAGAGAGTGTGGTGGCTGGTGAGGCGATCGCTACCATTGCATTCGCTGTCCCATCTGTGCTGCCGACGCCGTCACCGCCGATGATCATACCGCGACAGTTGGGATTCACCGACAAAATCGTCTGGGACTGTGGAATGCGTTAAAGAGAGATGGTGGTGGTGTTGGTTGTGATAGGATTGTGGTGGATGGGGATGGTTGGTGAGGAGGAGGAGGAGGAAGAAACAAAAATGTTTTCTTTAATCCATGATGCGATAGACAATTCTAATAGTTGGAGGTGGGAGGATGGTAGGAGGAGCTAATAGCCATGCAAGCAACCTCTTTGGATCATGTTAGTAGTGTGCTATGGACATGCAACATGCAAGATGCAAAACAGCCATTCCCCATCCGTGATATGCTCGTACTGGCTCCTTAGTGAGCCATTAGGAGCATAAGGACGGATAGGAATGGCAGTCTGGCGACACAATGCCACCTCTGGATTAGACAATTAAGGACCCTCCTCGCCCAGCAAGGAACAGAATAACGACGACTTACCATTTTGTTCTTCATCTTATCCAGTTTTCCCTCCATCTCCAGACGTTGATCCTTGATCTTCTGCTCGAACCGCTGGTTTTCTTCCTTGGACTCCCGGTACTTGGCCTGCAGAATCTGGCAGTCCAACTTGAGCTTGTCGTACTGCGCCTGGCTGTGCCGCAGCAGGTCACCCTGGCACTGGGAATCGGCATCCGCCGGCGGGGCATCCGACATGGTGTAGGTGGCGCCCAGATCGGTGGTAACGGCTGTTGCCTGGTTCTGGCTGTTGCTGGCCAGCTGACGTTCCAGCTCCTCTGCACGGCCCATGTAGCGTTGGGCGCGTTCGGTCAACTCGGCCTGCTCCTGCTCGTAATCGCGGATCTTCTCCTCCAGCTCGTACAACTGGGCCTCGTGGACTAGACGATGGCCATCAAGCTCCTGATGGACTTCGGCCAACTTCTCCTGGAGCTTCACCAGCTCCTCTCGCTCGCGGCTGCGCTCCTGCTGGACCTTCTCGATGTTCTGGTGCAGGCCGACAATCTCATCCGCCTGCTTGGCGAGGTTCTGGCGGCACTGCTCGATCTCCGAGTTCAGGCCACCAATCTCCAGGCTGAGGCGCACCTTCTCCTGCTCGGCATCCGCCAGCTGGGCGTGCAGGTGGCACATCTCGCGCTCCCGGGACTCGCGCATGGACTCCAGCTTGGTGATGCGCTCGTGGGCGGCGGCTCGTTCCGTTTCGGTCTGGACGCGTTGCTTCTCCAGTTGCTCCAACCGATCCTCAAGTGTGGCCAGCGACACTTGATACTCGCCAACTCGTTGCTCCATCAAGCTTAGCTCCTGCTGCACGGCCTCCTTGTCGCGCTGCAACTGTTCGATCGCCGAAGACTGCTCCTCCAGGGCGGTACGCGCCTGTCTGAGCTCCTCCTGCAGCCGGCCAGCCTCCGACTGATACTCGCCCATGGCGGCCGAGTCCTTCTCGAAGCGCTGCGTCTGCGCGGTGAGCTGAGACCGGAGCCGGCGCACCTCCTGCTCCTGCTTGCGCAGATCGGCTTTCAGCTGGCTAGAGTTGAGGAGCTCCTCCTCCAGCTGTCGTTTCGCGAGGCGTAGCTGCTCCTCGTAACCCTCGCTGACCTCCTGGAGAATCTGCTCAACCTGAGTCTTCATCTCTGCCACCTGGTTTATCTGCTCCAAGACACCCTGCTGGGCATCCTTCAGCTGAAGGTTCAGCTGCTTGTTCTCCTGCGTGCGCTTGACCTTCTCACTCTCCTTCTGTGCCTCGAGCTCCTGCATCAGCCGGTTCTTGGTGGCTTCAAAGCGGCTATGGGAATCGGCCAGTTCCTTCTTAATCTTAACGAGCTCCTCCTGCTTCAAGCTCCTGTCTTCCTCGAACCGGATCTGAGCCTGACTCAGTTGCTCTTTGAGTTCCTTGATCTCATCTTGAGCTTGTTGGTACTCCTGGTTTTTGGCGTCCACCACCTGGCTGTGTGCTTTTTGCAGATGCTCCTTGGTGGCTTCAAAGCGGCTATGGGTTTCGGCCAGTTCCTGCTTGATTTTTACGAGCTCCTCCTGCTTCGCGCTCCTATCGTCCTCGAACCGGATTTGAGCCTGGCTCAGTTGCTCTTTGAGTTCCTTGATCTCGTCCTGAGCTTGTTGGTACTCCCGGTTTTTGGCTTCCAGATGCTCCTTGGTGGCTTCAAAGCGGTTATGGATTTCAGCCAGTTCCTGCTTGACCTTGACTAGCTCCTCGTGCTTCAAGATCATCTCTTCCTCGAACTGGATCTGAGCCTGGCTCAGTTGCTCTTTGAGTATCTCTATCTTGTCCTGAGCTTTTTGGTCCCGCTCCATGGCTTCCACCACCTGGAGGTGTGCTTGTTGCAGATGCTCCTTGAGCTTGTATCTCTCTTCCTTGGCCTGGTCCTTGGCTTGAGCCAGGGCCTCTTTGAGAGCCTTGATTTCCCGGTTTTGGTTGTCCTTCTGGTCTTTTCCTTCCTGGGTTTTTTTATACAGCGTTTCCAGTTCCTCTTTCAAGCGGTCGACCTCTTTCCGGCCCAGATCCTCCTTTTGCTTGGAGCTCTCGAGTTCCACCTTGGAGATGGCCAGCTCATCCTCCAATGTCTTGGCAACTTTCTGAGATTTCATGGTCTCCTCGCGGGCCTCTTGCAAGGCTGCCTTAAGGTTTTCGATGTCTTCCTTCAGGGTAGCCTGCTCTTTGTCTGCCTGAATCCTCGAGTTCTCCATAGCCTTTAAAGCGGCATTGATTTCGTTCTGCGCCTCTTGCAACTTTGTCTTCAACTGGTCGATCTCCGTCTGGGCCTCACGCTTGTCCCGGATCTGATCCTGCTCTAGTTTCTTCAGCTGGTCATCTATTTCCTGTCGTTCTGCCCTCAACTGGTCATTGGCCGCCATCATCTGGTTATGATCCGACGTCATTTTAGCCAACTCCCGATTGGTTTGGGCCAAGTCATCCTCGAGTCTTTGGTTCTGCCTCTCTAACTGTTGAATGGATCTGGCACAGTCGTCCTTCAGGGCCCTGATCTCATCCGAATGGCTCGCATGCAGGATGGAGATCTGCCTCTCCTGTTGCGTTCGCATTTCAATCTGCTCCGAGAGTTGGCGATCCCGGTCGGACAGTTCCTGTAACTGCTGCAACACCATCGCTTGCTCGGCGTCTGCCTTAACCACCGCCGCCGATAGCCGACCATTCAACTCCTCAGCCAGGGCCTTAAGAGTATTATGATGTTTCTCCTCATTCTCCGATATCTCTCTCTGCAGTTCTTCCATGACAGTCTTGAACTTAAGGTTGTGCAGCTCCTCTTGCTTGGTCATCTTAGTTTCCGCTATCATAGCCTCCAAGCTCACGGAATTCTCAAGGTCAACGATGCGCTGAGACATCACTTGATTGGACGCCTCCAGCTGAGACATCTTGAGCTTGCTGGTATTGAGGGACTCCTCCATGTCGGAGTGCAGGAGCTGTAACTTGGAATAGTCATTGCTGAGCTTCTCGTTAACCTCCTCGAGATTTTGAATTGTTTCGTTCTGGCGCTTCACGATGTGCGCGTTGGGATCGGCGGCGATTTGGTCGTTTAATTTCTGCACCTCCTCCTTCAGGACTACGGCTTCCGCCTCCAGGATCTGCCGAAGGTCATCCATCTTCTGCATCTTATCGAGGCAATCTTGAAGGAGATTCTCCGACGACGAGTCTACATCCAATCGCGACTTCAGGGCAGCCAAGACCTCCTCATCCGGCACAATGGCCCTGGCCAGCTTTGCCTCTGCCTCGGCCACTTCCTGCTGCTTCTGCTGCAAGGAGGAGCGCAGCTCCAGGTTCTTTATCGTGAAATTTTTATGCACCTCATCGAGCTGCTTCTCCAGAGCTGCTAGCTTATCGATCACAGCGATGTGCTTCAAGTTCAGGGCGACGTGATCCTTGTTGAGAGCATCGCGCTCCGCGGTCAGAATGGCATGTTTCTGGTTTAGAGTAGCTAACTCCTCCACGACTGAGTCGTGCTTCTCCTTAAGACCAGCCTGCTCCTCCAACGCAGCGGAATACTTCTCCTTTATAGCGACATGCTCTTCCATCACAACAGAGTACTTCGCCTCTAAAGCTTCGTACTTTTCGATTTCTGTGGCTTGCCGTTTGATCAGATCGGCATTCTCCGCCCGAATGCTGCGATCCATCTCTTCCAATTGCTCTGCCAAGTTAGTGATTCGCTCCTGGCCTTGGAGATTCGCCAATTTCAGAGTTTCGTTCTCTTTCATCAAGCGGTTCCTGGTCTCGATCACCTCTTCGATGCGGGCCAGAGTACGGTCCCAGTCATCAGTATCCTGATGCTGCTTCCTGCCCTCGAGCAGCTCCTGGCAATCGCTGTACCTTTGCCGGACAACATCATGCTTCAAATTGAGAATTTCAGCCCGATCGATTAGCTCTTTGTTCCTGTCGCAAACATTCTTGATGTTGTCGCCGAGCTGAGCTATCTGGACCTCCTTCTCGTCCAACTGCTTCGATATCGTCCCAAGGTGGGTGTCCGACGCCGCCAGCTTATCCCTGAGCTGCTTTTCGCGACTTACCATAGACTGGTGGCAGTTTTGCAAATCTATGTTCTGTTCTTGGAGCTTCATCATTTCGGATTTTTGCTTTTCCAAATCTAGACCCATGACCTGGCTGCTCTCGAATAGTCTATCATACATGATCTTTTGCTCTTCGTACTGCTCCTTCATGTCTTTGACCGTGGCGAGTTGCTCTTCATAGGCAGATTCCATAATCATGAAGGCGTTTCGAAGGCGCAAAGTCAAGGAGTCGTCGGGCTGGACCTCAGGCAGGGAGAACTTTTGGAGAGTCCCCTCCACTTCCTGGCTTAGCTGTTGGAGGGATTTCTGCATCTTAAGGAGCTCTTCTTTAAGCTCAGAATTCTCCAGCTCCCTTTCTCGCAGCTGCTTGTCGATCACGGAACTGGCCAGGTTTTCCGGTGTGGTGTTCGGCGATAGTGAACAATCTAACAGGTCTGAGGAAGCGTTGAGAACTTCACGGCGATTGTGTAGCTCGTCACGGGCCTCCTGAAGACACAGCTCCAGTTCCTGCTTGTCCCGCTGCATTAAACGGATCGCAACGTCCTTCGCTTCCAGCATCATGTTGGTCTCCTCCGACCGCAACTCTAGTTCCCGGATTCGATTCATGCAAACAACAACTTGCTCGGATGCCACTTTCAGCTAATCGTTCAGAGAATATTATTATTAGAATAGTATTTTATCCTGAACTTGATTGAAATGTGTGGCTAGCCTACCTTGTCTTCCACATCGGCCTTTTCAGTTTCCAAATCCTGCAGCTTATCCTCTGTGCCCGCTATAATGCCCTCCAACTGGTTGATCTCCTTCATCAGGCTACGCTTCATCTGAAATTCAGGTAAGATTTTATTGGTTTATGATTCCATCTACCTGTCAGTGCCCGCCATATGGCGGTGTCCCTGGTGTCTACCTACATTATCGAATTCGTTGGGCACATAGTTCTTTATGTCGCCATCCTCCTCATCGCGTTTATCTGCCTTTAGCTTGGCCAGCTGGCACTTTTTCACTGTATTCTCTGCGGAAGCGGAAAAACCCATAGATTCGCGGATTAGAACTCGAGGATGTAATCGTTTCTTCCTTACCTTTGGTTAGTGCGTTAATGAGGTGCTCATTTGCCAGGATCTGTTCCTCGAGAACATTTTTTTCATAGCGCTCGGTCTCTAGCTGGGCACGTAGTCCCAGTAGTTCCTTTGTCCGTTGCTCCAGGAGCTCCGTTTTGGGAGTGGGCGGAGCCTGCATTTCCGCACTATCACCGCTATTTGCTAGTACTTGGGCACGGTCGCCCCACTTCTGCTCCCGATGCAACGGAGTACTCGCCGGCGGTCCTGGCGAGTCTGCTGTGGACTGAATCTCGACCGCATCAGTGTGCGGATCATCTGAGTGCTCCTCATCGCTGCCATTGCTGTTGGGACTCATCGAGTTGGATGTGGAACGACGCGGTCGCGCACGCGGTGTACTGTCCGGATTACCGCCTCCGCTCGTTACTTCCGAGGACATCGTCGGCGTACGCACCACACATGCCATGTTCGCTATGGCTTGTCGCAAACACTCGCGGTTTAGCTGTGGTTTGGCCACCGCTTGTTGGAAAAAGGAGGCCACGAATGCCTGTGTGACATCGGGTAGCTTCTTGCAGATTGAGTGAAAGAAATCGCATGGTTGCTTCACGCAGGTGTAGTGGAGCAGCAGAGTATAGACATAAATAAAGTCAGAACCGACTACGTGACCATAGTTGTCCAGATGTAGGGTGAATTCTGGATAGGTTTCTGCAGGAGGTACAAGAGTCCTTTATAGGGGCGTATCAGAGAAAGATTCCGTTTACTTACCTTTGATGAAATCTTGGAGTGTAGATGGTTTATGCTCCAGCTGGGCCTGCAGTGCCTGGGCTTCTCCGGTCTCGGTCTCGGTCTCGCTCTCGGTCTCGGCATGTTGAATATAGACCTTGTAAAACCCCTCAAGATCCGTTTGCTCCAGAGTTATAAATGATTCTTCTATAAACTTGCATTCCGTGACCTGACGGGCGCAATATATTAGTTTCTTGACCGGATTACCTATCCACCGTACTTACCCACTGCAGCAGAATTTTTTTCCATGTTCTCATGTCCATGGCTGAGTCTCGGATAACTGTTGTTTCGGTTGGTGGAGGTAATGAAAAGTTTGCTGATGGATCGCAGATCGCAGGCGAAAAAAAAAATTAAACAAAAAAAAAAAAACCAAGTGACAACTATGACTATGATTTTGACACGAACTAAACGGATACGCGGATAACTATTAAATGATACGTTTTTAAAACTGGAACATACGAAATCTTTTCTTCTACAACGCGTCGTTCAATTTAAATACCGACACAGACGCTAAAACTCCAAGCAAAACGACGCGGGCAGGTAGTGTGACCACATAACCGCGATTATTCGCGGAAAACTATTGAAATCCCTGAAGAACTATCGATAACTTTTAAATATTTTTCGTTCATTATTATCATCATTATTACCATTATAATTATCATCATTATTATAAGATTTAAATCATGATACAATTATTATAATACCAATTATTAATAACTTACCAAGTAATAGAAATAAAACGAAATCAATTGAAATCTCAGGACTATCGATAGCTTTTAAATACTTTTCACACCTAATTATCATCATTATTACCATTATAATTATCATTATTATTATTATATTTAACTTACCAAGTATTAGCAAGAAAATCGTTATATATGGTTAAAAATCGCAAACGCTTTTTGATAAATATTAGAATTACACGAATTTATTTTTCGTTCTTGCGGCTTTTAGATGCTTCGAGATGTTTCCACGCTTTTTTGATAAATTTTAGAATTAGACGAATTTTTTTTTTTTTTGCTTATTCAGCTTTTGATGCTTTCAATGCGACAGTTGATAGTCAACTAACGATTCAGATATTCTGACTGCCTGACAGTGAAAGAAAAGCACTTTCCACAGCTACTAGATGAAAAATAATTGAAGCTTAAATTTGTGTGCCAACTTTTCAGAAATGGCCGTCCTCAAAAGAAAGTCAATTAGCCAAATTTTCCAAAATGGTGGTCCTCAAAAATAAGTCAATCTTGAACACTTTATAGGCCGCAAAGTACTTTTCCGATTTGTGTCACTGTCTGAGGAATATGCAAATCGACTAACAACTTGCCGAACAAACAAAAAATCACCGATATGATCCACGAAATTTTCACTCAAACGACAAAAAAAATGACGCGGGCAGGTAGTGTGGACAAACGACCAAACAAGTGTGACCAATTATCCGCGAAAGGCTATTGAACTATCAGAAGAACTATCGGTAACTTTTCATTATTTTTCATTAATTATTATTATAATTATTATTACCATTATACTTATCATCATTGTTACTAAATTTAACTTACCAAATGTTAAAAATAAAACGATGTAAATGCACTTTTCAGAGCTACTAAATCAAAAATAATAAAGCTTAAATTCGCGTGCCAACTTTTCCAAAATGGCCGTCCTCAAAAGTAAGTCAATAAGGAAACTTTTCCAAAATGGCCGTTCTCAAAAATAAGTCAATCTTTAACACTTTAGAGGCCGCAAAGCACTTTTCCGATTTCTATGAGTGTCTGAGGAATATGCAAATCGATTATGAACTTGCCGAACAAACAAAAAATCACCGATATGATCCACGAAATTTTCACTCAAACGTCGAAAAAAATCACGCGGGCAGGTAGTGTGAACAAACGACCAAACAAGTGTGACCTAAGAACTATCGATAAATTTTGAATTTTTCGTTCGATATATCCTTTTATTATTGTTTATTTATTATATATTACTTATAATTAAAATGATAATGATTAAAAGTAACACGTTTTAAATGGCAAAATTATGATACAATTAATATATCATGGGCAAAATATAACAAACGCTTTTTTATAAATAAAATAAGGTTATGTTCTTAACACTTTATTTACACACTTTTAACACTGATTTCTGTCAGTGTGTGTGGAATATGCAAGCCGATATATGAACTTGGCGTACAAACAAAAAATCACCCAGATGATCCACGAAATATTTACTGCAGTGTAAATAAACAATGCGTCGCTCCGTTGTATTGTTTTTGGATTCCAATTATTTTCTCCCGAATACTTAACAACAAATGCTCTCGGCCACAGAAAATGCCGAACGAAGCCCCAACGATAAACACACTGTTACCATTTCGCTACTCATTCGATCCCTGATCGCTGACTCGTCGTCACAATATCCACACCATTCCATATTCGCAAGTTTTTTGAAAATTCGCAAGAATTTTCCAAACTCTCCTTTTGGACGGAATCGTGTTCCATCGAATCGAACTCGCCTCAAATAAAAATCTGCAATGGCCGCTTCCGTCCCGAAACGTTATCCCCCGGAACCCAAATCACCCACGACCGTGCCACGAATAACGGTTACGCGTAATCCCTCAGGGATCCATGCGGCGGCTACAGCCGGGGCACCGGTCCCAAAGTCACCGGACGGACTGACCTCGCTGATGGCCAGGAAAAGCATCACATCCATGTCCGAGGAGGAGATTATTCAGGAGAATCTAAACGAGATCCTGGACCTCAAATCGCGAGTGAGTTTCTGGTGATTAGTGAATTATATTTTTTTTTAGTGCATTTGGATTACCTGTGACAATATTTAAATCTGAAAGCCTGGAAAATATGCTAAATCTTATTTCAAAACTAATAAAAGATGGATTACAAAATTATATAAAATACTTACAAATTTAGAAACATTTTTTATATTTATAAAAAACTGTCTTAAGTTAAAGACTTCATTCTTGAAAGATACATGTATGTAAGCCTGAAATCATACATTTTCCTTTTTTTTTAATTTTATTTTGATTTTCAGTAACCTTTAAGGATTACGAATAAATATTTTAAATTAAAACGCAATATTTCGAAATTTTCTAATAAATTGCAATAAGGTTTGTTAATTTTTAAGATTTTTCAAAACTACAAGTACAGGTAATGTTAAAATTTTCAATAAGCCCATAAATCTCATAAATGGGAAAAAATTATACACTTATATTTTAATTGTTTCAAAAACATTTCCTTATGGTTTTTTTTTTTTCAAAAATAAACACTCTTAAAATACTACCTTTTATTTTCATTCTTTGGAAACTGCATTCGAACATGTGCTTATTTGATTTTAAAGATCATAGATACTTTCTGTTTTTGTGGCTTGAGTCATCAGAAACACCTTGAGTTGATTTACGGGCACGTCATTCCGGCTCCTACGGACTCCGGCCGTAATTTTGCAGTACGACTACGGGTACGACGCCATCGATTCCGACGCCGTCATTACCAGAAGTTCGCCAATGTGTCAGAAATTAAAACCCAAAAAGCTTTAGATCTTTTGCAAATACAGTGGCTATTCCATAGGGATTAAAAATAATCTTATGGAATTCTTGAACAAAAGAGTATATTTGTTTTAAACTTTAAACATTAAAGACCTGAGTATTTATGTTTAACTTATGAAACATACCCCTTCCTCTAACTGAAAATTTATTTTTAAATAAACAAATTTGTTATATTACAATTTATGAAAAAATTCCTAGCCATATGCTAGTTTAATTTAATTAAAATGTTTTTTTTTTTCTAAAGCCATAAATCTTGAGTGCCTGAATACAATACATTATTTCCCTAAATTCCAATCAAATTCCTGAACAATTGTTTTATTAAATCCCTCTATTCAACACAAGTACTTTATTTATAAAGTACTTTTAAATCAGTGAGATTTATGGAGTACCAGGAAAATATATGGACTGTTTAGAAATATTTAGCCAGCATATGATTTTTGAATTAATATATTTAAAATTCTGGAAATTCCCTTTCGGAATTTCACTTAAAGTGGTTTTATGTTTATGTATTCGATCCAATGGAATGCAATAAATCAATATGATCGAAGTAAAACGCATTTCTAAGAATTCAAATGGGTTTTCTTCTCTTTTTTTTTTTTTGTGTGTCTAGTGAGTCTGATATCTACTGTAGGATATGTATTTCTCTTGGATTTTATCGTCTATATGGAAAACGCGGGATTTGTAAACAAAGTTTTTATGGCATCACATACAAAACACAAAATAAGAGAGAGAGAAAAACCAACAGCCCTGAAATTTAAGCAAATAGCACCTAGACATGGACATGACTCAGTTAATGTCACAATTCCCTGATTAATTTGTCCTTTTTATTTTTTTTTTTTTGTATTTCAGGAGGAACGAAAAGCCAACGGACGTCTGGTGGCCGTCATTGTCTGTTTTCTAGGTAAATAAAAACTATAAAATATAATAGTAACAAATACTAGAAATTGTTTCATCTGAAAAGCAGATGGCAACCAAACAATTTCCTGTACTTTTGTGGTGGGAATTCCTGAGCTTTTTTTGTTTAGAAACTAAAAGTGTCGGGTGGAAATGAAATTACTTCTAATTACAATTAATTATATCACGAGGTTTAGTTTAAACTTATTTTTTGAACTCTAATGAGTTATGCCAAGATTTAGATTTGTCTCGAAGGACCAAAATATTATAGATAGCTTAGACATTAAACGTTATCTTGGCCATAAATTTCATAAAATATTTTAATAATAATAATATTATATTATAATACAATCTTAATGATATATTTCTCTTTACAGTCCTATTCCTAGCTGTTTATCATGCCTGCGTCCGAAAAACGGAAAACTCCTTGGCGGGCGTCTTGGTTCCGGCGGGGATTATGCTCTCGTATGGAGCCTGGGTGGTGGTCCTGGCCAAAAGGGATAAACACAGAAGAGCCATGTTTGTAAGTTCTATTAAATCTAATAGTCCTTTTAAAGTTAAAGCTCAGAGATCGTTTTTTTTCCAGGAACGTCACATTGAGGAAGTGACTCTTAAGAACAAGACAGAGCTGGAGGAGAAGCATGCCAGGCATGCAAACAAGGCAGCAGCAACTAGTCACTCTGGAAGTGGACACTCCGGTAGTGGACACTCCGGTAGTAGTCATTCCCGCACAGCATCCACGGAGCAGTTAAGTGGCAGTGTCAGTCCCATGAGCACCCTGCACTACGTAAACGAGCTTCTTCCCAACGGTGATCATCGCCGGAAGCAGCGACGCCACCGGCACAAAGACCGCCATCCGGATAAGGATCATCCAGAGCAGCAGCGGCAGCGCCACCACCAAAACAATCCGGATATCGGAGTGCATCGCAGTATCGGAAACAAGAGGCCCAGTATTCGGCAAAAGCTATTCGGTCAGACCATTTCGCACGTAAAACTGGTGGAGGCGCAAAGTGACAGCACGGACAGTAGTCCGGGCATAGTATCCGGACCCCCGTCCAAGCCCCGAACCACCCACACAGTCAGTCTAGCCGATCCCGGCGAGAAACGATCCCAGCGGCTAGCCATGCCATAGATATAAAAAAAAATAATAGGTTCCGATCCGGATCCATTCGAAAGGGCTGGGCTGGTTGGGGGTATGGTTGGTATGGGATGGGATGGGATGGGATGGGATGGGATGGGATGGCCTCGCCTCTGTATCGCGTAAATAAATGTATTATAAAAAATATAAACAGGAAATTCGATTTTATTATTAGACGGCAATCAAAGAAAGGAAACGATCTCCGATCTTCGAATCGAGTCTGCGAAATCAAATTCTAAATACGTGAGAATTGTATTGTGCGTTCAGTGTGGCGCAGATTCCATTTCCCTGCACCGGAAGAAAAATATTTCCAAAAATTATTTCACTAGCAAATCATTCTTTAAACGGACGTGTAGTAGAAACCATTTTTAAACTAAACTAGGAGTGATTTTTTATTCCCAATCGTATTTCATTTTCTTTCCTAACTATCTATAAAACAATATCTAATAAAAACTACATCTTATTATTAGAAACCAACAAGTATTTATTTACTTAAAAGTCTTCAATATTGTTTTGATTTTCTAAACATTTTCACAAAATTTACTTTCCTATCAAAGCTCTCCCTTTTGTTTGAATTTTTGGCCACATAATTGGGGGGAAAATTTTTCAATTTGTATGGGTTTGGAATATATGTACATTCTTGTTTGCACATTTAAGATTTCCATTGTTTGTCTGCATTAATTTGTTCGGTTTTTTTTTTTTTTTTATTTAACGACTAGAACTATTTTCTCGCCGGTCCTGTGTTCGTGCCCCAAGACACGGAGTGGGCGATAATTCGCGGCACATTGTTTTCGGTCATTGGTTATTGTTATTACATTTTAATGGTTTACATGTGGTGTGCCACACTCGGTAGATGGTTTCCGCCCCCTGTTTTCCGGAACGGAACTGCCCTCGGGATTACTGGATAACCGAAATGTTTATATTTTTGGAAAATCACCTGCTACCTGGTTGGAAAAAAACGGTAAAAAATACTATTCCCGGGAGCTTTAAACAAAGTCTTTGCTTAAGGAGTACATAGAATCATTTGGTCTTCAAGCAAAAATCATATCTTGGCCATTATATTCGATCAAGGAAAAGCTTCGACTCTTAACTCTTCGCAAAACTGCATCAAAAGCTGGAAACAAATATTTTTTCGATTTTTTTTTTTTTATCAATTTTCTTTCGGAGACCTCTAAAAAAGTGGGGAAACCCATATTTAATTATAGATCTAAAAATAGAACACGATATCGTACGCGCCATATCGTAAAGAAAAGATATTGGTCTAAATTAATCGATTGTTCTAAATTCCTGAATCGATAGGTCTATCGAACTTTGCCCATCCCTAGTCGATGGCCGCTAATCACTTGGGCTTTGAACGAACGCAAACAATAACAACAAAAAAGATACACCAGACAAAAGAACGTTCAGGGACCGATTTTCCCGCAGTACGAAAACAACGGCGGCCGACTACGTCGGAAAAAGCAATAAATACACAAAACAATAGACCCGCCGCCGACGAGCGACGCGTCATTTCCACCATTTTTTTTTCCGCCTACTAGTGCGTTATTTGTGATTTTGCATTGTCAGCAGTTTATATTTTTTTTTTTAAAGAAAAAATGAAACTGCTTTTGGTGGCCATCGTGGCCTGCCTTCTGGCCATGGGCTACTGCAAGGAGAGGAAAATCTCCATGCTATCCGACGAATTTATTGAGTTGGTCAAAAACAAGACCAAAACATGGGAGGTGAGACGAAACAAGAAAACAAGTGGCGTGAACCATGGGCGTAAAAATCATTCTAAAAAAGGGGGTTTATTTGTTCAACTGCACATCCATATATACTTGTATAGTCATTTAAACAGTCATAATTGTATAGTCATTAAGTCATCAAAATATTTATGCACTTCCCTGCCACCTCTGGATAGATTCTAAAAAAACAAACCTAATAATATTCTCTTTGTTTTTTAAATAGGCTGGACGTAATTTTGATGAAGACGTCTCGGAGGAGTACATCCGTGGCCTGATGGGCGTTCATCCGGATGCCTACAAGTTCGCCTTGCCGGAAAAACAACAAGTCCTGGGCTATCTCTACCAGAAAGTGGATGACATTCCCAAGGAGTTTGATGCCAGGGAAAAGTGGCCCAACTGTCCCACCATCAACGAGATCAGGGATCAGGGATCCTGCGGCTCCTGCTGGGCCTTTGGTGCCGTGGAAGCCATGTCCGATCGGGTAATGCTTGTAGAATATTTTCTTATCAATACTTCTAACTATCTCTTTCTAATTCCATTAAATTTTATATATTTTTTTACTTAGAAAACATTTTAAATTTCTTGGAAAGAACTAGTCACAGATAACAGAACAAAGAATAGCATGAAAATAATGTTATAAGCCTTATGTTATATATATTCTTTTAATTTCAATATTTTTTCTATCCTATTTTATTCGTTTATGTCCATACTTTACCCTTATCTTATCGATTTTGTAGTTAGCCTTTTGTTTGACTCTCGTTTCCAGCTGATTCCCCCTTTGTTTCGTTTGCTAAAATGTCGCAATTGTATTTTTTTTTTTCATTTTCCAGGTGTGCATCCACTCCGGTGGCAATGTTAACTTCCGTTTCTCGGCCGATGATCTGGTGTCCTGCTGCCATACCTGCGGCTTTGGCTGCAATGGTGGATTCCCCGGTGCCGCCTGGAGCTATTGGACCCGCAAGGGCATTGTCAGCGGCGGACGATATGGATCCAAAACGGTTAGAAATACGCCCTTCTAAAAATAATCTGCAAAACCATGTATGAATCATATTTTAAACTGCTTATTTTGTCATATGAATGATTTAGGGTTGCCGTCCCTACGAGATTGCGCCCTGTGAGCACCATGTGAATGGCACCCGTGCTCCTTGCAACCACGACAGCAAGACGCCCAAGTGCCAGCACCAGTGTGAGGCCGGCTACAATGTGGAGTACGCCAAGGACAAGCACTTCGGCTCCAAGTCCTACTCGGTGCGACGCAATGTACGCGACATCCAGGAGGAGATCATGACAAACGGACCCGTGGAGGGAGCCTTCACTGTCTACGAGGATTTGATCCTGTACAAGAGCGGTGTCTACCAGCACGAGCATGGAAAGGAACTGGGCGGCCATGCCATTCGCATCCTGGGCTGGGGTGTATGGGGCAAGGAGGAAGTGCCCTACTGGCTGATTGCCAACTCGTGGAACGACGACTGGGGTGACAAGGGATTCTTCCGCATTCTGCGTGGCGAGGATCATTGCGGCATTGAGAGCGCCATCGCGGCCGGTCTGCCCAAGCTGGTTTAGCCCATCCATTCACTAATATAGCCTTCTGCCGATATATCGACAAACTATAAACCATAACCTATTTTTGTATTTCATTCCGAGCTCAAGCCCACAAGACGATTATTGTAGCTAATGTAAACAGCAACCAAAACCTGATTGATAATAAAGTATTTGAATATGACTGTGGAGAATGTGTGTATATATGTACATATGTGTCTAAAGTTCTAGAGTTCAGTTTGTACAGTTGAGCCTCCTCTACCTCCATATGATATGTTTGCTTTGAAGGCTTTGAATTACATTAATTGAATCAAAACAAAAACACTGCAAAAGCTATATATAGCTTGTCTCCCATGATAATGCTTATTTGCAGGAAATCGTATAAACTACATACTACATATGTATATATATATATGAATTATAAGCTAAGCTGCCTTTGTTTGTTTTTGATTTGCCTTCTCAGCGTAATGGCTTTCGTCTTGATTTGCGAATTGGAATTTGATTATCGCTTTAGTATTTATTTAAATAATCATTATTGACTCAACTGGGGCATATAAAAAAATATTGAAAACCAATACACTCGAACCTTATGTGGAAATAAACTAATTTTATAGAGCATTTTTTATATTTGATAGAAGTTTATTATTTAAATGTAAATATAGTTTATTATTTTAATGTAAAAAAATATTTTAAAAAAGAGATTTGCATACTTTTAGGCCAATTTTAAATAAAATTGAACAGTTTTTCGCATTTCGACATACCACCTTAAAATCCTTATTATTAAGGATTTATTATTAAGGACTCACGAAAAATGGACAAAAAAATCTGAAAAATATTTCGTCTTAGGATTTTGATGCAGAATGGTGGAGAATCGATCTAGAAATCGTTTAAGGTACTCCGCTTGAGAATCGGATGAGAATTGGGAAAGATATAGCCATCGCAGTGGGCCCTATAGGGGAAAACACCATTTTCAAGGGATCCCATCAGGAAAAATGGACAAAAAATCTAAAAAATATTTCGTCTCAGGATTTTGATGCAGAATGGTGGAGAATCGATCTAGAAATCGTTTAAGGTACTCCGCTTGAGAATCGGATGAGAATTGGGAAAGATATAGCCATCGCAGTGGGCCCTATAGGGGAAAACCCCATTTTCAAGGGATCCCATCAGGAAAAATGGACAAAAAATCTAAAAAATATTTCGTCTCAGGATTTTGATGCAGAATGGTGGAGAATCGATCTAGAAATCGTTTAAGGTACTCCGCTTGAGAATCGGATGAGAATTGGGAAAGATATAGCCATCGCAGTGGGCCCTATAGGGGAAAACCCCATTTTCAAGAGGTCCCATCAGGAAAAATGGACAAAAAATCTAAAAAATATTTCGTCTCAGGATTTTTATGCAGAATGGTGGAGAATCGATCCAGAAATCGTTTAAGGTACTCCGCCTGAGAATCGGATGAGAATTGGGGAAGATATAGCTATCACTGTGGGCCCATGTTTTACCCCTTCCACTGAAAGAAAAACACAGGTGTCTTTTAATTTGTCTTTGAACATTTACTTGCGCACACACATAGTTGAACACAACATAATGCCATCATGCCATACATATGCTGCGTATAATATTCAATGGATTTCTGCTAATTTGATTTACTTACACGACAACTTTTCTAGTAAATACTGCAATAGCACTAAACAAAAATTCACTAACTTAAAAACAATTGATGGAAATATATGATGCAAAAGTTTCTTTGTTTCGTAAGAATATTTTTCGAAAAAAAATTAATCATGTAATAATAAGATAAAAACACAGATGTTTCTCTTTTTTTTTTTTTTTGTTTTTAAGGTAGTACACTTAAAAATATTGGATCAAGACCGGTTTTTTTTTTTTAAAATTGTTTCATCATTTTTGAGGAGGAGGAACGTGGCGAGCGTCATGTTTTTAATTCCAAAATAGACGCACTATCTTTTTTTTTTATTTCGGTTTTAGTTAATATTTTCGTTCATCTCTTGGTATCTCTATAAATTACAGTTTATGATTTATCTTGTTGTTTTGGTTTCAGTTTGGGGGAATAGCGTTTTTTGGCGGGATCATCCTGCGCGGGGATTCCCGATTTTCATTCCTAACACGGTACTATTTCCGATTAATGGTTTACGCTTCCTTCTTGTGCTTGAACCTATTTTTAAGCAGTCCCGGTAATAACGATGCGCAGGCGCAAAACATTAGCACACCCATTGATGTCCAGGAGAACGCTTCACTGGAGCTGGTCATCTTTTGGAGCGTTTTGCCCGCCTGGATGGCGATCACCGAGGGCGGTGCCACACCGCAAAAGGTGCCCAGGGCGAAGATGTGCAACGGTACTCCAATTACCGGCGATGCCAGATTGATGAACCAATTGGGCAGGATCGGTGTCATTCGCAGGAATAGCATATAGTTGAATAGACTGTCCCGGTACTCCTCGACATGTTTGGACCATTCGCTGGTCTTCTTCGGCCAGAAGTGTCGGATGAGTCGCCGGCCCACCAGATTGGACAGAGTGTAGCAGAGCGTGGCGCCCAGCGCCGAGCAGAAACAGATCAGGAACAGGGCGATGGGGAACTTGTAGAGGAATCCGAGAAGAATCGACAGGAACAGCGATCCGGGAATGGCGAATGTTTGTAGGCTATAGGAATTTTATGGGGGGTCAAGGCAACCAGTTCAAGGTGGTTTCAACAGAATATTGTCAATTACAGTGGTTTTTGGCTAACACCTCTTAGTGATAGTGGTTTTCCTGCAAGGATCTCACAAGTATAGTCTTTACTGTACTCTTAGATTAGCATCTCTTGCTTGTACTAGTTGAACGCGTGCTAAAGGGGGCTATGTTATTAATAGACCTGATTAATTGCCAATGACACCACCCCCATCCCAGCGAGAATTCCTCTGTGTTCATCTGCCCATCGGACCACCTCTTGTGCAAATGCCCGATAACGGTTAACACTCTCACCCTGGCACCCAGCAGCACTCTCTCTTTCTCTCTGCCTCTCAGAGCCCCACCACAAGGCTGAGCGAAATGATCGCAGCTGCTTTGAATAATTGCGAGGCAATAAAAAAAAAAAAATAAACACACATACACACTCATACCCTCATACATCACACATGGCTATGAAGTTACGTATTTTTTTGTTCGCCTTGGCCGAGGGGGGGGCTAAAACGCAATTGAAATAGCCAACAACAACAACAAAATATAGAAGTTTGTGTCCAGCTCAGCTGATTTCTTACGAAAAAAAAACAGCAGACACAAGGGGGAGGTGGGGAAAAAAGAAACCAAACAAAACACAAAGAATGCGTCACTCGTCGCAGTGACCAAAGTCGATTTGAGAGCAAGCGAGAGATACAGATACAAATGAGCGCATGTTTAAGGCCAGTGAGCTGGGGTGAACCCAAATTATGGAATTAGGAGTCACAAAAAGAAAGAAAACATACAAAAACGGTAATCTCCAATAATAAATAAACAAAATTAATGATAAGAAAAGTTAAGTAATAATCCTCGTACGTTTTGCATAGATAATAGATATCTAGTGCAGGTGCACCCTAGTGTGTAAGTAGTGCCAAGGAGGCGTATTACTGATAGTGAGCACGCGCTCTCATGTGGGTAGGGAGGAAGTGGGAGTAAGAGCGGGTGCAAGCAAGCACACACCAGATGAGTGACAAGCACGTTCTTGCGCCCCGCTTCCTATAGCCATCTTACTTCCACCCACGGCCGAGGGGGGGCGCCCACATACATACATATGTACATAATTAATATGCACACACTATGCCCGGCGATCGTGCATATTAATTAATTCAAAAACCAATGTCCGACGCCGGCCGTGAATAGTTTTCTTCGTCGGCTCTTTTCCTCGTTTTTTTTGGTAATCGGGTCAAGGTTACCGATCCAAACAAAACACTATAGAACACCCCCCCACTCTTATCTAATCGATCTGGTTCTGGACTCCGAAGTAGCCAAAATTTCTACTGATTTTTGGATTTTGGATATTTTTGTTTGTAAAAGGATACAATACGTAAGCGACGACCACGCCGAACATAACCTCGAAGTAGTACATGTCCTTGTAGCGGTCCAGGACCTTGGCCAGCATCTTGGCATCTTGAATATCACGCGGTATTTTCAAATGTTTCTTCTCCGATCTGAAAAAAATTAAAAAAAAAAAAATACAGAGCGGAATTAGAGGAAGTCGAAGTGTAAACACATTCAAAGTGGCGTGACTTTAAGATACAAATGTACACACACACCAGATAGTGTTGTAAACTCTGCTATTTTCTGGCCAAATCTGGTTACCCTAGTCTAACCCCGAAAGATACTCGAATTTCTTTAACAATTACCGTTTTTTTATAGGGTCATAAATCAATTGGGTGTAATTATAATAAAATCATTAGGTAACTATTTCAATAAAAACCATAATTCCATATGCATACTGGAAGATAAGAGGGCTACGCAAGATCGCACCCTTAAATTTTGGATCCCCTCCTTGGACAGATTACTGTTTCGGTCTTGTCTAGACTATAACAATGTGCAACGTGGAATCTAACTATTTTTCCAGATCACCGACTGCTCGCTAATGAAGCGAAACAGCTCACCGGAACACACACACACACACACTCTTGGCGCAGGTTACACCTCACAGGTGCACCAATGCGCTGGGGACACATCATTCACATTTGAAGCAAGTCTCCGGTAATCTATCACCCAGACTTACTCATTGAGCTCGGGAAATATAGCGTAGACATAGAACATGGTAGCCACACTGGCCACGAATATGGCGGCCACAATCACCAGGGACTTCTTGGTGGCCTTTCTCTCGTCCGCCGACATGGCCTGTGACTGTTGTTGTGGATTTTGCTTTTGAGGGCTGGCCTGTGGCACCGACTCCTGTGCCTGATCCGGCTGATCCTGTAGGATTTGCTCCCAATCCAGCCTGCCATTGCGCTGGGTAAGTGTCGATGTTGCTGGTTCCGCTGTTGTGGTTGTGCTGGTGCTGGAAGCCGTCTGAATCTTATCAGCAACGTCTGGGAAACAAAAAAAATGATCGTTGGTGAGAGGTGGAGCAAGTGAATCCATCTTAGAGGGGGGGTGGTAATCGGCTGGCTGGGCTTCCTCATCAGCTGATAACACACCCTGGCCAACTACTTACCCATTGTTTCTGCAATCGGTGGAAACAGCTATATCACGCTCTATAGCAATATTCTTCGACTCATTTAGCGTCTAAGCAATTTATCAATTTAGTGTATTTGGGGGGAATTTTTTGTGTGTGTATTTGCGCGCCAGCTAAAAATTTTGTTGTTGTTTTTCTTCTCTAACCGTTTTTTTTTGTGTGTATGTGTGTGTGTGTGTGAGCTCGGGCGTGCGTGCCTATGTATGTGTGTGTGTATTCACAGCAAATTTAATCAATAGTATAACAACAAAAAAAAAACATGTAATTTAAAATAAAAAATCAGTCCGGAAAGCAAACTATAGCAATGCCACCATTGAGTCGAGTGTCCTGGCCCGTTGTGCTTGTCTTTTATTTTATAATTTGCACTACCGATATTCGTGTGTAATATTTGGCACGCGCGCTCGCTGAAAACCGAAATCTAAAAATTCGCTCTCATTTAACAACAGCTCATGTTTTTGTGCAGTGTGACCGCAGTTTCCACATAAAATTTCACCAAAAACCGATTTACTAATGCAGTCTGGTCATACTAAATTTTTTAAATAAAAATTACTAAAAAGTAAAAACATATTTTAGATTTTAAAAAAAATAATTAAAAATGTATATGCCTAGAATACTCTCATACTTTTTCAAGAATAATTACCATTAATTTTAAATGTGCTTTCATAAATATAAACATGTTTTAAAAATTAACAAATGCATTATTGTAACATTTATTTCTTATTTAAGCCTATAAAAAAACCATCTATAGAAAAGTCTTTAGTCATATCTATCTTAGGGATCTGCGGCTGCTTGGTTCTTCAGCTGGCGGTACAATAAAACCATCTTATTTCGCTCGGTTTCAAGCATGGAACGTGTAGCCGCTGGAAGATCCTTGCGTTTGCCCTTCATCTGGGCCTTGGTGGGAGTTTTGAAGGGTGTGGTTTTCGCCTTGCCCGGGAATCCACTTCGCTTACTGCCCTCGGCATCCGCATCGTTGGAATCTAGAGTTTTCGCCGTGTCCAGCAATGATTTCAGCAAGAGATTAGACTTGCGTCCGGGTCGAGGAACTGTCTCGTTTTGTGGAGCTTTGCGTGGCAGAGTCTTTAGCGATGGCGGAGCATGAACGATCTCGCCAAAGGCGAATGTATCCCGTTTGTACTCCGTGGGCGGGGCATTCTGCTCGTCTTCGGAATCGACCTCCTCCTTGGCCTCCTTGTAGGCTCGTTTGATCAGCTCCCTGCTTGTTTTCGCATCCATGGTGGCTTTGGGCACCTGCTTGCCCTTGCGACCACCTTTACCAGCGCGCCGCTCCTTTTGTTTTTGCTTCAGCAGTTCGTCAATCTCATTTTTGGGCCTCTTCTGAATGGTTATCTCTCCAGTCTTGGGATCGCGTAGCACATTGACACCGTACTTGGCCTCGTATTGGGCCTCCCGCACCGAGGCATTGGTAATGCGATTCACACGTCGCAGATAATCCTCATCCGTCTCGTTGGCGAACTGTTTGATATTCCTCGTCTCCTTCGTGGCCACAGCACTGCTACTCTTCTTCGATCCAGTCTGCAGGGACTTGGGCTTGTCCTCCTTCCCAATGGCACCCAGCTTGACCTTTTTGCCCGTCTTTGTAGCATCGGCCAGCTGCTTGAACTGTCGGAATTTGAACGAGACCTGCTGTTCGTCCTTCCTTTCTGGAGGATTGTTCGTCACCTTGGAGAGCCTGCGCAATAGAAAGTGTTTTGTTTATAAAGTTAATTTTATGATTGGATTGCGCATGTTTGTTACTTCTTTTCCCGCTGTTCCTGCTGCTTGAGAGGATCCCGAATACCGTGGTGCTTGCGCACTGGGATTTTTCGTTTCCTGGCCATTATTTTTATTTATCTTTCAGTCTCCTAACGCGAACTCGTGGTTTTATTTACATCCAAAGATCAGTGTGACCAGATGTTGAAACCTAAAAAAGACGGTCGGCTATAGTTAATTTGTAAATATTATTATTTAATTCTATACAAATTGATGCCATTTTAATTTAATTAAAACTCATACTAAAATTATTATAAGATACTTACATGTTTTGAGTTTTTTATAGTCTTTATATGGTAGCTCCACTTTTTAAGGTGTCTGAGTAGACATCTGAGGAGAGTTTTTGAAAAGATCGAAACATTTTTTTTTCGCTTAAAAGATTCTTTAGGGTCTTAAAAATAACATATCAAAAGATAGAGTCCGGCAAAAGTGTCGAAGTGTCGAAATTTTCCATTCTGCGGCGATGCCTCACAGGTATATCCCACAGTACTTAAAACTTTAAACGTGTTTCTCTCGAAACCACTTTTTTTGAGGCTGCATTTTTTGAATTTTGGCAGTATATTTAAAATACCTTTATCTATCGACACCCGTAGAATTTTTAATTTCTATATTGCTTACTTTTTTTTATCAACAATTTTGTGACGTTTTTTTTGTCGTGAAAATTTTAACTTTTTTTCAATCACTCACCATTTTGCAAAAAATGAATATATCCCAAAAATCTTACGTGTGTCGATTAGCTATTAATGTATAGAAACTAACGAATCTTGATTTTGATTTTGTTCTACATAAAAAATTGAGGACTTTAGCTGTCCGGTCATGGACCCCCTTTAAAAAAATTGGGCCTACAAAGAAATGCTGCACAGCCGCCATTTTGTTTTCGATTTATTCGAAAATTCCAGAAAATCCGCTTATTTCCCCCTGTTACTCAGATGTCCCCCCTTAAACTTAAGAGTTTGAAAATAAAAATCAAATGAATGCGTTCTGTTTTTTTTTTATTAAGTGAGATATAAAGAAACCATTAAATTTTTAAAATACATCTTGTTAAAAAGTAAAAAAAAATTCACATTTATATCTTTGGTATCTTCTATACTTCCAGAGAACGCTTTTTTTCACAGCTCATGTTTCAAAATTAGTCTTCTTCGAATAAAATTCAATTTAAAAGTTTCAAATCAAATATTTATGATGTAACTTCTTGTGTAAATCTCTTGAAATGTTTGTTGCCTCAAAGGCTTGATATGATTTATAAAGGCTTTTAAAAAATTTTAAAATTATTTGTTGAAAGATTTGAATAAACGTTGTTTTGAAATTATAAATCGTAGTTGATTCCATTGTACTGGGAATTGTAATCGTCATAATCGTCATCGTTGAAGCACAAGTCATCATCGAACGATAAATTGGATGAAGCGAAGTTCAGAAGTGAGTTCCGACTTGGAGTCGGAGCTGGTTTAAAAAAATCATCAATATCATCATCATCGAAGGCATTTTTCATAGCGTGTGTCCTACCGGTGGAGGTACTGGGTATATCATCGCCTGGTTGATCGTAAGGCGATTTCCCTGCTGTCGAGGACCACTTCATAGCATTGGTGCGTGGCGGTACAATAATCTCTACATTGGTAACAACAGCCTTCACAGGGGCCTTTTCCAACAATGATTTTATTTCTTTTTGCTTTTCATTGTCCCATTTCTCGATTTTATTCATCTCATCCTTTGATTCTGCGATTACAACTTCGCACACCTCCATGGGAGTGAGCTCTTCTGGTGTTTCCTCTATTTCCACGCATGATTCCGGAATATCGGGTAGTGACTCTGTTTGGCCTGGATCATCGTCTTGATTTTCAGATTCCAAAGTTTCTGAAATTTCCATGTCTGTTGTAGATTCGGTTTTCTCCTCTTTTTCAATTTTATTCTTAGACATCTCCTCCTCTTTTTCAATCTTCTTTATATCTTCTTTAGGACTACCGGACTGGAACAAATCTTCCTCATCTTCCTCAGTGTTATTATCTTTAGGTTTCTTAGGAATTACAATCGAAGCATTAGAATCAGAATTGTCAGGTGACGGGAAAGAATCCTCTAAAGATGACTGAGACGAATCTTTCTTATAAGTATTATTCTTATAAGATTTCATTGGAATCAGTTGGGAATTCTTAGTGCCTTCTTTTTCTTCGTTGAAAGATTCGTCTGAAGAATCCTCTGAAGAATGCTCCGAGGAACTATCTTTGTCTTCATCTTCTAATGACGGCATGTCATAAGCAAATCGTTTGGCGGGCTGACCCGAGCCAGTATCGGCATCGTCCTCCCGTGGACGAATCAATGTAGATCGCTCCGAATTCTCGTCCTCGCTTTCAATACCGTCCATTCCATTTTCCACCTCCTCTTCGGCCGGCTCTTCGCGGCCATTGGTAGTCGGTGGGTAATTCAACTTCGGTACCGACAATCGGAATTTTTTATCTTCGTCCTGATAAAGTTTTTCTACTTGCATTTCACAGTATTGTTTAACCGCTTGGCGTTTTTCTTCTTCAGAACTGAATAGAATACGATGGAGCAACGTTGGTGACTGGTTCCTGTTGCTTTTATAAAAATAATTTTCACGCCATTTTTCGTCACCACGGTTCGGTATCATACGAACGTGCTCCAGGGGAGTAGCGAACTTTACCCGCTTGCCGGAATCAATCAACGATGAGCTGGTATCTTCATCGCTGATCTGAGCCATAATGAGACGCAAAGATCTCCTACGTCCGTTAAGTTCATCTTCAAACTGAGTTTTCGACTTTTTTAGAATCGATGGTTTTGTGTTGGGCTTTATTAGTTCAGAAATATTTTCCTGAACTTGACTTTTTGGCGGAGAATTCATCGTAACTGATTCAAATGCTGAAGACAACAAGGATGATGTTGATTCAAATGCCAAAGGCTCCTAAGTAATTGAAATTCAAACAAAACAAATTGAGTTATCAACAAAAGATTGCTTTGATTGCTAAATATTGAATAAAGATTGTACTAAATGGGTTATAATTCTCAAAGATGTATGTACCTCTGATTCTAAAATTTGCTTTTGTGCCATCAATACGCCAACTAGCATATTGTTAAAACGAAAATTGTGTCCTTGAATCTTCTCCCTCTTTAGATGTAAAAGGTCTTTATATTTCTTCTCAGTATCGACAAGCTCTTCCTCAGCCTCTTTGATGGCACTTTGCAGATGACGAAACTGTTGAACTAATTATAACAAAAACATGATTAAGCATGTCGGAATATACATATATTTTATGGTATATAAATTCAATAAAATCGTACCTATTTCCCGCTTCTCCATGTTGTTGAGACCTTCCTGACGCTTTTTTAACATCTCCACTTTCTGCTTGTGATCCTTGTCGGTCTCCATTTTGTTTAACTGTAATTTGTTGCCCAGGAGCTTCGTCAAGTTGATGTTGTTTAAGCGGCTCTCCACTTGAAGGGCTATGGCATAGGCTCGGTTAGCCCGCTCGATTGCCTTTGCAACTTCGGAACGTTCTTCCTCCACGGTCTTGCGGGCCGCATTAACTAATACCATATCAAAGCATAGATGCTCCAACTCTTTATTAAGAGCTGCCACAATAAAATTTAAAAAAAAACACAAATTTATGTTCTGAAAATTGAAAATTTTTTGCGAAACTTACAAGCTTCCTTGGCTGTCAAAGAACGGTTTTTCGTTAGAAGCTCCTCCAGCTCTGGTATTTCATCACTATGCTGCATTATTTCAGCCATAAAATTATTAGTTATAGAATTTTCTCCCATTTCGTTTGCAGGCTTTCTTAAATGGCGTCAGTTCCGCTAACTTTCAAGGAGCGTCGCGCGTTCGTTATGCAGTGTTGGAAAGTTTCAGGCCACGCGGTATGGGCGATACATATCCGATATATTTTAATGTACTTAAAATAAAATGCACAATTTATTAAATTGACAATATAAATAATTTATTAAACACTAAATAAACAAGATGAATAAATTTAAATTTGAATTAATCCTATATTATATTAAATAGGGATTTTTTTTTTCAATTACCCATCACTAAAAAGTGCTGCCAAGCGCTCGCACTAAAATCAGCTGTTGCGGTGCTTGTAAAAAAAAAAAAGAAAAGCAGGCAACGATATTTCTCACATAAGAGCAGATTTTCAGCTTGCTTTCGTTTCGGACAAACAATACAATGCTGACGAATTGTGCCGCCAGGACGCTTTCCGCCGTGGTGAGTAGACAACCGGGCTAACATCCCGGAAAACCAAGTTGGGACGACAGTTTCGCCATTCCTTTGATTATATAATTTGCCAAAAGAAAAACAATAACATTAAGGATTTTCCGGCCTTTTGCAGCGCGGCGGAATACGCGCCATTGCCACAAGCAGCGCTCGCGCCAGCGACAACCTGTTTGTGCACCGCGACACCCCGGAGGACAACCCGAACATTCCGTTCGAGTTTACGCCGGAGAACAAGAAGCGCGTGGAGGCCATACTCAGCATCTATCCGGAGGGTCACAAGCGCGGCGCCATGATCCCGCTATTGGACTTGGCCCAGCGCCAGTACGGATGGCTGCCCATTTCCGCCATGCACAAAGTGGCCGAGATCCTGGAGCTACCGAACATGCGCGTCTACGAGGTGGCCACCTTCTACACGATGTTCATGCGCAAGCCCACGGGCAAATACCACATTCAGGTGTGCACCACCACACCCTGCTGGCTGCGCGGCTCTGACGAGATCCTCGAGACCTGCAAGAAACAGCTCGGCATCGGCGTCGGTGAGACCACCAAGGACAAGAAGTTCACCATTTCGGAGGTGGAGTGCCTGGGCGCCTGTGTGAATGCTCCCATGGTGTCGGTCAACGACGATTACTATGTAAGATTGTATTTCCCCGTGGGAAGGTTCTCTATTAGATGGCCAGATAGGAGGATAGGAAAACAATATCATTTAAAATCGATTCAATTAGATTTTTTTATTTTGTTTTTTACATAAAAAACACACATGTACTATGAGCTTAAAGTAGAAATATTTAGATTATTTGTGATTTTGGTTATAAAACCAGAGGATCTCCCTTTAAAACTTTACTTGTTGCTAACTTTGTTATTGCTTTTGTTTTCCAGGAGGATCTGACGGCCAAGGATATGCAGAACATTCTGGCCGACCTGAAAGCTGACAAGGTATCGCCGCCAGGACCCCGGAACGGTCGTTTCGCTAGCGAGCCAAAGGGCGAGCCCACTTCACTGATCGAGGAGCCAAAAGGTCCTGGCTTTGGTCTGCAGCCTGGCCTCTAAATAATGGCAGGATATACCTATTCACTGATTGTCGAACGAAAGTTAAATAAAAGTTAAGCAACTCGTAGAGGTCCTTGTTAAAAATCCATTGATTTTGGCTTCCAAATTTTTTTGTTTATTTTTTTTTTTGTAAATAATAAGAGAAAATAAGAGTTGGTTTCTGGTGACATTTATTTTTTTGGAGACGAAGGTCCATTTATTCATATTTATATTACTAATTTTGATGTACTATTCGGTAGCGTACACATATATTCAAAACTTTTTCGAGTGGGGAAGGGGGAGGGGTTGGAAAAAGTGGCCAAAATTGACAAACAAATTAAAAAATAATAAAAGATCAACTAGAAATAGTCAAGAATATCCATTTTTCATCGAGGATATATATATATATTGAAGTTGATTTGATGCATAAGAAGGATTCCATTTAAAGGAATCGTATCTTATAAATTAATGTAATTTTTTCTTATACTTTTTTTTTGGGACACTTTTTTTTTTTTTTAAGGTTTCCTACGATTAGGTGGCCTCTTACGAACTAGAACGCTGGCTGATAGCAGCACAACCAGATATAATACCGAATATATATGGTGCTGCCGATCACTTAGATGCTATTGAAAAACTGAATTCAGTTTCTCGGTTTTTTTTCTGTTTTTTTTTGTTTTTAAATTTATGGTGTATGTGTGGTGTGTGGGTATTTAATTCCGGCCGAATAATCTACGACTCTGATGGTCCTCCCCTGCGCGAGCAACGCCTGCGTGCCATCGTTTGCTAAACATAAACAAAAACAAAAAATAAATCAAAATATTTAAAAAAATAAAACAAAAACAAAAAAAAAAACTACGGATCACTAAGTCCCTACTTTCTGGAGGAGCGCGGCCCATTTAGTTGTCCTTCTTAGTTATTTTATTTTTTTTTTTTTTGAAGAGGAGCGTCGACCGGGGAGTTGACCCATACTCAGTCCTCTCCATAGAAAATTCTAAAAAATAAATAAAACCAAAAAGAGAGAGAGAGGGGTAATTAAGCAGCACAAAACAGAATGAGAGAGGAAATAGAGAGATAAAGAGAGAGAGAGTGAGGAGGAGCTGCAGCAGTGCCCACAGCCCACAGCCCATAGCCCATAGATAGAGATACCCCCTTCTTAAACCCTTTGCACACACCGATTCTTGGCGGCGGCCCGCTTCGAGGTGCGCTCAATGCGATTATGGAAGTTGGTTCTCGGGTAGCATTCGTTCACCAGCCGCTTTGTCTTCTTTGGCGATTCGCGCAGAAACTTGGCATCAACATTGGCCTGGCTCTCCATTTTGCGCTTGAACTTCTCAATCAGATCCTCGCACGACAGATTCGACTCCGGCTCCCAGGTATCGTCTTTGCGTCCAAATCCCTTCCACCTGATACGATACAGGCCACCATCCTTTTCATCATCCACATAATCAATGATACGTTCAACGACCCATTCCTTTTCTGGATCATCGGATGTGGCTGATGATTTTTTGCCACCTGCAGCAGCAGCAGTATTGGCAGACGAAGCACGTCCCTTAGTGCCAGTGCCAGCCTTCTTGGCTGCCGGTTTGGGACCCTTTCCGGCTTTGACTTTGGTATTTTCTTGCTTTGTCTCCTAAAAAAATTACAAAATTTTAAGCCAATTAGTAAAAAACTATAATAATCAGCGATGAATCTTATATGTTACCTTGGCTTTGAATTTTGCAATTAGATCCTTGCAGTTGAGATCAGCCTCCGGCTCCCAGGTATCCTCACTCTTGTCGTATCCCTTCCAGCGTACCTGGAAATAGGAGACGCCGCGCACAGTCTTGTGTCCCACAATGGCTTCCACCTGAAAGAATCACATTTCTTATTAGGATTCAAACTTGATCCCATTGGAACACCAGACTCTACATGGTACAATAGTGTATGGTGTATGGTGTATGGTGTCTGGTTCATTGATTTACCAACCAAAGTTGGTCAACGATCCAACGTTGGGGTTATGTTTTACAAACATTTTCATGGCATTGCCATTCTTCGTAAAGATGCATGCATGTGGATATATATGTATGTGTATTCACTTACCTCGAACTCATCTTCACCGCCATCGGGTTTGGAGTCATTGGCGGCCACTTCCTTATCACCTGCCGGCTTGGCGGATTTTTTTCCGTTCTTGCTTGACGATGCTTTTTCAGGCGCTTTTTCTGGCGCCTTTGTGGCGGCTGCCTGCTTGGTTTGCTTGCGTTTCTTGGCCGGCGTGGCGGCACGAGAATCATCATCTTTGGCATTTGCGGATGCGGATGCCCGGCCGTTCAGGGGAAGATCATCACTGTCTTCGGAGCCGGAACGATCGGTCGACTTGGCTTTGCGCTTTTGTGCGTTTTTCTTACGTGCCGCGGATGATGCGGTAGAGATCGATCCCGAAGATCCGGTGTCAGCGTTGGAGCTACGACGGGTGGCCCGCTCCACTGGCTCCACTGTCTGCTTTTTACCGTCCTCATCGGTGTCGGCTCCGTTTTTGATTTTTTTGCGGCTCAGCTCCTCGACCACTTTCTTTTTTCCCACCTTCACCATGTTGGCGTCCGAATGTTATGATTTCGCGAATGGGTTGTTGGGTTGTTTTCGCGTTCCACCTCCTTGTTTCCCTTCAAGTTGTTTACGACAAATCCAGTTTTCTTCTTTTGCCGCGTATTGGCCACTACAACAACTACAACAAATTTCGTTTTTATGGCAAAGTGCTGTATCAACTGTACGCAGCAGTGTTACCGTTCGATTAGCCGGAAAAAATATCGAGTTCTTGCAAAAATACCAAGAAAAAGCTAGATTCAGCTTTATTTTTATAAATATAATTAAATCTTGCCAAAAAAATAATAATTTCTATATAAATAGTTGTATTATGGTTCAAGGAAATTTAATAAAATAGTTTTTGTTCTTTTTTTAAGAAAATTCTTAGCAATTAAATCATATATTTTAAAGAAAAATAAAAATATTTATCCTTAAAAAGTCTACATTTAATTTAAAATATTAAGAATTAAAAAAGCTTAGTCAAAGACCTAAATTAACGTAAAGAATTTTAATAAATTTAAATATCTAATTATTTATTTCTGGTATTTTTTTAAATTTTAAATATGCCTATCGTCTATCGATAAGCCGATAGCCAGGCGCACGTGTAGCCAAAAAAAGAAAAACATTTCTTTAACTGGTTGCTTTTACGTTTAAAACATGGTCAGTTCGAAGCCTAAAGGAACTGCCAAAGTGGCCGCCACAGGCGACAAGCCCCCGCCTGCTTTCAAGGCCAACAAGTCGGCCAGTAAGCCCGCCGGAAGTCCAAAATTCAAATCTGGTGGAGCGCCTGGCAAGTTCGGGAAACCGGGACCAGGTGGAGCTAAAAAATTCGGTGGAGCTGGAAAGCCTGGGGGACCTGGAGGATTCAATAAGTTCAGCAAACCCGGCGGAGCACCAGGAGGTGGTCCGGGTGCTAACAAGTTCAATGGGAAACCACAAGCTCCGGCCGAGGGAGAAAAACAGGACTGGGCCAAATTCAAGAAGGAAAAAAGGATCTCAAGCTCAAGCGTAAGAGCTCTAAGGACACATACGAGATCACCAAGGAGGCTAAGCAGATCTACGAAAAGCTGCGATGGTAAATTATTAAAAAATAAATATTAAAATTAAGAAAAATATTTATTTTATGACTTACCTTGTTGCAGCCGTCGCACCGAGAACAAAGACAAGCTGGTGGAGCAGATCTTTAAGGTCCTGAACGTAGGCGATACCATCTCGAAGGTGGTGAAGGCCCATGACACTGCCCGCGTGCTCCAATGCATGCTGAAGTACGCGGCACCAGCCCTGCGGGCGCAGATTTCGGAGCACCTGCTGCCATTCACCGTTGACATGTGCCAGTCGAAGTACGCCCAGTTCTGTGTCCAGCGGATGCTGAAATACGGAGCTCCGGCCACCAAGACGAAGCTGATCGACAGCCTGATGGGTAATGTGGTTCGATTGGCTGGTCACAACATTGCCAGCGGGCTATTGGACACCATGTACCAGGGTGCCACGCCGCAGCAGCGTATTAACATGCGGCAGGAGTTCTACGGCGATCTGTACCGCAAGGCCAAGGATTCGAATGTCAAGACTCTGAGCGACACCTACAAGGAGGCCACCAACATGAAATCCTCCATACTGAGCGCCGTTAAGGCGAATCTGGACCATGTGGCCAACAAACAACTGGTGGACAGCGCCCTGGTACATGCCGTAATGCTGGAATACCTACGCGCCTGCGACGAGGACGAGGAAAAGCTGGAGGAGACTGTGTCGGCTTTTGCGGCCCTTGTGCCCCACATGCTGTCCACCAAGGAGGGCAGCGAGGCGGCGGTCATCTGCTTCTACAGGTCCACACCCAAGAATCGGCGTGCCATCATTAAGAACATCAAGGAGCACCTGCTGAAAATCGCCACACATGAGCACGGCCACGTGTTCCTCATTTCCCTGCTGAACTCCCTCGACGACACAAAGGCCACCAAGAAGGCCATCTACGACCACTTGCACGGGGACCTGAAGACGCTGGTGGGCAACCAGTACGGCCGCCGGGTGGTGCAGTGGCTGGTGGCTCCCGGAGACAAGGCATGCTTCCATCCAGAGTTCATTCGCGTGGTGGACGAGGGCCTGGCCTTCGGCAAGAAGGAGAAGGAGCTGCGCCGCAAAGAGATATTCGAGCAGATCGAGGCACCCATTGCGGAGGCCATTGCCGAGGATGCCGCTTTCTGGCTCTCCAACAGCCACATCGGCTTGGTCACAGCCGACATCCTAAATCACAGTAAGTATAGCAATATCCTATGTTTCCCACATGCTAATCCTTATCTTTCCTCCCATAGTTGAAGGAGAATCCTATGAAAAGGCAGCTGTCGCCTTGGCCCAAGTGGTGGCCCAGCCGGAGTGGAAAATATCAGCCGATGCTGCCGGCGCCCAGCCGCAGGACAAGAAGAAGCCCCACAACGACGTGGAGGCCATCATAGCCGAGGCCACCAAGCAGCGCAAGAAGCTACTCAACGATGTCAGCAGCAGCAGCGAAGATGAAGATGATAACGAAGATGAGACGGAAGACGATGGTGCTCCCAAAATCAAAAAAGCCAAAAAGGCATCCAAGGAGAAGGCTGAGCCAGAGGTGCCTCTGGTAGTGGGTATCGAGGAAGCCGGCATGCACATTGTTTTAAAGAAGATTCTGAAGACTGATGGCAAACGTCCAGGAACTCCGTTCGGCCAGCAGCTCCTGCAGAGTCTCTCCCCCGAAACGGTATATAGAAACTATTTTAAATATTTATTTTTTTTTTATTTTTGAAAAACAGTCAACTGGAAGAAAGTGTATTTCTTTATAATAGATATTCTTATTTGTTTGTAGCTTCTGGTTTTAAGTACTTTAAGTGCATATTTTAATATTTTAAGTATTTTTTTTAAGTGTTCTTTACAATTAATGGAATATTCTGTCATGTCTTTGCAGCTCAAGTCGTGGTTGGGCGTCAATCGTGCCTGCTTCGTTCTGGTCAAACTGGTGGAGGATAGTACCGATCTGTTGGCTGCCTGCAAGGAGGTCATCAAGTCCGAGAAGAGTCTGCGCCAGCATCTGCTTGGCCAGAAGACGCCCGGGGCCAAGCTATTGGCCACGAAACTGGACTTGAAAAAATAATTCCCCTTAGTGCTAGAGAGAACCTAACTCTTTTTTTTGTTTTTTTAAATTTAAATACATAAATCTTATATATTCAGAAATGGCTGTAAATTAAGTTTTATTTTGTAAGCGAGTTGTTCAGTTTACGCCTTGCGCAGGATAATGTGCAGTCCGGAGTCGGTATCCACAATCCCCGACAACTGGCCGATGTTCAGGCCGAAGGCGGCCTTCTCGAATGGTGGCTGCATCTGACCTGTTTGGCAATTAGGGGGATTTAGAATATGATCTGATTTGAATAAGTGTATATGGAAGCCATACCTCTGCCGAAGGTGCCGAGATCGCCGCCACGCCTGGCGGAACTGCAGTCCGAGTAGGAGCGTGCCAGCTCATCGAAGGTTGCCTCCTGCTGGACGATCTTGTTGCGATAGACCTCCAGTAGTAGCTGCGCCTCTTCCTTGGTGCGGGTGATGTTATCCTCGCGCCACGAGCTGGGGCGCCGGCTGCCCTTGTGCTTCACCAGCAAATGGAGGCACTGCACCTCGTCAGGGGCATCGCCTCCAGAGCCGCCGCCGCCGCTAGAACCACCGGCTTTCTTGGCCGGCTCGGTGGGCTGGTCCCACTGGGACTCCTTTGTGTGCACGTTCAAGTAGTAGCTCATACCTGCAAAAATGCCGGGTCCATAAATAGTTCCCCTATTGAATGGAAATGCAAGCTTATATCATGGGATAGGGACAAACCTGTGGAACGGCTGGTACGCTTCTCCCAGCCCTCGGGTAATTGCTCGGCATCAGGCATCTTTCTTTCGTTTAAAGAACTGCAAATAATATATTTTTTTTTGGTTGTTTGTTACCAAGACGCCCCACAAGCGTGGAAAACACACCGGTAGATAGGTATTTACTTGTTCTTGTTAGTATGTTGTCTTCGAGAAAATCCTTAACGCTAATTTTGGATTTCCTTTCTTTTAAAAATGCAACTAGTCAGCAGCAAAAATTAAAATAAAAGGCCGAATCCACAGAATTTTTTGGCGAAAATTTTGAGGAATATCCACAATGCATCGATATTTAGATGTTGTCAATTGTACGCAAAAGAAATATCGATATGGGAAACTATCGCAACTGAAAATACCAGGAAATACCTATAGATGGCGCTGCTGAGCTGTTATCGGAGGTTTGTTGTCGATTATTTGTATATTCTGGTAACACTAATTATCAGAAAACACCGATGTTTCCATCTCTACTGTGGAATCACATCTCCGCCGCTGAACGCTGAAGACTGTATTTTTTTTCGAGTGCAATTCGGCCAATAAGAAAATTATTAAATACCCAAATACTCCCCCAATAAGATAATAAATAAAAAGCACTGGGGCGAGGGTTAGAGAAAGGTGTCGCGTATGTGAACGAGTGTATATGTGTGACGTTTACAGAAACAAAAAAATAAATAAAAGTTCGGTGGCGTCTAAATTTTTGAGTTAAATTAACCGTACATATACATGTACATTAATGGATCGTTGGCGATAGGAATATTGGCCAAGCTGATCTGATCCGCAGAATGCGTTCTGATTGAATACACCAGCCAGCCACCCAACTCCCCAAAAATAAAAAAAAAAAGTACAACAACTTGAGAAAAAAAAGGGCAACGGCAATTTGTTGCTGCCGCTGCGACAGCGACAGCGATAACAACAAAAGAAAGCCCCGCCCCCCACGCCACCAAAGCAACGGTTCATTCACAGTGGCAGCAGCACAGTAGAAGAAGAGGAAGAGGTATGTAAGTTCTGCATCCCACTGCATTTTTCTTTTTTTTTCCCCCCCATTTGCTACATATATGAATTTTATTTTATGGTCTTTTTTTTTTTCTAAGCCAAACAAAACTGGCTACGTGTGTACGTGTGTGTTTTTGGAGTGTGCATCTTTAGCATTATCAACGAAAAAAGTGTTGAGAGAGCAAGAGGAAGAGCAGCCGAAGCAGCAGAAGCAGCAGCGAAAGAGAGAAAAGTTAACCAACTTTCTTTCGCTGTCTGTACTGTGGCTATTTTTTCGTTGTTTTTGTTGTTGTTGTTTTATTTTTACAAATTAGCGAAGCACAGCCATAACGGTAACCATTTCTCCAAAAACACAGTGAGAAAAAAATACTAGTGGTATATAAAGCTTTATGTATTTATTTTCGCGCATTAATGTAATTAATAGTGCCACCATCATCATTCATCATCTTTTATTGCCTATTCTTCACTCGCAGCTTCGTTGCAAAAATAACAAAAAAAAAAAACAACAATAATAATAATGGGGTTGTCCTGCCCTTCCTTTTAGCCATTTCCACTCCCCATTCGTATTCCTATTACCATTTCCATTTTAACTTCCTCCCATCCACACATCAGCTGCTGTTGTAACCTTGTCTCCTTTCCTTTCCTCTCCCTTCCTTCCTTTCTTTCCATCCCACCCACTTTTCGTGCACTCGCCCATCTCGCTCTGGAGTTTTCTGCGCATGCGCGCTGCCACCACGGCGACACCTTGCAGTCAGCGTTGCCACCTTGCAACCCACGTCGCACCAAAATGTACAGTGAATCATCGCTATCTTATACCTGAGATAGAGATAATAATCTTGAATGATAATTATCTTGAAAATATTTCCTCACACTTTCAGATCTTTTATGTTAAATCTTGATTTTTATTTTCCGGCTTCCGGTATATTGCAATCTCCACTGTACTGGTGTGTACTATGTTGCGGGGGAGACATGATGTTGCGTGCTTATTCAAATTTCAGTTGTGCTATTTATTTAAATCACGAGCATTAAAGCTTGTGGAACACATGGAGCAGAAAGTCATCGTCATGTTAATTATGATCATAAATTTTTAGATAGTGTGGGGGTGTACTGGGTACTGTACTGGGTAGTGTTGTCATCTGTTGTTATTATCTGTGGAAGGTTAGGACCAGGATAGCCTTCATTCTTGCCAAAAAAAAAAAAAAAAACGAAACAAAAACTTTTAAAAATTGGAATTCTTTTATTTTTTTTTTTAAACTTTTTTGTTGTTGTTGTTTTCTTGTTGCTTTCGACGGGTTTTTCAATTATCTACTCAAGTGTTTTCGACTCTTTATTTGCATTGTTTTATGATATTTAACATAGTTTTGTTTTGTTTTCCCCATTTTTTTGTTTTTTGGGCTTGAGCTTTTAACCTTCGCCGCAAAAAAGAAGAAGAAGAAATATATATGTCAAAATAGAAAAAAAAAAATAATAATTTTTTTTGCACTCGAGTTTGTATTTCCCTATTTGTGTCGAAAACCGTTTAATGCCAAATTACAGTAATCTCCCACGGAAGAGGAAACTAAAAAGAAAAACTAGTTTTTGAACAAGAAAAAAAAAGACCAAAATCATAGCCACCAATAAGATATTGTAGAAAAAGTAATTTAAACTGTTTTTGAACCTCATTTTTGGGTTTTTTGTTTTTGTTTTTTTTTTTTTAACTTCGTTTGTCTTGCGATTGCGCAGCTGCCCTCTATTGGCATCCCTTTCTCATGTGACGACACAAAAAGTTGCCGTTATGTAAAAATATGGCCAACACAACAACAACAACACAATAGAGAGCCAGCATCCAAGCTTAAAAAAAAAAAAAAAAGAGGTTTTTTAAACTTAAAAATTATTATTAAAAAAAAAAGCTCCTTAACAAGCTTAAAAAACCATTCCTATTAAATAATCATTAATATTAAATCAATACAGCCTAGTCACTGTATTTTTTCTTCAAGTGTATCCAAGCCATTGTTGCCACCTGGGCTGCTGTAGCTCTGCTAGTTGAAAATGTGTGCCAATCTTTCGGCGGCTACGTGTTGGTATTTTGGCTACAATGATTTACAGTTAACAGTGGAAATTGGCTAAAATGTATGACGGTTTATCAATAAGCCATTAACAAAAGTAATCTGCCAACTGGCCTATTTTTAATGACCAAAAGTTGGGGATATTTTGACCCAAATTTAAGATAATACCAATACCTGCTTTCGATTTCAATGAATGGCCACTGTATTTCAAGCCATCCATTTTTTTTGCTGTTTCAGCCTTTTTGGTATTGTTGCCAATTTTTCTTTTTTTTTTTTTAGCCAATTTTTTTGCAATTGCAGACACCAGACATATTTTATGGGAGTCTTGGCAGTCTGTTCCAATTTCTTAGTGTCGGATGTCTGTTTGTAACTGAAAGCCAATGGAAGCCCTTTTTTTGAATGGAAATCGAATTTTTGTTTATATTTAGAGACTTCAGAAAACTGAGACTACCCTACACCGGAAAATCATACATTGGTTATGGTATTTATAGTGTTACTTTAAGTTAATAATTATAAATAAAATAAAAATTTAATAAGAAAAAGTGAAATAGTTCGAAACTAAGGCTTGAAGTGACCTTTTAATGAGGTTTAATTATTTTCTAATAAAAATTAGAATAAACAATATTAAGTAATTAAAAATAAAAAGAAAAAAGTAGCCATATAGTAGCTATAATTATTATAATTTTGGGAATATGTAACTCTCCCACTCTCTGGGGAGCTATAATGACCTCAACTGTAAGTGCAGTAAAGTGCGATAAAGTTCCATTGTTCTCAAATCCCAATTTTCAGACCGTCGGGGTCTCTGGGAGGGAATGCGTAATAATAATGCTACTGATTGAAGAAAATCGTCCAATTTCTTATCGGCGGCATGCTCTTTAGCTCCCCGGAGTAGATTGTGCCTTTTAGAGTGTTTTTTGTTTTCTTTTTTTGGGATTCTCTGGCATTAGAAATTAAGAAATTGAGTCTCGAATGTCTCTAGGGTGGGCAGTCTACTTAACATTCGCATTTACACTAATTGTGAGGCACAAACAGACACAATCGTACAGACAGATAGACAGACAGACAGTTAGTTAGTTGGGTATAAATGGACAGGTAATTGCTATCGGAAATTAGTACTTCCCTACAGTGGTTCGGGATATTGCGAAAATTGTATAAATGAGGATATATTTCGATTAAAAACATTATTTAAGAATAAAGATTGAGAATCAAAGGAAAATTAAGCATGAATATTCATAATATTCATAAATTTATATTTTAAATGTTTAGTATTTGGTTAAAAAACTGTTACCGATTGTTATAAAGGTAGTTTACTATATATTTTTGTATTCTTTAGTTTAAAAACTAAGTTTTTAATTCAATATTTTAATAAAAGAGTCTTTAAAATTATGTTTTGCAAAAAAATGGGAGAATCTGAACAATATTGAACATGCTTAGACATGACTTTACATGTTTTATTTTTAAAATAATTAGTATTTGAAAATGTTAAGGCAGGTATTAGAATTATTAAGGCTAGAATAATAAACTATTATAGAGTAATATGAGTTAATTTTTTTTTATTTTCTTGTTTATTTTTAGTTAAATCCTGTTTTAAATACAATATTTTAATAGAAAAGTATTTAAGAAAATTAGTTTTTGAAAAAGCTCGACAACCAAGCAACATTGAACATGATTAGACACGAATTTACATGTTTTTTGAAAGCTTTGAGGTTAATATTTAAACAATAAACTATGAAAGAGAATAACAAGTATATTTTTTAGTTTTAAACTTTAATATTTTGTTCAAAAGATGTAAGAAAATGTTTTAGGATAAAAATTGAGAACCAGAACAAACTTAAACATGATTAAACAAGATTAAAACCAGTGTTGGAAAACGTTAAGGTTAATATTTCAATAATAAGGTATAAAAGGGTATTAATTTTAGTTGAAATTATTTAAAATAGATGTAATTTTTGTTATAATTATAAGTACAGTTTAAATATTACTTAAACATGAATGTTCATGATTATTATTTGAAATAAACAGTGTTGGAAAACGTTAAGGTTAATCTATGAATAATAAACAATAATAGAGTATCGTTTTTTTTAAATTTCTTTTTTTTTTTTGCCCCAAAAATAATTGTATCGCACTTGAAACAACGTCAGCTGACGTCACAGTTTTTCGGCCAGGTCGCTGTCGATTCAAGTGTGTTGGTGGAAGCGAGATAGCCGAGCAAACAGTTCAAATTGGGTTAATGAGAGTTGTTGGCCAGCAGTGCCGCGGGGCTTGGTTTCGGTCTCTCTGTAGTAACTGTATCTGTTTTTGTTTCCTTTTGTGTGGGTTGGTGGGTTGTTGGGCTTTTGGGCCAATTTGGGCGTGGCACTCATGAATATTTGATGATTGGGCTTAAATTACATTGGGGACAAAAGCAGAATGTCTCGAGTCTGAGCAGCCACCCACTCTCCCAGCGGATTAATTTATAAATATTTTAGTTACTAGAAAGGGGGGGTGGGTTAAGCAGTTTTGATTTAATCAAGGCAGTATTGTTGGAAAGTCCTGAGCAGATATCCTGATAGTATAGTTAGCCTGATAATAGCCTGAACATCCCCTAGGGCCTAGGGGGTCTTGTGGTCTGACTAATATATGGGGGGCGTGACTGCAGATGCATTCCAACGGCCCGGCACTCGACGCATTCATAAAATTAGCAAAACACCAAATGAACTTCCACTAAATGCCCCTCTCCCGGTCACCACCCATATGTATTATTCATTTTTTTTTTCGAAAAAAACAACAAATGAGCTGCAAATGAGGAGCTTTTGATGGATGAGAAGGGAGGTGGTGAGGTGGAGGAGCAACTAAATCCAAAGCCAAGGCATTCACCATCAGGTTTCTGACTAATCGTCATGCCACAGTGGCGTCCATTTAAAGTGGACACGAACCGGTGGGGCTAAAAAAAATCATCCAGACTGGAACACATGTGGATTTCTTTGTGGTTTTGGTTCAAATATAGCTTTCTTGGTTAGGGGGGGGGTCTAAATAAAATAACAATAGATGGTCTAGCATGCCTAATATTCCTTCTTTACATTGTATGTATTTTCTTAACTTTATTCTTCTATAATTTCTTAAGGAAAACAAATACAGAATTAAAAAAAAATATACAAATTCAAAGACTCATATTCAAACTACTTTTAAGAACGCCCTGAAATATCATAGTAATAGTAGCATAGTATATGATAAAATTCCAAAAGCTACTTTAATATGTTAACTATTGAATAAAATTTTCGAAAATTATTAATTGAAAAATAGAGCCCTCCTCCTCGATTCTCAAAGGTTGCACTTAAGCAGGCCCGAAAAATCCGAAGAAAAATATTATGTGTTAACTGATAGGGTATATAAACTTCCGGCTTTGCCCAAAGTAAGTTCTCCTTTTTTGGTTAAAATAGAATAAATTATTAGTTGGTCTGTCGCTTAGATAAATATTGAAAATTATTAAAGAATAGGGTAGTAATTAAATAGGATAATATAGGGTAGTTGTTGATGAGGATAGGTACTTTAGGATAGGGTAGTAATATTTAACAAAAAATAGGCAAATATTATTATAGAAAAGGAAAAATAATAGATAAGTATTAATATTAAAAATAAAGTGTAATTTTTAGTCTTTTAGTTTTTATAAACTCTATTATAGAGTTAGATTATAGATTATAGAGCATTATTATTATTTTATTTTATGTACATACATCGCAAATATCGGATATAGTTTATCGATTCTTAAAAGAATATAAGATCCGACGAGTATCGGATTGTATCTGGATTATCATAAAAGATATGGCATGGTATATCCGATCGTTCAGCTATATAAAAATTAGAATACCCTCTAAAAGGGTATACATATTCTCATCCTATCTATAATAAACTCTTCTAGGATGGGATTGTATTGTTAAAATATAGGGTAGGATAGTATAGTCTAATATAGTGTAGTATTATTATAGAACTGGATAGGATAGTATAGTATGGATAGGATAGCATAGGATAGGAAAGGATAGGATAGGATAGCATATTATAGTAATAATATTATAGAATTGAATAGGGTAGTATAGAATAGTATAGTATTTTTAAAGAATGGGATATGAAAGAATAAAATTATTACAATATAGGATAGGATCGTCTGATATAGTATTATTATGGAATTGCATATAATAATATAGTATATTATAGTTATATTGCAGAAGAGAGAGAGAGGCTGAGATAGAAGACTATACTATATAGTATAATTATTATAGTTACAAATTAAATTCGCCCGGATGGTATTATTCTATAAAACACACTTTATTACACTTCCAATTAGTCTCCAAAGAGCCTCCACAAAGCCCGTCGTCGGACAATCCAGTTTTTGGTTTTGAAAAAAAAAAAAATATTCAGACCCCCATTCGAAATGCCATGAGTTGTGAGTCACTTTCGAAATGGATTTCCGAACCGAAGGCAGTTAACCTGAAATTCGAAATACCCTGAAATTAAATGGAGACTGTGGGTAGCCATCTAACGGTAGTCTATATATATATATATAGATATATATATCCAGGTCTATGTAGGTGTGTGTGTATTTAATGCCTTTACCATTCCAGCAACTCGAAGAACCAGGCACTTTTTGTGAATGAATTAGACTGGAAATAGTGCAGAAATATCTGGCTTATGAGCAGTCAGCAGTACATGTATGTATATATATATATATATATATATATTATGGGCCAGCACTTGAGCTTAAGGCTGTAGAAACTCAAGAGGTCTTGGAGCTCACAGTAGGCGTTAATAATTAAGGAGGGGAGCCGTTCATAGTGCATGTAAGAAATATATCTCTATATATATATAGAGAGAGAGATATATATATATATTTTCTTACTCATCCCGCTCTCTCATTAAGATCTTTATTTTTAAATGGCCATTCATTAATACTGACAGAGGCCTCTTAACATCTGTTCACAGGCCTGTAACTGCAATTATTTCATATCTATATATATATATATAGATAGTATATAGTCTTGATTATCATTCTGTTGAGAATTGATAGCGAATGCTAGTACAGTGAACCCCCAAAAGTTAGCTCACCTTAATTAGAAAAAATAGAGCAAGCCATCAGGTCTATTAGATATTTCCTCCAAAAAGTATGCTTTTGTTAATCACAGACACCTTCCACTGCCGATAAGACTGGATGACTGGATGATTGGAAGACTGGAAGGGTGTGTTATCATTGGATCGAACAGCACAAGCATTGGAAGGCATAACTAGTAGTATAAATTATAAATCAAATATGGATTTATATAAGAATCACCTCCTATAGCTATAGCCCACCTTCCAAGGCTAATCTGGTTGAACAGTCCCCCCACTTGAACATCGACCAGAGGTATATTAACTCGAAATCGGAGGTATACCTACCTGATAGGCCCCGATAGCGTCTTGTATTTATTTCGTTTTTTTTTAAGACCTACATAAGCACCTGTTACTCCCCAACCCGATAATCTCCATAGGACATCTAGTACCAGGTATTTTAGTATATTTTTTGGAATTTCACTTTATTTCTCTAAGTGTAATGGGTCTTAAAATAATTAACAATATCGGTAACACTATCAACCGATTGGATTACAAAAAAAAAACACTATATATATATAGGTATAGGTATATAGGTATGTTTATATAAAAAAAAAAAGTATATAGATGTGATGGAATGTTGTTTCCGAGGTTGAGACGGGCAAGATTTTGTTGGTTATTACCTAATCACTATATATATATATATATATATATAGTACAGTATATAGTACAATATATAGTACAAAATTGGGAAAGGTATCATCTCTAAAAGGAGGGGTGTTCCAGTTCCCAGTACTACTAACCACCACTGGTGGTCATCACATTGATCAGACCTGGCATAACCTCCGCCTGGATCGGTCCATAGTCCACCTTTTCACCGTCCACCACTAGTATGCCATCGGAACCAGTGGGTTCGATCCGGAAGGCCCGACAGGCCACCACCTTGATGAAGGGATCCTCGCCGACGGGCAGATGGGTGCCGGTATTCAAGCTCAGCATAAAGTTGGCCAGCTGGTGGCGACTCACCCCACTCCGGATGATCACCAGGTAGATGAGACCGTCGTCCAGTCGGGATTCCGGGGCGAAGAACACATCCGACGAGAGGTGGGTGGTGTAGGCGGCGTGCACCATGACGAAGTCACCCTCCTCGCAGACCCAACCGTCGGCGGGGGAGAGGGGCACCTGGAGGCCGGGTATGGTGCCAGTGGGGACCAGTTCCGCAAACTCCGCATTGGCCGCCTCGATGCGCTGGGTGATGCTCATCCGACTGCGGTTGGAGCGCAGACTGGGTCCGCCCAGCGAGTAGTAGGCGGTGCGCCGGGACATGGCCGAGTGCCAGCTGTCGGCGTGCTGCCGGTAGACCGATCTGTCCAGGGATATGGCATCGGAGAAGTGATCGGCGTCCAGGTCCTCGTCCTCCTCTGGCAGGTCCCGGAACTCGGTGGCGGTCACTGGCAGCGATGATCGAGTGGCGGGCAGTTGCACGGCCTCATCGGCCTCTTTGGCCTCCTTGGCCACCTCCACCACGGGCTCGGATTTCTTTGGCGGCTGAGTGGTGGCCCGTAGGTAGTAGACCTTTCCCTTGTAGGTCCTCAGGGTGATGAGCCGCTTGATGGCCCACAGGGTGAAGCGCTGGGCACCAATCGACCGGAGGCGCTCGCTCTCGATATCGATGTCGGCTATCAGGCCCCAGCCCACCGACAGGAAGGAGTACAGCACATAGTGCTTGTCCCGCGGCGCCAGCTCGATCCTCACTACGTCCATGGGTGTGCTCTTGCCGGCGATGCACGTCAAGGTGGCGTTCAGGATGGGCTTCGGTTCGTACGGTTCGTTGCAATGGTGGGCCACGCTCCTGGCCAGGCCATTCCCCGAGCCGCAGGGTATGATGCCGAGGGGAAGCTCCCGACACACCCGCCGCCAGTCCATGCGCTCCATCAGGCCGTTCAGCACCTCGTAGAAGAGCCCATCCCCGGAGGCCACCACAATCCCGGAGTACCGTTCCAGCAGATCCTTGCGCGTCCGGACAAACTCCTTGGCGTACTGGGGATGTGTGGTGATCTGCAGATCGTACTGCGCCTCGGCCTCGGTCAGGAGTGGGGCCACCTGCTTCTGGAACAGCTCCCGTCCCTTGCCCGATCCAGACTTGGGATTCAGGAGGATCAGCAGCTGTTTCCCGGTGTCCGCCGGTGAGCTGGAGCCACTGGTGCGCTTGTGCTGCCGGATGGTGTGGTGCCAGGTCTCCGCCGTCTTCAGATTCACGCCGTAATCGTTGCTGGACCGGAAGCGCAGTATCCGCAACGTCTGGACCCGGCGCAGTGGCTTCTCCTTCTTCAGATACGCATAGATGTACAGATAGGCACTGTTGTCGCTATCCGGCTCCGGCGCCGCCTCCTGCCCGGGTCCGTTGGGGTTCTTGCACGAGTTGAGTCCACCCCGGGCCCTCTTCTTCAGACGCGGCCCATACCTCGACCCGATGATGTCGTCTATCCGGATCAGCTGCTCGTTGATGTGATCATCCTCGTCGGTCTCCCGGCGCAGGTACACCCCCTCCGGGCAGAGCTTCACCTGGATCTTGATGCTCTGCTTCCGCCGGCTGTTCTCCACAAAGAATATCTCGCTCAGCTCCGACTCCGAACCGGTGGAGACGGTGGACGATGGCGTTGTGGGCTCCGGTGGCGTTATGCTCTGCTTCCTCAGCATCGTCTCCTCCGATATTGCTTCGTTGGCCGTCATTCCGTGTTGTTTCTCTGTTTTCTTTCCACTCTTTGTTTTGTTTATGTTTCTTGTCTCTTCTCTTCTTCTCTTCTCTATGACCTTCACATGCAAGAAAAAAAAAAAGCACAAATTTTTTCGCAAATTAGACCATGTTTTTGGCTTCTCTTTTTCACTCTTTTTCGCTAAAAAAAACTAGTTTTTTGGGGTTTTTACTTTTTTTTTTTTAATTTCTAATACTCATTTTTTAATGCCTAGATGTTGGTAATTATATGTAATTATCAAATTTCATCAAAACTTGTTTACTTTTTCGGTTGTGGGTTGTAAGGTTTTTTTTTTACTTGAAATTTACTTACAAAAAAAATATATATTTGAAGTTCTTTTTATTTAAATTTCAATTATAAAAAAACCAGTTTAACGATTCACTTCCTTTATGGTGGAATAAAAAAAAAGTGTGTAATTATTTTTTATAGAGAGTGGGTATGGTTTTTTTTTGTTTCTTTGTTTGAAAATTAATAAAAGCTTTTTTTAAGTTTTAAGCTTAAAAAAAATGATTAAACAAATTAAAACTGACTAAAGCTTTATTAAAGTTTTAAGATTTAAATGTTATAAATATACAAAAAATATGATTTAAAAAAAAAATTGAAAAAATTAGGTATTATTATACGTCAAAGTAATTTAATTAAAATTAGATTTAATTTTAATTTAGTAAAAATGACAGTAAGTGATAATTAAAAATTATGTTCTTATTAAAGTTTCAAACTTTAATAACTTTAAATTAAAACTTTAAAGTTAAAAATTTTTTCAATTAGAAAAAAAATTAGAAAAACTATTAGAAAAAAAATAAGAATTGAAAAAAAAAATGAAACAAAGCTTGAAAATGATTTTTTTTTAATATTTGTTGTGGGCTTGAGACTTTTTTTTATATTTATTATTTTTTTCACTTAAGGTTAATTTTATTTTTTACTTTTAAAAAATAGATATATTTAAAGTTATTTTTATTTAAAATGTAGATGAAAATTACAATAGTTCTTGTTGTTTCTTTGTTTGAAAATAAATACAAGTTTTGTATGAGTTTTTAGCTTAAAAAATATATGAAAAAAAATCTTGTTAAATTCTTGTTAAAGTCTCGAACCTTTCACTTCTTTTTCACCTTTCCAAGTTATAATTTTCTCTTTAATTTGCATTTATATTTTAATTTCAAGTTATTAATTTCTATTTAATTTTAATTTATTTTAAGCAACAGCACAGCCTTTGTTTCTGTTAAACTAACGACGATTTTTGTTAAATTTCGTTTGTCATTATTTTTTATTATTATTTTTGGATATTATTTTGTAGATTATTTCTATTATTATTGCTTGGATCTGGGCATTACATTTAATTGTTTGTCCACATGCGATCGTTCGTCATTTGAGATAGTTTGCTTGGATATATATGTATATATATATATACGATCCGAGTACTACGATCCGATCCGAATCCGATCCGGGTTACGACGACGAGATCGATATGGATGGGAGGGAGCTTCCTGTGCGCTTGACACGACAATTCGTACTGAAACTTCGAAGCGCGAGGGTGAACTAACCTTATTTTCAATGGAGATTTGGTTTTACGATTGCATTGTTGCTTTATGCTTTGCTTTTGCTGTTTTTGCTTTTTGCTTTTGGCCTTTTTTTTTTGCTTTTACTCTGGACGACTGGGAAAGCAACACACACACTTGTTGCTGGTTTTTTTTTTTTTGTCGTGTCGAAATCTAATCAACACGTATCGTATCGATGAGATATTGCGGCTGCCTTTACCATGTCTTTATCTTTTTTTGTTTTTTTTTCCAGTTGGCCACCTTTCTGCTCCACTGCTCTACTACTTAATATATTTATTTTTATTTATTTGATTTATTAACGTTGCTGTCCGAACAGCTGTGTGTTGTTGATGCCACAGTTGCGATCTCAAAACTAGATCGTATCGCTCACCCAAATTTTCCCCCAGTGTAGGATGGTGTGTTTTGTGTGTGTGGGCTGTGTGTTGTTTTCTGTCCTTGTTGCACATTTCCAGTTGCACAATTGAGCAATTTTGCCTTTGACTTTGGAACGCGAGCTTTTTGGCATTGCAATGATGAATAATAATCCTCTCTTGGGGGGTACAGTGGGGCCTCATTATGGGCTAATATATGGGCTGCTTGTCGGTTAAAGATTCAAAATTAATCACAATTACTAAGGGAGGTGTTTTAGTTTTTCGTTTCTGAAGAATTATGGTTTTAAGTAACTCTGGCGTCTATTTTGAATCAAGATTTAGGTTAGTCACAGGTGTAATTATTCTGTTATAGTTCTTCCTTTCTTCTGGTCGATATTTTTCAGATACTTTTACTATACTTTACCACTATATTTTGGTAGATACTTTTTTAAGCCTAACTAGCCATAACTTGGCCAATACTTGTCCGATTAAAAAATGTTATACCTTTTCGAACTGAGCTCTCAAAATACAATTATTTTTCAGCAAAATCTGGACATGGAAAATTTTTAAAATTTTTTGAAAAATTTCCAAGGGGTACCATCATCATTTTTGACAAAAAATAGGTCAAAATTTGTTTTATTCAATTCTCTCAAACTTTGATTGTTTTGAAGAAAGCTTGAAATTCTTATTTAGGAAAGGTAATTCTTGTCCAAATCGGTTAAGAAATAACTAAAATATTTACTTTTAAATATTTGAAAAAATTAGTTTTTTAAATTTTATGTTTTGTACTTTTTAAAAGCATATATCTAAGTTATTTCTTAACCGATTTTAACAAGGAATGTCATTTATGAATCGGGAATTTTATGTTTTGTACTTTTTAAAAGCATATATCTAAGTTATTTCTTAACCGATTTTAACAAGGAATGTCATTTATGAATCGTAGGTTTCTATATCCTTTAAACTACTTCAAAATTAAGAGAATAAAAATGTTATAGATTTTTAGCTAAATTTTTATGTTGGTACCCCTTTTAAAAATATGAAAAAATTATATACAATTTTATAAAGTACGATTTAGTTGGGAAATGAGAGCACCCCTTTTAAAAATATAAAAAAATTTACAAAAAAGTCAGATTTCGATGAGAAATAAAAGAACTCTTCGATCTAAGATCATGAAAGTATGACATTCTTCAATCAGACAAAAGCTGACTTATGGTTCAAGTTAACGAGTCTCCACTGTACCACCCATATCTGTAACTGTGAGTACCTTTCACATGCAACAGCGCTGTTCCGACATGGCTATTGTTTGCTCCATAGCCATTAAAACGGCACTTAACCCCACAGCACCCTGCTACTCATTCACAATTTCTATTACATATAACTGTGTTTGCTATAATTTTTATTATTATTTTTTTTTTTTTTTTATCTGTTTGGTTATATTTTTAATCAATGGTATTGAAGGCGAGGGGATCAAAGCTATGTATATGTGGGGGTATGGGGCAAGTGCAGCACCTGTTGCGTATAGTACGTCATGTTGGTCTCTTCAGATCTTATCGCTAAACAACGATGACTGGTATCGGAATTCTAGTGAATTGTCACGATTATATGTTCGTTGTGGGTTTAGTTAAATGGAGTTTCCAAAAAAAAAGCTCAAGTCTTTATGCCCAATTCGTGGGAAATGCTAAACACCTGAGTTCCAAGGGCTTGTCGTAAATAAATCGCAATTTCTTATGGTCTTGCAGGTGTCAAAAATGTATATATTTTCTTTGTTTTGATATCAGTAAGCTAGACTCTCTCTCTCTCTGGTTAAATCGCACCTTTAAATTGATATTTTAAAGGTTTGCCAGACACGCCAATATGGAATTTTTAATGGTGTTTCTTTTTCGCACCTACTGAGTGATTCAGACCAAAGAGTCAGTATACCCTACCTCTAAAAAAAATATTAAAAAACATAATAACACACCCCCCTATGTCTAAAGTGGGGGAATTTTTTTTAATTTTTTTTAGGAAGTAAGCACTCAAGAAAGAAATGCACTTGCACTGACCTACATACATACTTGTAGTAGTTGTATTCCAAAGGAGCATTGTCTGGCCAGTTGGAGAGGAGGAATCCATTAGATAATGGGTCTGGCGGCGGGTGTGTGTGTACAGCTGTTTTCAAGATTCAAAGTAATTGGGTTAAAAAAAAAAAATATATAAAACTCAATATGATCGACAGGAGATATATCCATTAAGATGAAGAAAGAAAGAAAGCTTGAAGCACCCTCTTAGAAAAAAAAAGAGCCCTTATCAGAAAACAGAAACCTATAATTGTTATCAATCCAATAAAAAAAAAATACAAACACTTCTGTTGGTCTATTATTGTTTTTTTTTTTCTTTCTACAAAAATTCCTACAAATTCTACAATCTTTTTCCTCTCGAAACTGATAACTAGACTGGGGCGGAAAGAGAACAGAGACTTATTTTTGATAAAAAGGCTTAGACTCTTTAGAGATACAGTAGCTACTAGGTATTGAAAGACTAATGATTTTACTTCACTGGGAGTTCAATATACCCTCCTCTGTCTGTGGGGGCAAGAGGCCCTGACAGCTTTTAGCCATTGTTTGGTGTTCGAATATCACCCCCCCTCCTGGAATGGGCACACGAGTACAAGTTTTTGTAGGGCGCACGAATTATAAACAAAACAAAAATACAACAAAAATACAAGTAAAATAAATAAAAGAGAAATAATAAATAAATATAAAGACAGAAACAGAAACAGAGGCTGGCAAACAAACTTTGCACTATGGGTGGCACATGCCGCCAGAGAAGCCGAGAAGCCACCCACCCGCAGGGAGTTCATTTCACCAGAATACCGGATTCCGGTTACTCCACTCCACTTAACTCCACACTGCAAATAATTTAATTTTTTAAATAAATAATAATAATCAATTTTATTAACCTGACAATATCGTTTTATTTACTTTTAGATTCTTGACCTGTGACCTCCAACTATGTGGATCATAATGTGGCGGTTTTAGATAATAAATTAAACAAATAAAGCAAAAATCTTAAAACAAGGCAAATTAAAGTAAAAAAAAAACATCATAATAGACCACCCACCCATTTGGAGGCGGAGGAGGAGTTACAGCAGCCTGTCTAGAGACTGAGATAGAGATTGGAGGAAGATGACCCTGACCACCACGACCACTGCCGCATCAGCCGAGAGCCAAGCGAAAATGGACGTCAAAGGCAGTGGAGGTGGTAGTGGCGGCGAGGAGAACCTGCCCACCTCGGAGATGGATCTGCTGGCCAAGCTGGAGGCGGCCAATAAGCTGATCGAGAGCGATGCCAAGTCCCTTAACTCGCTGCACTCCACGCACAGTCGCAAGAACTCGGACACGAGTCAGATTAGTCTGACCTCAAGTAAGTTGGGTTTAAGAGGCACGGTCCCCAGGCCCTTTGGCTAAGAGCTAAAGGTTTCTTTTATTTGTAAGCGATTTTATGAAGTTTAAAGGCAATGCTTATATATATTTTTTTTTATATTTTTAATTTAGTCTTAAAACAAAAAATGGAAAAATAACCATATTTTAAGAAATAGAGCCTTTCTACACGATTCTCAAAGGTTCTTGCTAAGAGAATATATGTATTTTTATAATTTCAAGCTTTCTAGTTAATTTTCATAGCATTGGTTTTATTTTTGAAATTTAATTTTAAAGGAAGAAAATAGCCTATACATCACGTAATAGCGTCCATCTACATGGTTCTACCTATGAGACTTCTTCTATCTCCTAGACTCCATGAAGAGTACTTAAGAGAGTCTACCTAGTCTATCTAAAGGAATTTTTTTAGTTTTAAGCTATATTTTAAATTGTTTTTATATTTTTTATTTATTTTTAAATTAATTTTAAAGCTCAGAAAACAAAAAGAACCTATAATTAAAATAATAGGGCCTTTCTACGGCCTTTCTAGGGCCTTTCATAGTGTCTACCTAAGAGACTTTCTGTGTTTTTTATATTTTTAAGTTTTCTTATTAATTTTAACAACTTTAAATTTGTTATTTTTTATTTGTTAATTTAATTTTAAAGCAAAGAAATCATAAAGAAACCATATTTTTTAAAAATAGCGCCCTTCTATACGCTTCACATAGGGTCTTCTTAAGAGATCATTTCAAAATGAGTAAAAAAAAAATCAACAAACCCCCTTAAATAAAAAAAAATGATTAAAAATTATGAAAAAATGTTAAATAAAATAAAGAGCTCTTCTCCTCGCTTCTCATAAAAGGCTCTTAATTAGCTAAAACATTCAGAGACAAGATATTTTAAAGCCTTCCGTCTATGATGATATTTTATTATTATTAAATAAGTAATATATACACCTGAGATATAAGATATTCTTAGCTATTTTTTAAAATCTTTATTAAAGTAATAAACTAAAAACTAAATCATATAATAGAGAAAATGATTTCAAAAGTCACCCCCAAAGCTTTGAAAAAAATATAAAATTCATGCCCATTATCGAAAAATAAAACTGCTATCTAGAATGATGTTTAGTAGCTAGTGTAATAACCCTATGAGGTACACTGACTGGTGGTGACTAATTTGATCAATCGGTGACTAACCGCAGCCCAGTGACGTACGCAGATAGATAAATTATAATTAGTAATTTTAAATAATTAAATATAGTAGCCATACTAGCCACAGGCACTTAGTTTAGTTCAGAGATGCATAATTGTAAGCTATAATACAAGTACTATAAATACCCTAAAAGATAATAAACCCAACTCCCTCCGTTCCAGGTGGCAACTCTGTGGCCGAGGAGGATGTCTGGACCACGTGGGCCACCATTCTGAACGACTGGGAGGGGGCTCTGAAGCGCAAGAATCCCTGTGTCCGGGAGCTGGTGCGACGCGGTATTCCGCATCATTTCCGGGCGATCGTTTGGCAGCAGCTGAGTGGAGCTGCGGACACGGACAAGAAGCAATATGCGGAGTACATCAAGGCCACCAGTGCCTGTGAGAAGGTGATCCGACGGGACATAGCACGCACCTATCCGGAGGTGGAGTTCTTCAAGGAGAAGGACGGACCGGGCCAGGAGGCGCTGTTCAACGTGATCAAGGCGTATTCGCTGCACGATCGGGAGGTGGGCTACTGCCAGGGCTCCGGGTTCATTGTGGGCCTGCTGCTGATGCAGATGCCCGAGGAGGAGGCGTTCGCCGTTCTCGTCCAGATCATGCAACAGCATCGGATGCGGCACATGTTCAAGCCATCGATGTCCGAGCTGGGGCTGTGCATGTACCAGCTGGAGAACCTGGTGCAGGAACAGATACCCGACATGCACATTCACTTCCAGCAGCAGGGCTTCCAGACGACCATGTACGCCTCCAGTTGGTTCCTCACCCTCTACACGACCACCCTGAACGTGAATCTCAGCTGCCGGATCATGGACGTCTTCCTCAGCGAGGGCATGGAGTTCATATTCAAGGTGGCACTCGCCCTCCTCCTCACTGGCAAGGAGACGCTCCTCTGCCTGGACATGGAGGCCATGCTGAAGTTCTTCCAGAAGGAGCTGCCCGGCCGGGTCGAGGCCGATGTCGAGGGCTTCTTTAATCTGGCCTACTCCCTCAAGCTGAACACCAAGCGCATGAAGAAGATGGAGAAGGAGTACCAGGACCTCAAGAAGAAGGAGCAGGAGGAGATGGTTGAGCTGCGTCGCCTACGGCGAGAGAACTGCCTCCTGAAGCAGCGAAACGAGCTCCTGGAGGCGGAGAGTGCCGAGCTGGCTGATCGCCTGGTGCGTGGTCAGGTCTCCAGAGCCGAAGAGGAGGAAACTAGGTGGGTTTCAGAGTAACTGACCTAATCCCAATAAGCATTAATCCTAATCCTCTCCTCCTCTCTCCAGCTATGCCATTCAAACGGAGCTGATGCAACTGCGACGATCCTATCTGGAGGTCTCCCACCAACTGGAGAATGCCAACGAAGAGGTCCGTGGACTGAGTCTTCGTCTCCAGGAGAACGTAAGTGTCGAGGGTGTCCTGGCAGGCCTTTGTCCTTTGTATCTAAAAAAAAGAAATGGAATCTGTTGCTAATCCATCTGTATTCTTTTCTATTTTATTTGATTTCTTGTGGTTGTGGTGCTTCAAACAACAACAACACACTCACTCACACACCCTGTTTGCTTTAATCCTTAAACGAAAAAATCAAAAATAAAAAAATATATATCTCTGAAAATATATATATATACAGAATGTGTCCATCGACAGTGTAAGTATCCTTTAAGTTGCCAAAGCAACTGATATCTTTTGTAGTTAGCATGGAGGATATTGTTTTGCTTTGTTTATTGTTTATTGGACTAGTAGAACCTACTAACTAGTTAGCTACTAACTATGTCATTATTTTAACCAAGATATATATACATACTATCATAAATAAACCCTAATCCCTGGCTAACTCATTGCATGATTGAATAAAAAACACAAAATTATATTCCAAAAACCATCTAATCCCATCTCTCTAACTGCCCCCCACAGAACAACTCCCGGCAATCCTCCATCGATGAGCTCTGCATGAAGGAGGAGGCCCTCAAGCAGCGTGACGAAATGGTCTCCTGCCTTTTGGAGGAACTCGTGAAGGTGCGGCAAGGACTCGCCGAGAGCGAAGATCAGATTAGGAACCTCAAGGCCAAGGTCGAGGAGCTGGAGGAGGACAAGAAGACGTTGCGCGAGACCACGCCCGACAACTCGGTGGCCCATCTGCAGGACGAGCTGATTGCCAGCAAGTTGCGTGAAGCGGAGGCCTCCCTATCCCTCAAGGACCTCAAGCAGCGCGTCCAGGAACTGAGCACCCAGTGGCAGCGCCAACTGGCCGAGAACCAGCGCAGCGAAAGCGAACGCACCACCAACGCAGTGGACTCCACGCCCAAGAAGCTGCTGACGAACTTCTTCGACAGCTCGAAGAGCAGCGAGCACACCCAGAAGCTGGAGGAGGAGCTGATGACCACCCGGATACGGGAGATGGAAACACTAACCGAGCTGAAGGAGTTGCGTTTGAAGGTCATGGAGCTGGAGACACAGGTCCAGGTCTCCACCAATCAGTTGAGGCGTCAGGATGAAGAGCACAAGAAGCTCAAGGAGGAGCTGGAAATGGCGGTGACGCGGGAGAAGGATATGTCGAACAAGGCACGCGAACAGCAGCACAGGTAGGTTACCCTATCATACATATAGTAGGATGATCCTAACTCGTATATATCTCTCTCTTGGCAGATACTCTGATCTGGAATCTCGCATGAAGGATGAGCTGATGAACGTAAAGATCAAGTTCACGGAGCAAAGCCAAACGGTGGCTGAACTGAAACAGGAAATTTCACGACTAGAGACTAAGGTTAGTCTGGAGTATATATATCTATATGGTATATATAGATTCTATATATTCTATATCCTTTTTGTAGAACTCGGAAATGCTCGCCGAGGGAGAACTGCGCGCCAACTTGGATGATTCGGACAAGGTGCGCGACCTGCAGGACAGGCTGGCTGACATGAAGGCGGAGGTAAGATCTATATCTATAATCTCTATCAGAATCGGTCTATATATATATCCTGTCACTAATCCCCCTCGTTCTATATATTGCTTTTGGTATTTTTTGGTTAAAATTTTAAGTTGATTTTGGAAGCAGCAGCTGGCTTGCCACTCACCCACCCCCCCACCTCACCTCACCTGTTACTCATCCTGGCCAGATCCTGCTAGCTTTGCTTTTAATTAATGTACAGTCTTCACTGACTAAACTCACCCAATCACCCTCATTTTAATTTATTTTTTTTAAACAATACCCCTACTTGACCTTTGTCTCATGTAATTCAAGATATTAATCTTGTTTGTTTTTCTCATTGAATTTCTTTCTCACAAAAAAATATATATATTTATTGTTTTGTGCCATATATATACTATATATATATATATATATATAGTATCCCACGCCAATAACCAGCCCCGACACTGAGCCGTGGAAATGGATAAGCTAAACTAATTTTAAAAACGCAACTCAATTCATAACAAAGCAGCAGAAACTAAACAAGAACATTTATAAACCCAAGATATATATATTTAAAAATCCGCACAAGAATCTATAACACCTCCCCGCCCCCCGATACGATAAATCCAAGCAGAAGGCCAAGCTCACCATAAGATATTAGAGAGAGGGATATAATAATACCAGGTCTCTATGAAATTGCTATATTTTTGTAGAAGTTTCTTTCAAAAGCCCCCCCAATATAATACTCTCTATAGCTATGCATGTTTCTAGACCTTTATAGAGACTTTATTCGATCTATTAATTAGTATACCTCGCCCCATAAATCGATATTGCATGTGATATTATTCCATAAGTCATTTGGATAGCTCTATTTTTTCTTTAAATATGTTTAAATTTTATTAAAAATCTTAGTAATGATTATATTTTTATGATATTATAGGGTTCTTAATCAAGAACCCTGTAGCTTAGTGTTTAAAAAGCTTCTTGAAAGCTTCCGTATCTGGACACGAACCTGCAACTGCGGTTCTACAAAATCTTTTTTCTATCTTTTCTTTTATTTATTTTATATATTTGTGTTGGATCATTGACCTGTTGTTTGTATTTAGAATTAGAAGAACGATTGAATGCATCGGAGAGTACTTGTTTTGCATAGTTATAGTGACGTCTGATCATTGATGTTTTTGAAATGTCTAGTCTTGACACGAGTTCCTGACAAGTTGACGATCGAGTACGATGTTTTGGCCTTGTTATTTGAAATTGAAATGTTCGAGTCTATTGGAGGAGGGAGTGTTTCTGTTTTATTTGTAATATTTATATTCTGCACGCAAGGCATGCCTTCTTATCCAACCTAACCGACATACATACATGTTCATCGGCACTGTAATATATATCCAAGCACTTAAGAACACATTTCACGTAAAAAACATACTCTCATAGATTATATCTGTTTGTAATTTTATAAACTTTAATTAATTTAATTGCTTTTAAATATTATGCCAGGGATAAATGCTACAAATTTTAAGAATTGATGTTATTTTGGCTAGATATTCGTAAAAAGCATGCTATGAAAAAATTCGTTGTCTGCTTTTAGGAGGCTTTTTTTGTGTTTTTAAATCTCCAGATTTTGGAGATTTTAAAACGCTGGAGTCTCTAGCAAAGAAAGGCAATGATTTCTTCTCAAAAGTAAAGCTTATGTGGCATTCCTGACATTTTTTTTTTGTGAAATAAAAATGTTAAATATTTGTAATTTTTCTAAAAAAAAATAAATATAGTTAACGGCACTGAAGAGTCGTGGAAAGTTTCCGGGCACAAAGCTGAGAAGTGCGTCGATCCAATCGATTGAATCGACGGAAATCGACTTTAGCGATCTGAACATGATGAGGCGTGGCAGTACAGAGCTATCCACATAACACCACTCCCACTCCCAGAAGTCAGGCATCGAGTGAGAAACCAAACAGATATAAGAATAAAACCCTAAAAATATATACCAGCAAGGATAATAATGCTGAAGAGAGCAGGGCAGTACAGGATTTAAATCGAAATATATATACACAGATGTATATGTAACATATATGTATATGTAGGGGAGGGAGCACAAGCCGATTTATCCACTCCGATATATATATTTATATATGTTTGTGTGTTAACCCCCAAGCCTGTGATCACAAATGAAGGAAAAAGGATACGAGGAGGAGGAGGAGGAGGTGGAGCATCGGGCGCAGGATGTTTACTAAGGATCTTGATGGCAATCCAATTACAATATTATTTGTGTATAATATTTGTTTAAAACTTTATTATTATGATATCATTATTTTTTATGCGATTATTTTTAAATAATTCCTAATGATCTATTAATTTTGTAATTCTTTTTTTTTGTATGTGTATTATTATTACTGTTATGTTTTTGCGAAACAACAACAACAAAAAACACACTCATATTTATTTATTTTAAAAATGATATTTAGTGAGAGAGTTACGAGTGAAAAAAAAGATATGATATCCTTAAGATAGAGGACACCCCTACACACACAAACACACACACCCCCCAAACTACAATGCAATGAATTTTATAGTGTGAGACCCACAAACATATACCAAGTATCCTTGTAAACCAATTTTAATGTAAGTTTTAAGCGAAAAAAACAAAAAAAAATTGATGGAAATTGTTCTTTGGGCGTGTAGCGTTTTTTAAAATAGTAATTGTTGGGACTTAAACCCCCCCCCGACTCACTGATTTTTTGTATTATGAGTTCGTGTACGTGTAGTGATGATATTACCAATCGATCCCCAAAATTTGTCTGGCATGAATTTTTGTAACTCGTATATATAATAAGGATAAAAATCATTATGAAACGAAAACGATAACTAATTAAACTAAAACCCAGAATAAACCAAGTGCGAAAGACAAAGTAACAAGCGTTGCCAAATGCAAAACGAGTGCAGAGGAGAAATGAAACACAAATATTATACAGACTATTAAAAATAGTTAAAAAAAAATAAACAAAACTATAATAATCGATAGGTGGGTGGATCGACCAACTTCCATCTCTAAAATACGAACGATATTAAACGATAGCGTTTCCGATATTCAACACAACTTACGATATTCTACTTAGTTTACCAGTAGCGCTTGTCTAACCCTAAAATGAAATGAAATGATAAATATAATTTATATATATATATGGTTCCTTTTTACTCTAACCTTACCGATGATAACATTTTGGCAGCTTATCGATAACCGATAACCGATAAATCGACAAAACAATACAATAAGAATCAGGTTGAGCCGTTTTTCATGTGCAATATTCTAGTTTATTGTTTATTTCAAGTTTTTATTATCATTTTGTTACTCCAAGACGTCCTCAATGTGTGTGTTTATTTTATTTTAGTCTTAATTTTTTCCTGTGTATTTAGGTTTGTTACTTATACCGATTATACCGCTATTAAGACCGATTAACGATAACGGAACGATAAACTTAATTTGTGTAATTCCATTGATTTTTGCCCATCATGACAAAACGATAAGTAATTTATAATTGTATGACTTATTTTTTTTTTTTAAATAATACCTAATGTCACAAAACAAAACCCTGTTATGTAACCGATAGGTGTGTGTATTATGTAATGCTGAAGTTTTGTTTCCCCCCACTTGGAATCTTTTGTTCTATATAATTAATGGATAATATTATACGATGTAATATGCCACAGGGCGGCTGAAATAAAAAAGGCTGCTAATTATGGGGGACAGTATTACCAATTAAAAGCAGTTAACAGAATCGACATTTAAGAAGCATTCCCCTCAAGAAATAAGCAACAAGTCCCCCATATGCAGCCTTCACAAAAAAAAAAGGAAAATAATTCCAAAAGTCCTTGGCATAAAAATTTGAAAGTTTAGAATTAATTGCAAAAAAAATGGCACAAATTATACAAAAAAAAAAATAAATAAAAATAAATACGTCTTAAATAGTTTTAAGGTGTGATGGGTGTGTGTGGTTTAGAGTCTAGACTTTGGTCTGGCAAATAGTTGCGAATAAGTTTGGCAAATTGTGGAATCAAATAAAGGTGATTCACTTGCTTGAAAGAGTTGTTTGAACTGCCCCCCTGGGCAGTATGTTGAAAGACGGGCAGTTTATCAATTTCACTTGTGAATGCCAACGACTCTCAGTCCTTTCAATATCGAAAAACCCACAACACAATTAATTAGCAGGCCATACAGACCAGACCGCCGCTCACACCCAGTCGCACATATACTTAAAGCAAATAAATCAATTTATAGCTTCCATTGAGCAATTGTTCATTTCGATTTGCACATTTTTTTAATTGCGTTTTAATTTTAATATATATTTTATTGTTGATCATTAAAACAAGCCAGACAAAAAAAAAATTAAGAAAAGAAAAGAAAATCAATCCAACATTAAATTCACAAAAAGAACGAAATGTAGTTGACAAACAAAAATAGTGTTATACACCTTACATATACAAGATTATATATATATAAATACACATATATATATATGTGTATCCGTAACTATATCAATATAATGATAACAACTGAAAGAATCGGAAGGATAATGATATTTCGCAGGGAAATTTGCAAAACGGCCAACATCATCTAGCTGGGAAGAGAGAAAACACGAAATTCGAATTAACTTTAATGAGAATCAAGAAAATCAAGCAAAATTTAAACAGACATACAAAATGGAAATCAAAGTTACAATTTTTAGTATTAAATAAATAAAATGAAAACCAAAAAAAAAAAAGACAAATGCTGTTTTCTTTTCAATGGAAAATGAAAAGTCTTATCGGCTTTTCGGGGTGTAACCATATTGAACTACGATCTTGGGGGCTGTAATCAGTAGTTTCAAGTTCTATATAATCTGATTAAGTACGCACGTGTGGCTTACTCTATAAATTGCATAGAAACTCTTTATTTATTTATATGATTTATAAATAAAATATTTTTCAGAATTTTATCCCCTTGGTGGCTATTAGGTTCATATGATACTTTTTAGAAGATAAACAAAAACAATCTAAAAAATATAATATTAATTTTTCTCATATCTGAAAATTAAATAAGAACAACTGTATACTTTTTTTTAAATTTTTGTTTATTTTTTTGTTTATTTTTTAGTGCATTCACTTATCTAGAGAGTATATAGTATGTAGTTTAGGATTAAAGTTAATTTTAATTAATATCATTAAGAATTACAGGGGAAAGGGGGTTTTTCTTTTAGTTTCTCAGTTGGGGGACATTTTGATACTACAGCTTTATAGGGTTAATAGTTGGGGGATGTCTTTTTGGGTTCTTGCTCTTCTTCCTTACTTCTTTCACTAACCATATAGATATGTTTTTATCCAAAAAAAAAAAAAAAAAAAAAATTTGCAGAAAATATCAGCTTGATAATAGTTAATTATTTTGCTACTAGTTCTGGGGAAGGGTAGTGGGGGAGGGAGGGGGATAAAATACGTTAGGTAAATTGAATTCCTAAGCCTACGATTCTAAATTAATTTATTTTATTTTTCTTGGGTATTTTTTGTTGGTTTTGTGGTTTTGTTTTCGCAATTGGGTATCGGTGTCGCAAGTTCAGGTTCGATTTTTCGGGTCAGTGGATCAAAAAAAGAAAAAAAAAATAACGAATTTTGGTGTCTCTTAACAAGGACATGCTAACAAGGATAACAACATGTTTGGGGGAGAGTAGTAGTATTAGATGAGACATCATCCTCTATTCATCCAGACAGATGGTACGCAAAATGGCTTCCACTACGGAGTAGGGATCGCAATTGGAGCTGGGCCGACGATCCTCAAAGTAGCCCTTGCCATCATCATTGACGCCACGGGGAATACGTATGCTGCAGCCACGGTTGGCCACTCCAGCACTGAAGTCGTTGATGGAGCTGGTCTCGTGCTTTCCGGTCAGACGACGAGCATTGTCCTGACCCTGCTTGGGGTCATAGGCACGAATGTGGCGCTCGTGGCACTTGGAGAGCTTGGCCACCGCCTTCTCAATGTCCTTGATGCCGCCATCCTCGCGCATCGCCTTCGTGGAGACATTGGTATGGGCACCGGCACCATTCCAGTCACCAGGCATGGGCTTGGGATCCAAAGTGGACACAATCTAATGAAGATTTTCACAAAAAATTGAATAAATTTTTTTTTCAAAATTTCATTTTTGTAGAAAACTCACTCCAAACTCCTCAGAGATGCGATGCAAGAGGAAACGGGCCATCCAGAGGTCATCGCCAATGGAGATTCCCACACAGGGTCCCACCTGGAACTCCCACTGGGCGGGCATCACCTCGGCATTGGTGCCGGACACCTTGATTCCGGCGTACAGACAGGCGCGATAGTGGGCATCGACAATGTCACGGGCGTAGACCTAAAATTATAGGTAAGTAAATAATATTATTCAATAAATAGAAAAAAAATTATTAAAATAATAGCCAACATGGCGTATGCGTTATATAGAAAATCAAGTATACGCCATGTATTCTATAACTTTTATTGAATTTAATTTTGAAATAAAAATTTAAAGCTTAGCTGTAATAATACCAAGACTTCTTCTAGGAATTTTTAAAATATATTCTTCCTATGCCTACATGGCGTATACTTAATGCCAAAATAAAAATCAAGTATACGCCATGTATGCTTCAATTTTAAACCTCAAGAAAACTCACCTTATTGGCACCAACGCCGCAATAGTAGGGTCCCTGGGGTCCCGGGAAACCATTCTTGGGCCATCCCAACGGATGACCGTCAAAGTCCAGGAAGGTGTACTCCTGCTCGATGCCGAACCAGGGCTCAGCGTCCTTGCACTTGTTGGCCACCTCCAGGCAGGTCTTGCGCTTGTTGGTCTCGGTGGGGGTGCCGTCGAACTTGTAGGTGTCGCACATCACCAGGATGTTGTTGCCGCGACGGAACGGGTCCTTGTAGATGGCCACCGGATAGAGGTAAGTGTCCGAGTTGGAGCCCTCGGCCTGGTAGCACGAGCTGCCATCATAATTCCAAACGGGAAGCTCTAAAAGGTAGAGAGGGAGGAAGGGTGGGGTTTATAATCGATGTCAAGAGGGCGGGTGAGGGTTACAAAAAGCTTCGACCTTGGGGGTCAGTTAGCATGCCATGTCCTCGAATTAATTGTAATTGAGGGCAATTGTCTATTTAGTTGCAACCCCTTGGTGGCTGTTTTTTTTTAGTGATTTATTTTTTATATTTAAAATAAATAAATATTTTTATTAAAAATATATGTACTTCCTATAACTATTTTTTATTTAAAATTAATTGTGAGAGTATGGAATTTTTCCAAAACTCGCCTTGCATTTTGATGAAAAACTATCCATCAAAAAAGGGGGGAAACCTGTTTCCCCACTGCCTGTTGTTTATTAAAATAAATAGTTAATTTCCCACTAAGCTCCCCCACTTTCCTTTAATACCCACAATAACAATAATACTGCTTGCTAATGAATATATTTCACTTATGCAAATTTTTGTTGTTTTTTTTTTTTTGTAAAGGGTTTGGTTTAGGGGGTGGGGCATGGGCGTCATTTTGCAGTATTACAATAATAGATGGGGGTGACCTTGAGCCAGCGTTTTCATTTACAATCTGGTATCTCGTGTTTGATGCCACCTCTCTATCTCTATCTCTATCGCTGTTCCTGTCTTTATATCATCCGATCTCTGTTTCCATCTCTATCTCTTGTCATCATTCGCTAACTGCGTGTGTGTGTGGCTGTAACTGTATCTGGCTGAGTGTCGGTGTGACCACTCCAATTGATAAACAGCTGTAGTTTTTTGTTTCCAATACCCCCCGACGAATGCCAGCAGTGTGTCACTGTGCCAGTCGCCACTACAGTTATTAGCCTTGCTCTCACCTTTCCAACCTTACCTCTCTCCTATACCGACCCCCCTCCTCCCTTGAAAAACCAGCTTTGTATATACTATTACTGTTGCTATTTGCTTCCGAATTCTGTTCTACACTGAGAGAAATTCTTAAAAGATTTAGGGGGGTTTTTATAAAGATAGATCATTGATCTTGAAAAAGTACTTCTTATCAAGTTACCCTATTTTTTCAAATTAATAAATAAATTTAAAAGTTTTTCTCTCAGTGCCTTGTTTAGTGAAATTATATCTCCACAATTGTATACCTCAAGTGTTTTCCAATGGATTCTCATTAAAAGCATTTCAATTGCATTCTCAAATTGCAGCTAATATTTGAAGAGAGAGAGAGAGAGGCAGAGGGGGAATGAAAATTGAAAATCGATTGTCCTTTCAAGGAAAACCCTAGCACGCTTCTGTGATTATGTATAATTTAGTTGCAAATTGTTTTTTTTTTTTGTAAGTGTCCAATTAGGAAATTTGCTTTGAACTTGAAAAGCTGTGGAGGGAGGGAGCCATATACATACATATACTATATAGCGGTAGTCTTGTAATCTCTATAGCTGTCTCTGTTTCACTATATGGGCCTAAAAAGGATCGCCATTGTTGCACCTTGCCTACTCCACTGACCCTGAAGATGATGCCAGGCGACGCGTGTGGCTTTCTCTCACACCTACGCGCTCTATTGCCATCCCGCTTGAGCACCCACCCGATCTGTCTCTTTGTCTTTGAAATGCATTTCGCGTGTTGCCGAGCGTGTCTGTACATGTCTGTGTGTGTGTTTGTGTGAGAGTAATTCTTAATTAGTAATTGTGCGCATTAAGTCATTTTGATAGCACATTGTTTTTGTATTTTGGTCTTGCGTTTTTTGCATTTAGATTTTCAAGTGCAAGTGGAATAATTGAGTGACTTGACTGATCAGGTTTTTCCAATATGCGATTTTCCAAAGGGGGAGTCTGTTCTTTTTTTTAGGTTTAAACTTTATTTTTAACTTTACGACTCTTTCTAATTACTTCCTAATGTTATGGTTCTTACGGCTCGTGGTAATTTCACATTAAAAAGAGCTCTTTCAAGTCCCCTCCATACCGCTTTACTTTTTATGAAAGTAATCGGCCCCCTATCCGACGGGGCGATTAAATCGCATTATCAGACGCCGACTTGTGAAAATTCTCTATATATATATGAGTATTATTTTGTGGCCATAAAAGAGCACTTCCCAGACGCTAAAATTTGATGGTTCACATAGAGAGCCGACTGCCAGAATCGTGCCAAGGCAAAGGTCACCGGCTAGGGTTTATATAATCCATAAAAACCAGATCAATAAAAAACAGCAACAGACGTTGCCCGTTCATTGCCTCTCGTGGCTTTTCGTGGCTTTTATGGACTAGATTTTGAGACGCTCATAAAATCGCTCAGAGATCCTCTCTAGTATACAAATATACTATACTATATAGTATAGTATACTATATATACGCTATTGCGTAGTAATTACTTGCAAATAAGATTTTAAAGGAAACTAAAAGTGACAATTGTCGGGCCAGAGAGAGACACAGAGATTACTCACAAAACTATCTATATATTTACATAGTCTATCTATAGGTTTTTGGAATCCAAAATTCAACATGAGAGACAAGAGACAACATCTGCCGAAATTATAAAAATATTGATTTGATTAGTTTCTAATTTAAGAGTGGCGATCACACAGGTGTCAGAAATTCAATAAAATTAACACCCAGACTAGCAGACATTAAATCTTTTCTTCTAATTTTAATTAGTATAAGTCCTAATACGTATAGTCTATATAGTGGCCCTTTCATTTTCATTTTATTAAAATTCTTCTTTTTTCTTTCAAGTTCATTGACATGTGACCCCTTAATACCAAATTACGTTTCTGAGTGGGCGATTATCTTGACCAAGATCGGGGTTTTGGGTTTATGGGCTATAAATAAGACGAAAAAAAAAAGAAAAGCAATAGCGCCAGAGACGTAGACAGTTTTGAGTTGGTCTACTTAAGATTAGATTACACTTGCAAAAAAATCAAGCATTTCGCACATAAATCATTGGCGAAACGCGACCTATGCTGGTCGATAAGGTCCCCAAAAATTACTTAATGTTCCTATTCTCAAGTGCCTGAACGACGTAGGGCTGCTAATCGGGTTTTTTAATTAATTTTGAATTATGGTTTTGGGGTAATTATTAATTAATGGGTTTAGTTAGGAATTAAAGTTGACTATTAAATGTAACTGATTTGGAGGGTTTTTAGGGGAGTTCTTACTCTATATAGTTGGTTTTTAAGATACATTTCCTTTGAAATATTACTAAAATCATGTTAGGATTATCCCTATGGAATAAGGATATTGTATGGATATTATCGGTATTATATGGGTGGTATTATTGGCTTATCCCTATGGATTAGTCCTTATGGAAGTATGTACCTTATAAATGGCCTATATATTGGCCTATTTAAGATCTTAAACTTCATTTAATAATTTTATTTTATGGTTTTTTTTATAAAAAAAAAGTTTAAATTGAAAAAAGTCTTTTAAGTTAAATGAAAAAAATCTACAACGATAATCCTGTGACCTTTAACCTTCCAACTAAAATTCCTAAACCTAAACCTTAAATATTAAAAAAAAAAAACTCACCCTCTGGACCCGATGGGATAAAGTCAAGGGTACGATCCTTGCAGCGCAGATCCTCGCCAGTGCCGTCGATCCACACATAGGTGGCCTGGACGATGTTCTCCTGCAGGGGCAGGGACAGGTAACGGTCCAGGATCGTCTTGTTGATGCGCGCATTGGGCGAGTCCTCCAGGATTCTAGCGGACATACTGCGGTTGCAAATTAAAGCCACCAACAAAACGACAAAAAAAAATATATGAATGAATTAAAGTGTATTAAAAATAAACAATCTTGATTTTGGCACTTTGTTGTTTTTAGTTTTTAACGAATTTTCCTTATTTTTATAATTTATTTTTTTTTTTTCTAGAAATGCACCTGTTTGATTTGTTGGGCTCTGTGGGCTTGAAGAGAGTGATACGCTTGGCGACTTGGCGGTCCTTTTTGTTTGGACTTTTGTGGGGGTGGGGTGGCGGCTTGTGATATTTGATTTTGTTTGATTCTTATTAATTTTTCTCTAGTTTATTTTTTTTTTTTGCTGTGCGCGGAAGCGTTACTGGAACACGACTAAGCTGGAGCGCCTTGTTCCAACTCAATTTATAATGACAAACAACAAAACAAAACACAACAAAACAAAAGCAACGCGCGCGCTGCCAGTAATAATATTATTACTCTTACGGTTCTTGTTGCTATTGTTTTTGTTGTTTATATAGTATCTGTGTGTGTGTTTGTGTCTATTTGGTAGTGTTGTTGTTGCTATACTAGTTACAACAAACTAGCTGCCGCTGCCGCTGCTGGTACTGCTGCTGCTGCGACGTCGACCGCATGCCATTGAAAACAAAAGCAACAGCTGTTGTCGCCGGTACGCAGTAGCAGCGACGCCGGCAGCTCAGTCGTCGCTGCATGATCGACACCCCCATCCACCCACCACCCCCCATGTGTGTGTGTGTGTGGGGGGGTTTTTCACCCGCAGATTAGACGTCGCTGCTTTGCAGTTGTCGCGTGAGAGAGGGATATAGAGAGAGAGCGAGAAGAGAGGGCGAAAAAGGAAAGAGCACTGTATGGAGGGACGGAGTGCTATTCTCGCAATTGGATTCCTGGCTAGTGCTTCCGGTAACACCGTGAGAAATTGGGGGGTAGGTTGTTAAAAAAAAATGTTTAAAAAATCAAAAAAAAAAAAAAAAATTTTAATATTTAAGATTTTAAGTATTACTTTTTATGAACTTTCATGTAATCCTTTTTTTTTCTTTTCCCTTAAAACTTCACTTAACTTTTCCTCCGTGTAGTTTTACAGTTTCACGTTGAATTGCCAAATTGTTTTGTTTATTTTTAATTCACTTTTGATGTGCGAGCAAATGCGTGTAAATGAGTAAAAGTCGCTTATCAGTGAAAATCACGACAAGCTAATGAGTCTTATTTTTTTTTATGACAAGGACGAGGACAGGTGTCTGATGTAATGATGAATAACTTACTGCGAATGCATTTTATCTGTTTTATTTGATTCTTTGTTTTATTTTTAGGCTTTTTTTAAAGCTTTAAATCGTATCTATTGGTTCACACAAAAAAAGTCACACGCACTAAACCGACACTGCAAGGAAAATTTGTGTATTTTCTTTAAAAAAAAGAAAAGTTTTTTGTTTAATTTTTTCGGTAAGAAAGTAATTTTCTTTTCTTGAGCTAATACACACAGTGGGCACTTCTTTAAAGCGACTGCACAGTACTGGGAGCGATTGATCCGCTTTTATAGGCTTACCCCACTCGGACACTGGAGATGTTCGGATGTGTGACTCGATTTTTTGATTATTTTTATAGCGTATAAAACAAACACGACCATGTGCTAATTACCTTTTCAAGATTCTCACATTTTTATTATTATTTGCCGTCGGCGTTGGAGTCGTCGTCGCCCCTCATTCGCTTTGTCAAGCGATACAAACAAACAAAAAATTAAAAAAAAATAAAAAATAAATAAAAAACAAAATAAACTTTATAAGAAAAACGAGAGCGATCGGATTCAAACAATTGGAGCAATTCCCTTAATCCCCGGAAATTCCCATTCGGGAGGGGGATGGTAAATTTTTTCACAATTTTTGTATTTTGTTTATTTTTTTATTCGGACAAGTGCAACTCCAACACTGCGTAGTCGAACCCGAGTCCCAAACACCCACAGAAAAATAATGGTAGTGTTTGCCAGCCATCCAGCCCCAGAGAGAGAGGTGTGAAAAATGTTAATTACAAACGAGTTTGCCACAAAAAGGTCAATTGTTTGGGGCCTTATCTATGGGGTGTGGGTTGTGGGTTGTGACTTATTGCATTTCAAACAGGACAGTTTTGCGAACACATCGTTTTCAAACAGGTTACAGGCTGGAGAACCAGTTAATTATCTTACAACACACACATTTAATTTTAGACTGATGTTAGTCATTGGTTTTATAGGCAAACACCTTTTCAAGTTCAATAACCAAAGGTTATGATTAAAAAATATTTATTATACATTGGTACATCTAATATCCAATATTTTTTCATGGTTGTAACTTTAAACGTTATTAGTTTATTTAAGTAGCGTCTCAGGTTCGGTAAATGGATTTTCTCGCTGGGCGTAACAGATATTCGCCAGCTGATCTAAATTTAAAGGCAAATAAAAACGTCTGCTGGGGCAGACGGTCGCAAGAAAAGGCAACAACTCTTAACGTATCAAATAAATTGCGACAAGCTACATTTTATTTCAATTTTAAATGCACAATTAACATATGTATCGGCCAGTCGCGAAACGCACAGACAAACAAAAAAAAAAGCAAACAGGACGGCCGGACAAGCGGACAGGCGGACATGCGGACAGACGGACACGCGGACAGACAGTCCAGTCAACGTTTGTACACATAAAATAAAACAAGCAGACAAACGTGAAATAATTTTCTATTAATCGTCGTCGGCTACGTCTTTAAACTCATCCCAGTGCTGTCCATTTTTTATCAATAAAAATTTAAAAAAGCTGAAAAAAGATCTCTTGCTTGGCTCACACTGCGTATGCGTGATATGGCTTCGCTATCTTGGCTATTGGTCTTTTGATAAAAGTCGTATTCCCCTTAAAAAAATGCATCATAAAGTGGATGAGATGAGAATTTTTAGCTTTGGCTTAAATATGTTGTTAATATTTTTTTAAATTTTTAATACTGCTTATGAGTAATTAAAAAAACAAAAGCTCAGGCTGTAATTTTGAGGCACACACTGCGTATGAGTAATACTTTCAAGATTTTATTTAAATTCAAAAAAATATATCCTTTTTAATATTAAAAATTGAATACAATATTTTTAAAAATATATTCTAAGATTTAAAGAGTCATTAAAATTAATAATGTAGTAACGCATTTTATTTTAAATAAGCCCACATGGCGTATAAGTAATGAGTACCTCGCTCTTGCTGACTGCTAACTAACTCTGCCTAAAAGTAATACAAGGCTTATAATTTTTTAAACAGAAAATTCTTTAAAAAATGGTAATTTAGTTTGAAATTATATGTTTTTAATATAAATTATTTATTTTATATACAAGATAAAAATAAAAAGCCTATATCTAGGAGCCTCTTTATAACTAAATATGTATAGGTATAAAATATTTAAAAAATAGTTAAGCTCAAAAAACTTTAAAAATATTTCCAATAATGTATAAATTAACACTTTTAGAACATAAATCTGTAGTTATTTTCGAAATAATCTTTAAATTTAAGAAAAAAAGCCAATAACTCAACGCTGATCTTTTTTGCACGACTCTTGTTCACGTGAACTGCGCATGCGTTTGCCTTTTTAACTGCGGTCATCGTCCGTCCCTCTTTATCGCCCTGTCTCCCTCGGACATTTAACGAGGCTTTTTTTTTTGTTTTTTATTTTATTTTTAATTTTTTTTTTTTTCGCGAGCCTCTCTCTCCCGCCGGCTGCATTCAAATTGGCTTAGGCGACGTGAAGGCGATCGCGGGGCCATAAAACTACTAAATAGAAAAGGCAAAAAAAAAGAAACAGAGTAAAGTCAAATGGCAAAAAAAAAAAACTTTGATCTGCGATAGGTGGGCCAAGATTAGAGGGCCACAGGCCTAAATGGCCCACAAGAATTCTTGAGGCCCAAAGACGCGTGGCAGCGATAAGCGTGGTAATGCTTAGCGGTAAGTAGGTGAAGGCAGCCATCTCTATAAATTAATTTAACCAGAAAAAAAATAAAAGTTGATGGGAATTTGAGTTCTTTTTTTTTTTATTTAGGTTGTTTTTTTTATTATGGTTAGAGAATTGGGGAATTTAAAATTGAAATTTGAGATCGAGCATTATCCATTACTTCTCGCATTTCGCATTAATTTTTCGCCTGCTTAATTGGCGATCATCAAGCGGCAATTTATCATTTGGCCTGTTTTCTTTTTTAAATTTATTTTTAGATCTCGCACTCGATTGTCAATTTTCAGGATGACCCGATATTACGGGGTCACCAAATGGTTGCCATGGTGGACTTTTGACAATTCATGGATGTTAAGAACTGGATTCAAATGGATAAAGTATAATATATATATTATTCTCATTGAGTTTATTTATTTATAATATGCTTATATTTCTAGTTTGGACTGGATGGCTTTTATAGTCCTTTATATCGGGGTCACCATGATGGTTTTTGAATTTTTAGAACGTCAAGAACTGGATTCAAATGGGAAAAGTATTATATATTCAGCTTATTTTATTTAAAACATTTATTTATCAATTTATTTAAATTCTTTGTAGATATTTAGATCCTTTCCTGCTTAAACCCATTAATCGGGGTCACCATTACGAAATGAAAGCCAAAAGGCAGATCAAAAGTGGCTTAAATAGGTAAGTACTACTACTAAGGGGAGCTATAGAAGAAGGGAGAAGCTATTAAGCTATAGAGAAGCTATTAACTAATAAAGCTCCACAACTAATCGTTGGATTACTTGAATTACTGAGACTGGGACTCTCTTCTAGAGAGCCCCAAGAGGACTAATAAAGTTGCATAATCCGTCGGATCGATAGGCGCGATTCTTAAGTAGCCAATACCTATAGCATTCGAGTACTTCTTGTGATTCTGGACATGAGACCCTGAACTTTGTCAGAGCTACGTAGCTATTTCATTTTGAAGGCTTATCTGACTGGGGTTCTCTGCGGGGCTTTCAGCATATTGTTCACATGTCTGCAGCGAAACCGAATTATAAAATGCGACACTCTTTATGCCCCCAATTGGCGTATAAACTCTATTAAACAATTTATGCTCTAAACTGTCTGAATTGCTTAACTTCTTTATGACCGCGGCCCGCACGCTTATTTATTCTATAATAAACTTATCTAATAGTCATGTGCACTCTATACGAGCCTCGATGTCTTTTGTTTTTATTTTCTTTCATGGATGTGTGTTGTGTTGTGTGGTGTTGTGGGTTTTGTGGTGCCAGCTTCGGCTTGTCATGAAATAAGCGTGATCGGCTACCGACCCCCGTCCATGAAGCACCAGTCTTTACCCTTTCCAAATCCAAAAAGTGTATAGAAAATGTCAGGCCATCTCAATTTAGATGATAGCAGTGCTTTTCCCTTGACAGTAGTCAGTGGCTTCAAGTTGCATAATCAAGTACAGTGATGATTACTAGGTAACAGACAAGAAAGCTATAAGATAACTGGTACTTGAGATTATTTCTTTCTTTAAATCCCTTAAGAACTAGAGTTCTTTTAGCCTAGAACTCAATAAGAAAACGGTATTTATTTAATTTTATTTGATAGATTCTTTCATGAAACTAAATTTAAATCATTTATGGATGTACCAGGTATCATATATCTTTTTTTTTGTTTACCTATTGAATAAACACTGTACTTGCATTGCGTGTTCCGAGGGTGTGCGTGAAAACTATAAGGGTTGTGGACACAATTGCACAACTGCTTAAAAAATAATACAAAAAAAAAGTAACTAAAACCAAAAAAAATGCATGGATCATATGATACATATGTACTATATAAACACCCAAGTATATAGTCATTTTTATGGAAAAAGAGGCAACAATTGGCGTTGATTCAATTTGCAAAAGCATTTGGTACTCGGTGGTACACCACCACACGGTGATGCTGGCAGTGCAATTATGGTTTGCCCATCAAATCTATTCCAATCCGGGGGAATCAAGCCATTTACGACCCATCATCATCATCATTATCATCATTATTATCGTTGTTTTGACGATGCCCTTGTTATTTGTTCTAGAACCAAAAAATTTGCCATTATTTCAAGGATACGGCTACTACAATGTCTTGACATTGTTTGGAGTTTAGACCTTTTAATTAATCATTGTTGTTTACACTATTGTGCTGATAGTGTAACGTTTATTTTTAAAATTTTTTGTTTTTTTTTCTTTGGTGAGAACATTTTTTTTTGAGATGGAGGGCGGTATAGTAACCTTATCGGTGCTCCAGATCGACCTTCATTGCCTACGGTCGCGGCTTTTTCAAACTCGATCAAACACTATACTAAAAAAAAAATATATATACGATTAAAACCCGTGCAATCGCTGACGTCATCGTCCAGAGGAACGTGCTCTGCTAATCTAAGTGTGCCTCTAAAAAAAAAAAAAAAAAACTTTAGACTCGTCTGTGGCGTTGACAAAAAAATTCAATACATTAATGGACAGGTTTGGATGATTTATGAAGCCCAGAACAGGAGCGAATTAAGGTTAAGGATCTTGAAATCAGGAAGAAATGGTTATTTTTCTTGAAAGAAAGTGGTATAATTTTTTATATAATAAATAGTTTTAGAGAAGAATTTACCCTTTTTCATACCATTGAGATATTTAATCTTCCTCCAAGTATTTTTCAGTCAAGAAACTCTCTCAAAGATCCCATAAATAAACCGAAGAATCCGCATTCCCATTCCTATTTACTATTTATATAGGTATTGGGTGATTTTCCATCTAAATCGGTTTATTTTTTTGTTTATGCCTCTAAGTAATCCCCCCCACCTTATCAGTAGTGTTCTAAATCAGAGACTCCGCTCCTGAGACTTCATGCTGTGCGTGAGTGCCAAGTACTTTCGAGATTAGTTAAAAACGCACGAATTCAAAAAGTCCGTCGTCCGATTTTGTTCGTCTTCGATTTGATTTGAGACTTAATCTTGATTTGTTTGTATTTTGATTACTGGAATTAGCGACTAGCGCTAATTGATGCATTAGCTCTGATTGTACGCCGTACGTTTAGAGCATTAAGAGAAGGGACTTGACTTGTTCCCAAAAATAAACCCCATGGGATGTAACCGAATGCCGGCAATTATATGGCTAAAACTTTTCTGACTAAACTTTGACCGAAAATTGCCTGCATAACAAGTCAATTAAGGGAGATTTTATAGCCAATTACACTTGAAATAATTTTAAACAATTTAGAAAAAAATTTAAACTATTTGTTTTAAAAAAATAAATACATTTTAGGGATTTCTCTAAAGATCTTATACTTCAAGTATAAAATCTAGATATTAATAATTTTCTTATTCCTATTTTTTGTAGTGTCCTTTCTAGCCTATATAAAGGATATATCCTGAGGCCATTTCCAAGTATTTCAAGAAAAATGTCTCGCTGGTTCCGGTTTCTGAACAAAAATGAACCTCTTTCCGTTTATTTCTTTGCAGTTCCCCGAAATAGCCTAAACCTGATGGGCTATTGGCCAGGAGGAGGTGCTGAGAAAAAGGATAAGAAGAATAAGAATCCACCTCTGCGGGCCTATGTCCACTTTGTGATCTTGGCCATTGGCGTCTTCACCGAACTGCATGCTGGAATGCGTTTTCTGCACCAAGAGGAACTAACCCTGGCCCTGGAGACCTTCTGCCCGGCTGCCACCTCGGCTGTGACCTTGCTGAAAATGTTCCTCATGTGGCGTTATCGTCAGGATCTGGCCAGTATGTGGTGCCGTCTGAGGTCACTGCTGTTTGAGACAGGAAGAGAGCGACCGGATCAGCAGGAGATTCGCCTGAGGCACTCCCTGCTGGCCGTCAGGATCAATTGTTGGCCAGTTTCGGCTGGCTTCCTCACAGGATCCATTTACAACATCAAGCCGGTGATGATAGCCTTGGTGCTATATCTGCAGCAGCGCAGCGATGAGAATGTTTGGGTTACGCCCTATAATATGACGTGAGTTTTGGGAAGAGATCTTGAGTATCCTGTAATGAGTATAACTCCCATCTTTTTTCCTTTCAGAATGCCACCATTTCTACTAAAGAGTCCTTTCTTCCCATTCACCTACTTGTTCACCGCCTACACAGGATACGTGACGATTTTCATGTTCGGAGGCTGTGATGGATTCTATTTCGAGTTCTGTAGCCATGTATCGGCTCTCTTTGAGATTCTACAGTCGGAAACCAAGGCCATTTTCAAGCCCTACAAGGGTAAGGATATAATACTATATATTCGATATATATATTCTATATATCCTCCTTTGCAGACAGACTGACCATCGATTCGGAGGAGGCTCTCCACCTGGAACAGCAACTTAGGGCCATTGTGGTGCGACACAATGCCGTCATAGATCTGACCAAGTCCTTTCGGCAGCGCTATGCCATCATAACCCTGGCCCACTTTGTCTCGGCCGCCATGGTGATCGGCTTCAGCATGGTGAACCTGCTCACAGTGGGCGGCATCGGCCTGGGAGTGATTCTCTATGTGGCCTATACGATTGCGGCGGCCAGCCAGCTGTTGGTCTACTGTTATGGCGGCACTTTGGTGGCCGAAAGTGTGAGAGATGATGTCTCTAATTGTACATAAATGTTTATAAATTTTAAAATATATTTTCCAGAGCCTTGGTCTAGCGAGGATTCTGTTTGCCTGTCCCTGGAATATTTGCTGGCCGAATCAGAGACGATATGTCCAGCTGCTGATCCTGCGATCCCAGAGAGCCCTGACAATGGCAGTGCCATTTTTTTCACCTTCATTGGCGGCCTTTGCTTCGGTCAGTTTGGACTTTAGACTTTGAGCTACTTCTATCTTTAAACTTTCCACAGATTCTACAAACTTCTGGATCCATCATTGCACTTTTCAAGTCCTTTCAATAGACCACTTCATAGACTCCTGATTTATTTCCACATTCAAGTCACATGCCACATGCCTTCGTGCCAAGCATTATGTTATCTCACCTGTCCGACTGTTCCTATCGACCATCTTCATTAATTAGCTCCATACCATACCCATACAATGACACGCAATCGAGATTTCAGGATATTCAGGACCTCCGCGGACCACCATTTCGACAGTTTGTCGGCAAGAGCCAAGTCGGCATGTCGGAACCGGACGATGATGACCTGACCTTCTGGGATCGACACGAGTTCAAGTTCTATCGGTACGGTCATGTGTATGCCGTAATCTATGGCCAGGTGGTGATCGACTATGTCCCCCAGAAGGCCCTCAAGCGACCCGTTAAAGTGTTCCTCATCTGCTACAGTCACCTGTTGAGCCTGATCCTGATCCTAGTCCTGCCCGGCTATTTTTGCTATCATTTCCGGACTCTCACGGACTCGGTGGACCCCAGACTTCAGCTTCTGTTGTACGTGAGCTTCGCCAATACGGCGATCAAGTATGCCACCGTGATAGTGACCTATGTGGCCAACACCGTCCATTTCGAGGCTATCAACCAGAAGTGCACCCATCAGCGGATGCACCTGGAGAGGGAGTTCAAGAAGGCGCCCAAGGAGCCGAAGAAACCCTTTGAGTTTTTCATGTACTTCAAGTTCTGTCTCATCAACCTGATGATGATTATTCAGGTGAGGGATTACCTCGAGACATTCAAGGATGTGAATAAATTTGTGTCTTCCAGGTCTGTGGAATCTTTGCCCAATACGGAGAGGGTGAGAAGGGAACCGTCAGCCAGGTGCGAGTCCACTTCAGCATCTACGCCTTCGTCCTGTGGAACTACACGGAGAACATGGCCGACTACTGCTATTGGATCAATGCCTCTGTCTTGAAGTACTACCGCCAACTGAATCTCCAGCTGGACCATCTGCGACAGGACATGGCGAAGCTGAAACCCGGCGGAATGCTCCTACATCGCTGCTGTGAACTGAGTGACCGCCTGGAGGAGCTACGTCGCCGGTGCCGGGAGATAAAAGACCTGCAGAAGGAGAGCTTTCGGATGCATCAGTTCCAGCTAATGGGCCTTATGCTGAGCACCCTGATCAACAACCTGACCAACTTCTATACCCTATTCCATATGCTGGTCAAGCAGTCGCTGGAGGATGTCAGCTATCCGGTGCTAGTGGGCTCCTTTTACGCCACCGGCTTCTACATAGACACCTATATTGTGGCCCTGATGAACGAGCACATTAAACTGGAGCTGGAGGGAATAGCGCTCACTCTGCGGCGCTTTGCAGAGCCGCCGGAACGGGATGTAAGGCTCACCAGAGAGGTAGGATTGCGGAGCATATTATAGATAATTTCTAACTCAATATATTTATATTTTCAGATTGAACACTTCTCCCTGGAGCTTCTCAACTGCCAGCCACCCATGCTGTGTGGCATTCTGCACTTGGATCGACGACTGGTTTACCTCATCGCAGTCACAGCCTTTTCCTACTTCATAACCCTTGTCCAGTTCGATTTGTTATTGCGAAAGAAGTCATAGACACTCAGAAAAACCTAAAGAATTTATAGAAAAAACACCAATTTTTAAAGATTATAAATAGTAGAGTTATATACATTCTTTGCTTGAAAACTGTAGTAGTACACTCCCTCCATTAATTAAATTATCCTTTTAAACGAGGCATTTCCTGCCCCGATAAGACGTGTCAAGGAGAGATAAGCGCGAGGAACTCCATTGATGGGTTGTTAAGGTTGCCTGGAACTTAGCCCCATTAGTTGCTTGTGAAGATGCGAGGACGCCGGTTGTACCACCTGGCTCTGCGCATCTGGATAGGCCAGTGCCTGCTCCTGGGCTTCACCAGCTATTTTTACAGCTGGAAACGAAAGTGCCTGGTGCACTCGCGATGGCTGAAATGCTACCAATGGTTTCTGATGGCCGTCACTTTGGTGTTGTACTACTCGTACTGGCAGTACGCCATGGTGTACTTTGAAAAGGGAACTTTTCGACGTCAGGACTTCATAATGCAGGTAAGGAATGGTTCCAAAATAATTAATATCTTAGCTAATGCTTACTTGCAGGTCAGCCAGGGCAGTGTGATTCTCAACCTCTGCACCCTCATAACCCAGTGCGTACTGACGGTCTTTTACGAGCGGCAGGTGTGCGAGGTCTACAACGAACTGGCCGGGATATTGAGGAACGATCTGAAGCAGAAGGAGCCCACTTCATCCTTCTACTATATCGTTTTCTTTGCCAAATTCCACAACTATCTGCACAACTTTAACTTTGCCCTCAGTTTCCTGATGATTCTCGGGATGCGAACCATTCGATGGGCTGACATTTTGGCGAATTGCTATTTCGTCTACAATTGCCTGTCCCGGGATTCGGTGATCTTCTGCTATGTCCTGCTGCTGCTGGACTTTGGCGAGGCTATGCGTCTGAACTGCCAACAGGAACAGGACTCATATGGCGGAGTGACGAGGCAGCTGCAACGACAGGAGCGACTGAAGGCAATGCTGCGACAAGTACACAGGATTTTTGGATGGCATGTAGCTGTCACCATGGTGTTTCGCCTGTACTTCAACATGGCCGTCATATACATGGGCTACTCCTTTATGGGCAACCAACCTCCGGAGGCAATGCGCCAAGGACTGTCCCACATCAAGGTCCTGTTCACTGCCATAGCCTTTGTGGTGATGCTCTCGGATGGTTTGATTCTCCAGATTATCTGCGAGTACTTACTGAAGCAGGGAAACAAACTATGTTCCAGTCCCAAAATTATGGAGCAGGATAGGCAGGACTTTGTGGCAGCACAGCGGCAGGTGAGACTTGAAATTTTTATCCAAATTAACACTCATTCAGGACTCTTTCTTGTCCCAACAATACACGAGACAACAAAAATACATAAGTGTTCCTATTTTAGTGGGAAATGTCTATTCTGCGACGTGCCATTCTCCGGGTTAAACCCGAAAACCAGGTCCTTGGAATGTTCCGGATGGACATGCAATGCGCCTTCGCATTAATCAGCAGCAGTCTATCCTATGGCATTATAATTATCCAACTCGGCTACCTTCCCAGCGTCCATATACATAATTAAGAGGGTGTGAGACCGTAATCTTGGAGTTCAATTACGAAAATGAATAGATTATCTCAAGCTACCTGTCACGCGTATTGGAAGGACACGAAAGAGTATTGAAAAACTATATGTAAATTTTTTTTTGTTACTAACCTTAATGTCTAACAATAAATGGTATTAGAAGTGAAGGTTTTTGGTTTAAATATTTCACTTTTAATATTTTTAATATAATACTAGTTCTTTAACACTAATTTTTGGTTAAAATATTTCAATATTTGGAATAACAAACGGGGTTTTCTTAAAAAAAAAAGATATATAGATACTTGATAGATGTCACTGACAATTTAGATCTCGATCTTCAGAATACGATCTTCAGATACCAAAATGAATATTTTTGAATTTCGAAAACATAAGAGCTCTTTTTAGTTTATAATTTTTGTTTAAATATGTTGATGAAGATTAATTTGGTGCTAGATCTGTTGGATCTTTGGGCTCCATGCCCTTGGTTATCAACTCATCCTGCTCCTCTTTCTTATCCTCCTTTACCTTGTCAGGAGCCTGATACGACTGGCTTTTCTCCTGGCTAACAAACGGACGACTGGACAGAGGTATGGCTTTACGGGAAGATGATATCCCTGCGCTTTTATGACGCTTAGAGTCCTGCAGGACCTTCAGGTGCACCTTGGCCGCCTTTAGCTTGTCCAAACGCTTCTGCTCATCCTTGACGAGTCTCCTTGTTGTTGGCAGCTGTTGGGCGGCACGCCTAACATTCCACAGTGGGTTATTTTTGGGTGGGAAACTCATCATTTTCCTACTGCGGCATATGTGTCTACGTATCCTATTGATAAGGGCAGAACGATTGCTGCTACTAGAGTCCTTGCCAAGACTACGACAGTTGCTCGTTATGCTTCTGGTTTTGGTGGTTACCTCGCTACTCCTTTTTGTCCCACGCCGAGAGCAGTATATCACCATTTGATAAATCCCGACAGGGTCGGCCGTATCATTGATGCGATCCATACCGAACGGATCGGTGTTCTTGCGACAGGGACGCAGGCCGTTCCACTCCAGTTTGCTGCTCGTTTTTGACCTCAACTTGGTGGGTGGTCCCTTGTCGGAAACTCCCTTGAAAATCGCCTGTCTTAGCATCTGCAGAACCCCCCGTGACTGCGCCTTATCCGCCTCCATGTTCGGTTGCCTGGTCCACTCCCATTTGTTGGGGGTAATGGTGTCCGTTCCCGGTTCACGTACTGGCATCGCGATGGCGGCCATTAGTGATTTGACTCCCTCCATGTTGTGCTCCTGCTCGCCACAGAGGGAAGTCATTGACTCGCGCTCCATTCTCCGGGGGTCATAGGTGCAACACGACTGCTGGAATACCCTGACTGGCAGTGGAATGCTCGGCTTAAAGCACACCTGATTGTCGTAGGAACTCAGGGTCCTGGCTAGCTGGGCCTCCCGCCTCAGAACGTTGTAGGGACGCATGGTCACTGCTTTCTCCAGGGGCATGGGGTGGTAGGGCAGCTTCGGGTGCGGCAGCTTGGACTTCATCTCCTTTTCTTCCTCATCCGCCGTTGAACTACGCTCCCTCTGATGCATTCTCACTAAAGTGGCTGTGGTTAACAGGATTGTTCGAGGACCAGAGAAGTATAGGTATATACTTACCACTAGAATCAGCTACCTCGGGAGGCATACGCTCATCGCGGTTGGGTAGGCCTCTGGAACTACGATCGTTACGGCTGCTACGCCAGTCACGGTAGTTGCGACTGTCACGGATAGATCGGTTATCCTGGGAATCACAGTTCCTGTTGTGGCTGCTACTCATCTGACGCCACAGACTCTGTGGGAATCTCGGACCACCGACATGGGAATGGGAATTACCTGGATAAACCTTTCAGGCAATATTCCCAAAGAATATCAAACATTACTTACGGCTTATATGGGTCTGGCTGACACAAGAATTCAAGAAGATTCTCAGCATATTTAATCGAACGACGTTCGCCATTGCAGAGGTTTTACACCGATATATACAACTAATTCCAAACTCAAACTTAAAATGCATAAAGAAAGAATTTTAATGAAGAAAAGAAGGACCAAAATTTTAGACCGAAAATCACCCCGGTGTTTTTCTGGTCGAACCCATTTCTATACTGAATAGCTTCCAGACGATGCTGACATTAAATCGAACGGCGTCTCTAAAAATACTGGGTCTATTGAGTTCCATTTTTTATTATTTCAAAGTACTTAGAACTAATATTTTATATTATTTACAGGATTCGTGGATGGTTTGGATAACTACTAGAACTACCTTAACTTTGTCGATATTTAAAAATAATGGGTGGAAATGTAAGTACTGTTTGAAAAACATTTTCTTATTGACTTATTAATGTCTTAACCTTTACCCAGGTGTAGGTTTCGGAGTTATCCAGCATCTGGTACTGCGCACCTTTTGCCAACGAAGGCGCCTCAAGATCCAGAACAGCGTCCAGTAATACCAAAAAATACTTTTGACAGAAAGCCTTGTGGGCCAAGACAGAAAGATGGGCCAATCTGTACCTGCGTCCAGTTTAAGAAATATAATAGTTGTAGTCCAGCTTCCAGCCACCGACGATAATATAATATTATAACCAACTCATAGATAAGTTCTTAAAAATTGTTCAAATTTAAATAATTAAATTTCGATAAAAACGCGGGCTTTTCTTACCGATAATTGCCGTTTGCGTTATTCAACACCTAATAAATATCGATAAGACAATCATTTGCCATCTCTAGCACTGCCTTCGGCGTTATACAACACCTAATATATATCGATAAGAACTTGGACGATTTGTTATCGATGCTTTCTAACGGCGTGTTCCTCACACAAGATTTTCCATCTCTAACACGTGTCTCAATCGCTTTCCAACACTGCAGCAGGTATTTTTTTCGATTTTCACAAAAAAATTTTTATTTCGATTTCGACAAAATTGGTATGCAGTTCGACTAACATAGAGGTGCTGATCCCGAAAATGTGCAGTGTTGCCAGATCGGGGCAGAATTGAGCTTTCTTGAGCCCATATCTCGGCCGTTTGTGGTCCGATCTGGCAACGCTTGGCGTTTTCGAAATCAGCGCCCCAAAGTCTATCGAACTGCATACCAATTTCGTCGAAATGCGACAAAAAGTTTTTCGGCGAAAATCGGAAAAAATCGTGATGGTTAGCCTTTCCATTTTTTCGAAAAAACGGTCGAAAATGAGTTGTTCGATATCGAAAAACGTGGTATGCAGTTCGATGGACAATGGAGTGCTGATTCCGAAAATGTGCAGGGTTGCCAGATCGGGGCAGAAACAGAGATTCTAGAGCCCATATCTCGGCCGTTTGTGGTCCGATCTGGCAACGCTTGGCGTTTTCGAACTCAGCGCCCCAAAGTCTATCGAACTGCATACCAATTTCGTCGAAATGCGACAAAAAGTTTTTCGGCGAAAATCGGAAAAAATCGTGATGGTTAGCCTTTCCATTTTTGCGAAAAAACGGTCGAAAATGAGTTGTTCGATATCGAAAAACGTGGTATGCAGCTCGATGGACATTTGAACGCTGATTCCAAAAATGCCAAGCGTTGCCAGATCGGGCCAAAAACAGAGATTCTAGAGCCCATATCTCGGCCGTTTGTGGTCCGATCTGGCAACGCTTGGCGTTTTCGAAATCAGCGCCCCAAAGTCTATCGAACTGCATACCAATTTCGTCGAAATCAAACAAAAAGTTTTTCGGCGAAAATCGGAAAAAAGCGTGATGGTTAGCCTTTCCATTTTTGCGAAAAAACGGTCCAAAATGAGTTGTTCGATATCGAAAAACGTGGTATGCAGTTCGATGGACAATGGAGTGCTGATTCCGAAAATGTCCAGAGTTGCCAGATCGGGCCAGAATTGAGCTTTCTAGAGCCCGTATCTCGGCTGTTTGACGTCCGATCTGGCAACGCTTGGCGTTTTCGAAATCAGCGCCCCAAAGTCTATCGAACTGCATACCAATTTCGTCGAAATGCGACAAAAAGTTTTTCGGCGAAAATCGGAAAAAATCGTGATGGTTAGCCTTTCCATTTTTTCGAAAAAACGGTCGAAAATGAGTTGTTCGATATCGAAAAACGTGGTATGCAGTTCGATGGACAATGGAGTGCTGATTCCGAAAATGTGCAGGGTTGCCAGATCGGGGCAGAATTTAGCTTTCTAGAGCCCATATCTCGGCCGTTTGTGGTCCGATCTGGCAACGCTTGGCGTTTTCGAAATCAGCGCCCCAAAGTCTATCGAACTGCATACCAATTTCGTCGAAATCAAACAAAAAGTTTTTCGGCGAAAATCGGAAAAAAGCGTGATGGTTAGCCTTTCCATTTTTGCGAAAAAACGGTCGAAAATGAGTTGTTCGATATCGAAAAACGTGGTATGCAGTTCGATGGACAATGGAGTGCTGATTCCGAAAATGTGCAGGGTTGCCAGATCGGGCCAGAAACAGAGATTCTAGAGCCCATATCTCGGCCGTTTGTTGCCCGATCTGGCAACGCTTGGCGTTTTCGAAATCAGCGCCTGAATGTTAGTCGAACTGCATACCAATTTTTCCGAAATCGGACAAAAAAATTTTCTGCCAAAATCGAAAAAATTTGTGATGCACCCTTCATTTTATAATTCGCAACCGGTTCAAGCGTCGGAGAAGTATAAATAGAGTGTCGCTGTGCCGAAATCTTCTTTGAAAAAAATTAAGTATCTCAGCCATTTACCGTCCGATTTCGACGATTGACGTCTTAAACGACTTGTAGGGATCTGGGAAAGCGATCAATTTTCAGTTTTTCACTATCGGACTATTACTTTTTTCTGAGGCATTGAAGAAAAAAATGTTCGTCGTTACCAGAAATTCGGATCAAAAATTCGTAGCGTGTCCAGAGCGGACAAAAGATTAATATCGTTTCCAGATCAGCCATTTGTGGCCTTTAAGTAAAACACACAAAATATCCTTATTTATTGCATACCTTTAGAGAGAATAATTATAATAAAAACATTTTATAGACAGGATTCTATAAATACGGCTCCATTGGCCTCATGCTTAAATTCTAATCTTAAGACCATAAATCAACCAATTTGAGACGGATTATGGCAATCCAGTATTTTCTGTAACCATTCATCTTCGATTCCAATAAACTTGATTGAACACTAGAATGGGTTGATTAGAAATTCATCCCTTTTCCGCAACACTTTGAACTTCTGAGGTATCATCGGAATATCCTGGTTGGAAGTAGAAAATGTTTAGGCAAACCTGCAATAAGCGAATAGTTTTCAACAAAACTCACCATATCTAGATTTCCTGACATGGTTGAGGTTTTGGCAAGGTTATCGCAGGGTTATTTCGAATTGCGTTTTGCCTGTGCTTCTTGGAGTGCTCCGAGTGCACTAAATTTGCTCCATGTTTCCTTGGCTTCGTCTTCTCGGGGGCAACTCCTCGGCTTAAAAAATGGCACCTGTTGAAAAATGGCGAATTTCAAAAATGATGAGTGTTGGAAAGTGAAAGTAAAATGAGGGAATGTTAATGTGTGCTGTAAAGAACAAGATCAAATACGCTGTTAACAGAAGAGCCCCTAGTGCGCTGTAAAGCGCAAGATCAAGTGTTGGTTAATGTAAGAATCTTGGCGCTTAACCGCCAGTCATTTTTTTAAATTTAAAATTTCATCCATGTTTTTTTGAGAAGTTCTTGACCAACTAAATTGTCGCTGCGCTTGAAACAAAATGAACAATTTGCAAGCCAAGTTAGGAAAGAGAACTCTTAGAGCTCCAATTAAATAAGGACTACTGTATGGCTGTAATATGGTAGGCAACTGATCCTATGGGCCAGGGCGCCTACCACCTCCGTATTCTTAGGCCATAGGAGCAGACGAGCTTAGGACTTAAACTTTTTTGGGACATCGAGGGTCTTGGGTTTATTTGTGGGCTGGCTTACGTGTCCGACTCCGTGTCTGTGGCATCAAGTATACGCACTGAGGGCTGCGCTAACCAATGACCTTGACCAGATTTCGATTGCTCCGTTTTTTTTTCTTTTTATTTATTTTCTATATTGTTATTTTGTCATGTCGGTAACGGTGAAGGCAACTGCAGACATGGATTTTGTGGTATTTGCGCAATGCACACAACACACGCCCTTTTTGCCCCAAAAATAAAATCGAAAAAAAAATATAAAAAATTATACAATTGTCGACGTTGGTGAGCCGTTTACTTAACGGGGCCCCCTGACTTGAAACGGGTTTTCGGGTATTGTATATTAATTATGCTGTTTATCTGGCTAAAAAAAATTGGAAAAAAAAATCAGTGAAAAAGTTTCGAAACGCCACGAGTATGGCAGAGAGAAGTTTCGCGTTCAACTCGCGATTTGACCTTCGGTTAAGCGAAATTGCCGACATGTTTGTATATTTGATCCATGAATTCAAAGTGCCAACTGTCCGGATTTACCAACAAAATATACAAAACCCAGAAGAAGCAGCAACAAAATTTCGGTGAAAGTTTACTTCGAAGCCTACTTGAGGTCCGGCCTACTCCGGGTACTCGATATTATGGCCAGGTGTGGCGGGCGATTGCATAAAGGTTTCAACTTGCTATAAAGATCGAGGGAAATCGCTTCCCCCTCAAGAATGCCCCAAGCCCCTTCGTTTGGAGCAGCAAACGCCCCCTAGCGAGCAGTGGCGGTGCTACGATGGTTAGAAGATCAGCCAAGATCAGAACCCTAGTGAGAATGAGAACCTTAGTGATCTATGTGGGTTTGAAAATCACTATTAATAATAATTATGATTTTCTGGCGTTTTAAAACAAAAATTTAAATAGAAATGTATTTCAAAATTTTTTAAGGGATTTAAGTGTTAGAACAAAAAATTTTCTAGGATTTTATTAGAGCTCAGATGGGTTTAGAAACTCTATATTTTTTAATCGCGAAACAAAAAGATGTTTATATATTTAAAAAAAAAATGATTTTCCAAGTTCGTTCTACAGCCCACGACCGTATTGAATGCATTCTTACTATCTGCGACTTGTTTTCATGTTTTCGTACTTTCGAGCTATTTTTCCTGTGAAATTTCCGGCTAGAGGGAAAGGGGTTCTTCCGGGGAACGGTGAGCCACCCCACCACGGACGTGCAAGAAACAAAGGCCCCTTAATAAAAAAAATGGAATATAAAAACTAAAT